AATATGGTCACTTTTGGTCTTCTTCCGTCCAGATGTAAAAACCTTGCCAAATAAGGCACCCATCTGGCTGTGAAGGTGATGTATATATAGGCAGTCAAGTCTGTAGGTAGCCTGTTGCAAGGCAAAATTTCGGTCCCTATCCAATATACCCTTGCAGTCCAAAATCCCCGACCTTCATCATGGACGCCCCCTACTACAGGACTTACCTATTGTATTTCTCTCGTCCTGAACATACATGATATATTTGCCACTGGACGTTAAGAAAACAACAATCAATCAATCATCCTAGTGGCGTTCTCCAGCTAAATAACAGCGCAAGTCGGACAAAGGTTCCAGAGATGACATTCAAATCCACTCTGTTGGGTATCGATTGCTGATGTAACCGTGGACCTAAAAATCTAAAAAGGAGTGTTTGTCATCTCATCGGGGCATTACCATATCAGCTTTGATAAAATTTTGACATTATATATGGTGTGAAAACCAAAATTTAGCATTCAAAATCTGCTGTGACCTTGACCTATTGGCCCTACAATCAATAGGGATCTTCCTCTTCCCTTAGGGCATAATCAAGCCAAGATATTCATTATGACCCAATAGAATTTAACTGAAAACTGAAATGTTGGTGCCAGGACACTGAGGGCATTTAACAAATTATAACCCGATTTCAACATCACTGCACATAAAAACTCTAAACAAGTAACCTATCCGGTATGTGGCAACATTGCTGCCTTGTATCTATACTAATACAAAAATAAGGAGATGTGGTATGATTGCCAATGATATAACTATCCACACAAGTTCCAATGAAGTGAATGTAATGACCAGTACAAAAGGATAATCTTTTATTATGTTATATCCTAATCACCTTCCCTTTAACAGTGAAATATGTTGTCACAAATCATTATCAGCCTGGAATCATCATCATAATTGTTTCACTACCGAGCTTCTGACTCACCCTGGACAAAAATCCTTAGTGAGAACCATGCACAAATTCAATTTAATGGGGAAAGACTTGCAACAAAGCTACTTTGTTTTTTTTTTACAGAGCCTTCTATACTTTACATCTGCCAAGTTTTTTTATTGTCTCTTTTGAAATCATCGATAATCTTGTTTGGACTGTGAGCTTGACAAATTTTATGGAGTTTTGTATATCAATGAAGTTGATAACATTGGTATGTTGCAATCACAATAAAGTTTATCCTACATCTCTTTATATTCATATAAAAGATGATGACAGGCAGGTAGACAAACCAACTCCCAACACGAAGTATTGCAATAGAACAGGGCTGGACCTCACTTACCTCTTACAATCACAAATTAGATACTTTCCGACTTTCTGCTGCCACAATGCCATTCTAAATATCAATAATCTAACAGAAATACTTATAGCGAGTAGAGATATCAGGGTTCTAAAGTCTTGCAACAGAAATGCATTGATGCTACTAAAACAATGCTGTAAATGTGGAATTTTTAATCAGGGTTATTTTCCACTATTTTGCAATAACGTAAATGCATGAAACAGAATTTTTTTTTAACTGTGTATGCATTGAAATTATTATAAAATGCTCCGCGGGGCACAGCTTGATACAACTGCAGAGGTTCAATCATGAACAGTTGGGGCAAGTATGGACACTACATTTAAACTTGATACAGCTGTGAATTTGAATTGATGAAATATTTGATACAGCACAGGTTTCTAAGACAGAATAAATGTGGTCAAAGAACTAAAAAATTTGATAATTGGACTTTACCTATTATGGTCCAATATCCAAAATCTAAATACACGGTTAGATTCAGCATATCAAAGAACCCCAAGAATTCAATTCAAGTTTTGTTGAAATCAAACAAAGTTTAATGTTAGACCCTTTGGACCTTTAAGTGGACCAAATTGATAACAGGCTCCAAAATAAATAAAATGCTCCGCAGGGCGCAGCTTGATACGACCGCAGAGGTCGAACCCTGAACAGTTGGGGGAAGTATGGACACAACATTCAAGCTTGATACAGCTTTGGATTTGGATTGTGATTAAATATTTGACACAGCATAGGTTTCTAACACAGATTGAATGTGGTCTAAGAACTTAAAAATTTTAAATTGGACATTCACCTATTATGGTCCAATATCCAAAATCTAAATACATGGTTAGATTCAGCATATCAAAGAACCCCAAGAATTCAATTTTTGATGAAACAAACAAAGTTTAATTTTGGACCCTTTTGACCTCAATGTGGACAAAGTTGATAACGGGGCCCAAAAATCAAAAATCTAAATACATGGTTAGATTCAGCATATCAAAGAACCCCATATATTCAATTTTTGTTGAAATCAAACAAAGTTTAATTTTGGACCCCGATTTGGACCAACTTGAAAACTGGGCCCATAATCAAAAATCTAAATACATGTTTAGATTCAGCATATCAAAGAACCCTAAGAATTCAATTTTTGTTAAAATCAAACTAAGTTTAATTTTGGACCCTTTGGACCTTAATGTAGACCAATTTGAAAACGGAACCAAAATTTAAGAATCTAAATACACAGTTAGATTCGGCATATCAAAGAACCCCAATAATTCAATTTTTGATGAAATCAAACAAAGTTTAATTTTGGACCCTTTGGACCTCAATGTGGACCAATTTAAAAACGGGGCCCAAAATCCAAAAACTAAATACACGGTTAGATTCAGCATATTAAAGAACCCCATGAAATCAAGAATAAAACCCCATTGAAATTGGTCAAGAAATAAGCAATTTATAGGAAGTATCTTCTTTTGCACAATCCTGTGCTATTAAATATTTCTTGCTATTGCGCAATACTGTACAATTGACAATTTCTTGCTATTGCGCAATATTGTGCTATTGGATATTTCTTGCTATTGCGCAATACTGTGCAATTGAAGATTTCTTGCTATTGCGCAATACTGTGCAATTGAAGATTTCTTGCTATTGTGCAATACTGTGCAATTGAAAATTTCTTGCTATTGCACAATACTTATTATATAATAATTTACACATCCTGTTTGGTGTGTATCTCCTACCATATCATTATTATTTGATTTTAAATATAAATCAGAAATAACCAACTTAAAATGGAAAATTTTAAAAGAAACAAAAAAGGAAAAAAAGAAAAAAAAAGAGAAAACAAATAAATCCCCCCCCAAAATTTTTTGAACCCCCATTATGATTCATCACCCCCAAACTCAATCCCAGCCTTCCCTTTGTGGTATGGTACCTTGCAGTACAATTTCAGAGAGATCCATACACTTGAACACAAGTTATTGTCTGGAAACTAGAAAACAATGTGTTTTTTGGACCCTTTTTGGCCCCAAATTCCTAAACGTTTAGGGCAAATACCCCCAAACTCAAACCCAGCTTTCCCTTTATGATATGGAACCTTGTAGTACAATTTCAGAAAGATCCATACACTTACACACAAGTTATTGTCATGAAACTAGAAAAATGCTTGTTTTTTGCCCCTTTTTTGGCCCCTAATTCCTAAAATTTTGAGGCAATTACCCCCAAAATCAATCCCAGCATTCCTTTAGTGATATGGAACCTTGTGGTACAATGTCAGAGAGATCCATACACTAACACACAAGTTATGTCTGGAAGTTACAAAAATGCTTATTTTTGGCCCCTAATTCCTTTACTGTTATTACCATAACCCCCAAAATCAATCCCAACCTTCCTTTTGTGGTATTGAACCTTGTGGTAAAATTTCATAAAGATCCATTCACTTAAACTAAAGTTAGAGTGCGAAAACCAATGTGTCTTCGGACGACGCCGGACGACGACGACGACGACGACGCCAACGTCATACCAATATACGACCACAAAAATTTTTTTGCGGTCGTATAAAAATCTAAATATACAGCAAGATTCAGCATATTGAAGAACCACAAAAATTCAAGACTTTGAATTATACCCCATTGAAATTGGTCAAGAAATAAGCAATTTATAAAGTATTAGAAAAGTATTGCTTTTTGCCCTTTTTTCCTAAACAGTTCGGGCCATAACCCCCAAAATCAATCCCAACCTTCCTTTTTCGGTATGGAACCTTGTGGTACAATTTCGTAGAGATCCATACACTTATGCACAAATTATTGTCCTGAAAGAAGAACAATGCTTGTTTTTTGCCCCCAATTCCTAAACAGTTAGAACAATAACCCCCAAAATCAATCCCAACCGTCCTTTTGTGGTATGGAACCTTGCGATACCATTTCATAGAGATCCATAGACTTATACTCAAGTTATTGTCTGGAAACCATATGACTTCAGACAACGACAACGTCAATGAAATATCAATATTTATAGAATAATGTTGTGTTAAGCATTGAATTTGCCAAAATAGTAGCCAAGGTTGAAGTCACAGTGCAAGATCCTAATGGTGACTGTAAATCTTCAGAAGAGACAGGCCTTGGTGGCTAAGTGGTCTAAGTAGTTCATCTACTCTTTATCACTAGCCTAGGAGTGCCAGTTTACCTGCTGAAGGTTCTCTTTTGGCACTCTGGTTTTCTACATCAATAAAAACTGGGCACCACAATATAGCCAACAGTGAGAAAGAGGACTTACCCACAAACAAATCAGTCTAAATAAGATAAGATTCACAGTCATCATCACAATTTGGTTGGCTGAAATGATTTGTCAAGTCTCTCAACTCAAAAGAAACATGTTTTGGCAGTATTAGATCTTTAGACACTAGCATAATCTGTAAACCTTTAGTGTCCTAACTTTAATGTGACATTTTGACTGAGTGTGGTTTTGCATGACAGGTGATGCATGCATAGTAGGAGACGCTTACTCTAATAAAGCAGCAAGTCATGCCCCAATGGGAATTGATGCAATACCATTGTACATGTATAGTTAATGGGCATATAAAATGAGTCATAACAGGATATTTAAGGCTAGGTGAAGGACACAAAATAGTTTGACACAAAATGTTTTTTTTTTTCCAGGTTTATTAATATGAAGCAAATACTATAGGCAACAGAAATACAATATAACTTATATCTGAATAACAAGGTTTACAACAATCAAAAATATAATTTGAAAACGGTTTTGCATCCAAAAAATAACGGTTACGTGTTACAGTAACATTTCAATACTGGTCTAGTACCAGTAACCATCAGAAATTATTTTTTTTTCTCATATATTTTTTAAACAGCAACTCTGTTGGGAAATATTCTTGTACCATATAAAAAGTTACCAAACGTTATGATTTAGGGATGATAGGCTTGGACTTAAAATCATCTAATAAACAATGAAAACAGGTTACTGGTGTGGCTATTTTTGAGTGAAATTTTATGGGTACGACCAGTAACTGTCACAATCTATCCACAAAATCATAGAAATTTTTGCTTAATCTGAACATTTATGTCATATTTGAATATTGTGTGGCAAGAAAGGGAGGAGGTTTGTCAAGTAAACCAAACATATCCTCATTCCCTAGTAAATGCAGACACTCTTCTTCTTTTCGCTTGGACATTTGAAACAAGTTACACAGTATAGAATAGAAGTATAGATCTTAATTCATAAATCTTTTAAATTTGTTTGAAAGAAATTTTGTATTCTAAAACAAGCTGAGAAATTGCTGTATTTGAAAACGGTTAGTTTTTCAAATTCGAAGACGTCATTAAGTGATGACGTCATGTACCCTCACACGTATCTTCCTACGTGTTAAAAAACATAAGACTCAGCATTTCCCTGTCCTAATTGAATCAAACAAAATCAATGTTTTTACGAATGAAGTAAAGATATTTGTTTGATGATTAAAGCAGAATGTCATACTTATAAAAGATTTAGTTTTTGCATAAAATGCAAGGTAATGGTAACAGGTAACTGACGGTTAGTGGTCCTTGATCAGTAAATGTTTTAAATCAAATTTTAAATATTGCAGTATGATTGTTACTTCATAAACAATCATTAACTTTGAATCATGATTAATTTTTATCAATTTTCTTCCATTTATATATCACTGTTTATAACTGTAAATTATGTACTACACCGTGACCCACATCATTATTTTCATATTTTCAAAGTCAACGAAATGAAAAGTTGCTCTATAGAATATAAATCTTTTTTTTTTTTATCAAAGTCTATCCAAGATCAGAAGAGATCATAGCCACTCCACGCTCATAGAAACTATGGCCTTTACCAGATCCTTCTCCTTCCGTCTCAAAGTCCAAAGTAAATAACAGTTGTGCTCTGGTGGCATTCAGGTAGACTGGAAGAGTTACCTTTCCTTGTCTTTCTTTCTCCAAATCCAGTCTGAAAAATTACAAATCAGATCTTATTACTTATGCCCATACATTTCATTCAAAAATATTAAACTTAAAAATTAAATCAATCTTTTCAACTGATATTAGTTTCTGATATGGAAAGATAGACCTTTATTCCACCACTAGTATACTATTATGGTAAATTGTGCCTATAATTCTATCTCAAAATAATTTAAAGGCTATTTTTGAAACAGCCATATTACTCAGCTCTTTTGGAGAGTAATAATAACCTAAATTTACAAATTTACCCACATTTGAAGAATCTTCTAAATAAACCAAGGATATTGTCACCTTTTATTTTTACAACAAACAATGGATTAATCCAAAAATTGTGTTGATTGTGGAAAAGATTGTTTATTGATTGGTCCAAGTCATTTACATGGACTCTAAGAGTGCACAAGTATTTCATTTGATAGCGTTTTAATCTCTCTAATTGGTGGATTTTGAATTATTGAGACATATAACTTTATAAATGACAGTAAATTAAATAAAGAGCTGCGCCATGAGCACATGATACGCCTGTCGCTTTTTTCAATGAATAAAGTTCCATAACTCCTCAATGTCATATCAGAAATTTATAAAAAAAAAACTAAAGGGAGCTTATTTTAATAGATATAGACTAGTCACCAAAGTTTCATGAAAACTGCTCAAAGCATTTTTGAGTTATTGTCTAAAAACTAGAAAATCCTCCCTTTTTTACAAATAAAATACCATAACTCAGAAATGTAAAATCTAAAATTTATAACAAGAGGCTGTCAAGTGACAGCAAACCGGATTTTCCTGCAGAGGTCAAACTCTGAACGGTTGAGCAAGTATGGACACAACATTTACGCTTAAAACAGCTCTGAATTTGGATTGTGATTGAATATTTAAAATAGATTATTATCTAATTAATAATGAAAATCATATTTGCAAATCTGAACCCCAAACAGGATTATGTAAAAATTAAACATTAACACACACAACAAAAATAAAATACCACATAACAACTGTGATATCTACCTTCATAACACACATGACTTAAAAAAAAATAGTTATAAAGAAATTTTGATGTTATCATTACTGGTTCATGGAATAAGTTTGAGTTATTTCCCTTTCAACAGAAATATGGTTTAACATAGTACTCTAACATTAGATATGAATAATAGTTCTCTAAAATTTGATATGATGTAACACAATGTATATCGATTTTCAAATTATAATCAAATATAATAAATAGTTCCAAGTATTTTTTCTTTCATTTGTCACAAACTAATACAGATCTGCAACTTATCTGTCAATGTCAACAACTTTAAATGTAGTGAAATATATCCTATAATAAAAATAGATTATTATCTAATTAAAGGAGTTCACTTCATAAAAAACAAGAGTGCACACGCTGAAATGTCTCGCCTTCTTTACTAACCATTGATATTATGTTGATAGTCCTAAATATTAAGCTTTACTACAACTCAACCTTACATGCATTCAATACACTAAATATAGTTGACCTATTGCTTATAGTTTCTAAGAAACAGACTTAACCAAGAAAACTAAACATTGACCAATGAACCATGAAAATGAGGTCAAGGTCAGATGAACCATGCAAGGCAGACATATACACCTTACAATCAACCTATGCATTAAATATAGTTGACCTATTGCTTATAGTATCCAAGAAACAAACTTAACCATGAAAACTTAACATTGACCAATGAACCAACAAAATGAGGTCAAGGTCAGATGATACCTGCCAGACAGACATATACAGCTTACAATCCTATACAAAAAATATAGTTGACCTATTGCTTATAGTTTAAGAAAAACAGACCAAAACACAAAAACTTAACACTGAGCAATGAACCGTGAAAATGAGGTCAAGGTCAAATAAAGCCTGCGAGACTGACATGTGCATCATAAAATATTTCCATACACCAAATATAGTTGACCTATTGCTTATAGTATTAGAAAAAAAGACCAAAACTCAAAAACTTAACTTTGACCACTGAACCATGAAAATGAGGTCAAGTTCAGATGACACCTGCCAGTTGGACATGTATACCTTACAATCATTCCATACATCAAATATAGTTGACCTATTGCATACAGTATAAGAAAAACAGACCAAAACACAAAAACTTAACATTGACCAATGAACCATGAAAATAGGTCAAGGACAAATGACACCTGCCAGACAGACATGTACACCTTACAATCATTCCATACACCAAATATAGTTGACCAATGGCTTATAGTATTAGAAAAACAGACCAAAACACAAAAACTTAACATTGACCAATGAACCGTGAAAATGAGGTCAAGGTCAGATGAAACCTGCCAGACTGACATGTATCCCTGATAATCATTCCATACACCACACATAGCTGACCTACTGCTTGTAGTATCTGAGAAACGGACCTAATCACGTAACTTTAACCTTGATCACTGATCCATGAAATGAGGCTAAGTTCAGGTGAACCCTGTCTGATGGACATGTAGACGTTGCAAGGAACCCATATACCAAATATAGTTATCCTATTACTCATAATAAGTGAGAAATTTACATAACAAAAAAACTAAACTTTTTTTTCAAGCAGTCGCTGAACCATGAAAATAAGGTCAAGGACATTGGACATATGACAGACGGAAAGTTCGTAACATAAGGTATCTGCATACAAAGTATGAAGCATCCAGGTCTTCTACCTTCTGAAATATAAAGCTTTATACAAATAGTTTACGCCGCCGTCGCCGGATAGTAATACCTATGTCTCACTTTCTGCGACTTTCGTCGCAGGCGAGACAAAAAATTATATATAGCATTCAGAAAACTAGATATCATTGAGATTGGAGCCATCTCTGTGGGCCCCGTTGTGAATAATGTGTGGTAAAAAATTTGTATCTTTATCATTGGACATGGGGTTGTCAACTGAAACCGAAGTTTATGACCTTGACCTTTGACCTAGGAAGTTGTACATACATTATGACACACCCTCTGGTGTTGGTTAATATACATGTCAAGTATAAACTTTGAAATCATAATGGTTCTCTAGATATAGAGCGGACACAATTTGTTACGGATGGACGGACGGACAGACTGATCACTAAAGGGCTTCCGCCATTCGGCGGGACCCTAATTAGTTTATACAGAATAACAAACAAACCTATCACAAAATTCTTCAAACAATTTACCAAAGAAAAGAAAAAAAAATCCAAAATGTCATTTATCATTAATACAATGTCTTTTAAAAATCTTTTAAAAAATGAGTTATTTCCCTTTGTACAGAAATGAATTAATTCATCAAAAATTGAATTCTTGGGAAAGGGCTATAACTGAACAACGAGAAAGGCTAAAATCATGGAAATTGAACTTGACCTTCATTTAGTCACAGGTAACAACATATCTAAATTTGAAAAATGTCTTCAAAGCGTTTTCATGTAAATGAATGGACACTGTTTGGCAGCCGCCCGCCGTACATCCCCAAATCAATAACCGATTTTTACTTCGAAAATCTGGTTAAAATTGAAAGGCAGCTTACATGAATAGATATATACAATTCAACAAAGTTTCAAAAAAATTGGTTAAAGCGTTTTTGAGTTAATGTCCGACATGTTGACAATGGACGGATAACAGTATACCATAATACATATCGTAAACAGGCATATAAAAATATTGTACATGTAGTGCTAACCCTATAGCCAATGACCTGGCTCTTCATTTTATATGTGCACATAATGTATGTAAAAATAAATGTATGTGTCAAACTGTTTCTTGGAACTGCCTATACCAATATGCATAAAGGTGAAATGACATGCAGAATTTTTCAGCAATGTATCCAGACAACAAAGTAGTTCAAAAGCATAATGTACATTGTCCAAGATTGCTCTGACATCCTACAGCCTATTATGGCAAAACACTCTTAGAATAAATGCACAAATAAAATGTCTTTAAACAAGTTTACAATTGAATGATTTGATTGTATTCTGTCTACTAACCTGACCCATCTGAGAAGAGTCAATGGTAGGTCTGTAGAGATAGTTGTAGACAGTTGTAACTTGTTATTCTTACATACTGCTCCTTGTAAAATCAAACCTACAACATACAAATAACATGTATACAGACTCATAAGAACCTTTTAGGGTGAAAACATATGTCGATATATATCTCAATATTAACCAAGCGAAACTCAATAACATTATACAACTGAACATCATAATTAGACGAAATGTGACAATTCAAAAAGAAATGTCTGACATACCTGATGCACCAAAACTGCAAGCATCTATGTTGTCTTTACCATCAGTAACCTTCACCTGTAAATAAATGAAGTATCATAGACACTGGTTTTTCTGATTATCCAACATTATATACAAGTAAATGATATATTTTAAACATGAGCTTTACAAAATAATAACACTAATGGACAGAAAAAATATCTCCTTGGTTGATGGGGAATACTTATGTCATTTTTTGAGATGTTCATTGGCAGTTACATCACAAAAGACATTTCTGCACTAAAGTGATCAAACTATATCATCCTAATCATTCAACTAGGAAATGAAAGTAATTTTGAAAATATTGAAGAATTTTATAATCTTTATAATTTAAAGGGTCTAAATCATGTGTCATTCCATACCTTCTACTTTATGAATGATGGGAAAAGATGCCTGTAAATGAATCTGAATATCACATCATAGCAATATGTAACATTCAAAATGTTCTCCAATATTACCACACATTTCGATATTTATCAGCAATCTTTAAATGAAAGATAAATATACTTACATCCAAATACAGTTCTTCTAGTGACCAGCTATTGGCCTGAGCTACATACTGTCTGGTTGCTGTAATGTAGGCTTCAGGTATGAACAAGCCTCCTAACCATACTGTCAAGTTCTGAAAATAATGTGTCAAACATTTGTTATGCCAATTTTTCCTCAACTACAGAACCATTCAACAGAAAATTTTAAGAAAAAATAAAGAACAAATAAGGTTTGATTTTGAAGTAAAGAACTGTTGATAAAGAAATATGTCTCACCTGTATGTAATTATGATAATAAAATGCAAATATTGAAAATTAAAATGGCAATACTTTGACATGTAAAATGTGCAAAACATTCAAAGTCAACGAACCATGACTGAAGGTGCAGGGTCAAATAATCTTTGTGGAAATGAGATATGCCAATGCTAAATCAACTGCATATCAAATATCATTGACTTATCATAAGTGACCTAATCTCAAACTTTAAAATGTAAACTATGATAAAGTTCAAAAGTAAATGCACCATGACTGAGGGGCAGGGTAATATAATTCGGTGACATCCTGTTTCTCCCACTTTTAATTACATTTGTACATGCCTTCTTTTACCTGTAATGACTATGTTGTTTTGATGAGAAACAAATTATGACAAAGTGGTTTGATGTTCATAAAACTTATTTCATTAAAAATGAATTTATCAGTATCTTAAAATGAAATATCCATAAAACTTCCATTATTTCATTCAAGAAATCTGATTTTGCAGAAAATACCTTCAATTCTTTAGCTCCTCCTTGTGACGTGGTTTGTACAATTTTCTGTAGCTGTTTAACACGAGTAGAGAAATCAGTAATCCACTGAATGACAGTTATACCGTGTGGTACAGTGTATCTTCTCCATGTCTGTGGTATTATACCTATAGAAAGGAATCATACATTATAATCATCTCATCAGTGTAACAATTCTAATCAATTCATTAAAATATCAATTTAAACTTAACATTTTTAGGGGGGATAAAAATATTTTTTAATGTTATTTTTGTATGTATTAATATCAGTCTGCATGTTGAGAAACTATCCCATCATTAATGAATACATTTCAGTGGAACAACTGGTAACATAATTTAAGCAATTAACTTTCAAGACAACAAACTGAACTTACTTTTCTCATTAATGTTTTCTAAATAGGTTTTGTGTACCATGAGAGTTACAAAATTGCAGCAAACTAGATGAAAGTTACATATAATGTACCTTTAGCAAGATCAGCCATCATGGTTCTATGGTGATTCGTAGGTTTTTTCTCCCCAGAACATACCATCATAACATCATGTAAATCTTGACGAACATCATGTAGCAACTGTGCTCCAGAATTCACCTCTCTCTCAAAAAATCTAAACAATGGATCCTTAATGTTCTCCACTGTTCTCTTCATGGCTCCAACAGACTGTAATAATATAACATCTCGGTTAAAATCACAGATACTTTGTTTTATAGCAACAGAATATTGGTGAGTGGTGTCATAGAGCAGTGATATGATTATATGAGTGGTATCCTTTTAAACATGGGAATTGAATATGTGAGAATATGTGAGTGGTTATATATAGGCATGGGAACTGAAAATCGGAGTGCTCTTGTTTCGGAATGAGAATGAATAAGTTAATAGCCTCTTTAGAGTATTGGAATTTAATATTTGAGTGGTCTCTTTTGCATATGGATTTGAATATATGATTGGTCTCTTTTGCATATGGATTTCAATATATGAGTGGTCTCTTTTGAGCATGGGAATTGAATGTGTGGTCACTTTTGAGCATGGGAATTGAATGTGAGGGGTCTCTTCTGTGCATGGGAATTTTATTTATAAGCAATGATTTTCATAACGACCCGTGAAATTATTCAATTAGAGAAAATGTTCTGTTTAGATTACATGAACTAATGTTAAAGAAGGTAGGCTATGGTACAACTATTGAACTAGGAGTAGTAAGGTTCCACTTCCACACCATTGAAAGAAAGGTCATGAAACTAGTTTTTCATTGCAATTGTCTTTTGCTGTTATAATGCAACAATAATATGGTTATTTAACAGGGCCTAATCTAGGATTTTGAAGAGGGAGAAGTGACTTCTCCTTCCATGAGAGAGAAGGGAGAAGTGGTCAACTTCTTGGAGAAGTGAGATTCCATTACCGTTTCGGTTGCATCGTGTTTTCAAGCTTATCACTAAGGAAATTGTTTTATATTCAATAAAAGATGTACTTGCAGTTTTTTCATATGTTATTGTACACAATGTATACATAGAAAGTTCTTAATAAAAAGGTTTATACAATATATAGTTGTTATTTATTTATTGATTCCATTGTGTTCTAAATAAAATTTGTTGATTGGGACATGAGGGAGTAGCCTAGTAATATTATCAAGATTATGATGCATTAAATTCATGTGCATCTGCCTCAATTTATTTTTAAAACTCCAGAAAAATATGATGAATTTCACATGACTGGGAATTTAATTTATATCGCCACTTGTCATTGTTTTGTAAAACATTATTGTTAGTTGTAGTAAATTGAGATTATCGTTAAAGATTGTAAGTCTATAAATGAAAATATCTTTCAATCTCAAGTTAATTATCCGATAAAGAGCTAATTTCTATCATTTTTTAAAAATATCAACGAAGTGGTCATGAGAAAAAATCCACTGCTGATCACAATCTCGTCAAGTGTCGTACGTTTGCAATCACATTATCCATCAGCTGTCTTTCTACCTTTTATATTTCAATTTTTATTCAATGAATATAATAAATCTACCGTTAATTCCCACCCTTTACCTACCGAATAGTAAAATTGATCGACTCGTGTAGGTAATAAAAATAAAACAAATCAGCTGAGTGATTACGCAACATCCTCAGATGAAAATCATCGTAAAACGATAACTTAAACAGACGGTCAGTTTTCCGTTTGAACAGTTTTGAAAGTTATATCCGAGGATGTTCAAAGTCGCCGTTGTATTTATTAAATTTGATCGTTTACAGTATTAGTCCTGGGTCGTTTCGACAATCTCGATTTTCCTTGTCAGCCGCCATTTTATTTACCTGTGAGACTTGTCAATCACAAGTTGTCTCCCTTTTACCGATTTTGATAGCGATTTGACTTCGCTATAAAGTCAGTTGCCTGGCGAGATTTAGCGATTTTCAAAATTCTTTGGCGACTTTAATCGTCATTTCGCCGGCAAGATTATGGCCTGTTATTATGTGGTTAAATTGTTTAACCTTAAAATTTGCCAATTCAAACAAATGACCAGAATATTGCCATAAGGAAATCATTAGATAAATAAAAAAATCCCTCATGTTTAACTAAAAGGCCTATCAAAATTATGAGCTTGACAAACAAAGCAACAAAAGAAATACATAAGTAAAAATTCCTTTACCATCTACAAAACAAAAATAAACCAGTACCTTTATTTAAAAATATTCATAAAAAATATGGATGGTTTTATCTGTCAGAATGCTGTGCTAAAGGGTTCATCACTTTAAATGGCTTTTCAGAGCACTAGATCTTTTAAAACAGAAAATTCCATTACACAACAAAAATTGGTAATATTCCCAAAATTTCATTTGAAGTTGTGCATCTCTCTGAAAAACCATTTCATTAACAGAAAATATTTGGTATTTCCCCTGGAGGTTACAGGAAGCTCAACTTTGGGAATTTACTTACCACTTCTTCATAACCCTAAGTTAGTAGATTTAATTCTTCAATTAGTAAATTAGTACCTTAATCACAACTAAAATGTATGCACCTTTATTATTATATGATATTGTACAATAAATAAATTTTATGCATTTGATATACCTATGAACTTTTTATGGTAAAGTGTATATTTGTTTCAAACCAATAAGTTTTTAATGCATGCATGTAGTTGAAACATTTGATGGAAGAACAATTTATCTTTCTTAATTTATTTTTATCCATTTTCTTTCATTTAACTGAAAAAAAAGTAAAATCACAAAAATACTGAACTCCGAGGAAAATTCAAAACGAAAAGTCCCTTATCAAAGGGCAAAATCAAATGATAAAACACATCAAACCAATGGACACAACTGTCATATTCCTGGCATTTTCAAATGTAGAAAATGGTGGATTGAACCTGGTTTTATAGCACCAAAACCTCTCACTTGTATGACAGTCGCATCAAATTCCATTATATTTACAACGATGCATGAACAAAACAGACATAATAGGTAACATTGTCAAAATATGGGTACAGCAGTCATCACTGTGTCACTGATTGTTCTTTGTTTTAAGTCCATCTGACAATTTATAATCGTAATTACTGTAAAACAAATTATGCATCATAGCTGGATCCTTAATAGAGTTTTAGCAGTTGTCTGAGTTAAATCAAGACTTAGTATAAGAAATGATGAGACAGGAACTATTTTGTCTCTAGATATTTGACAAGTGCAAGAATGTTCTGTAAATAAATAGTATGAGTACTTGGTATGCACGATTTCTATTTTAACAAGTTTATTGAAAGATTTAAAACCATGCTGTCTAATTCAAGATTATTACATAGAAATCAACAGTATAAACATTGTTATGGAAAGTTTAGATTTTATATATATGAACCGTTTGTGTACTGCAATGTAATGAACAGCATTGATCATTGTAATGGAATGTGTATATAATAAATGTATGAACAGTTTGTGTGCTGTGATGATATTTATAAGACTTCTCAAATTAGAAAAAAATTACTGTACATGTACCAAGAAGTCAACTTTATGGCTATTCTATATAAATATTAGGTGGGCAAAATTAACAACTCAGATGAAAACAGTCATGTGCTTTGAAGCTGGTAACATACATTATACCAAATAGAGAGCAACAAGACAAATACAGTCATTGAACCATTCTATAGTACTTTGGAGGTAACCATCAAATTCCATAAAATCTTTTCATACAAAAGGAGCCCTTATCTGTTCACAAAAACCTAAAGATGCCTCTATCAATCTTGCAAACATTGGTTTTATTCAGTTCAATAAAATGAAAGAGATTTAATCAGTATTTTCAATAAACTAGGATGAATTTCCTTTGAGCTCTTGCACAGTGAATGCTCAACACTTTAAGAGTTATATATTGGTTCAATTATTCATGTGTTGTGTTGATGGGACATGCCAACTTGAAAATGTGTGACTTCTGAGAGTAAAATGCTAATTTGAAAAGTCATATCAATATCAATGATTTGTTTATTTCAGAACAGGAAGCATTGGTTCAGGTTTCATACTTACATGCTCTCCAAAACCCTATGTTATAATTGGTTAGTGTGTTAAAAGGTTAGTAACTTTTTTCTCATACAACTGGAATTACCTGTATTCATATCACCCCAAAATCATGGAAGAACTTACTCAAATACTAACAAAATAAGAAAATAATCTTAACTTATCAGTTTAAACATAATTAAATATATGTAACTTCCAAAATTTCACTCTAAAAAATACTGAACATTCTAAATGATCTAGTGCCTTTATGATATATATCCTATATCTCCATTTTATTCATATGACAGAAAATAAGCTTCAGACAGCTCTTTTTAAAATTATACTTTAAATTAAGGCAAATAAAAAATTCCCTCCAAACATTACCTTTGGTACAAGGGTCATCCATGTAGATACTGATGTATGTAATGTCTTCATCCATGTAGGACGTCCATCCACAATCTTCTGTTCTTCATCTGGTGTTCCACCATAGGCCAAATCATCATCTTCTTCCAATATCTGCATCTTCATCAAATTAGCTATTACCTCAGCTCCTACAATAACAAATGTGTTAGAACTGCAGATTAACTGTTGCATAACTTAATGCAATGCATGATGACTTAAACTTGACAAATAGAATCATTTGCTTATTATAGAATATAAATACTGCTTAAATCAGCATTAATTACAATTGTTTACACAGAGAATTGGCTATTCACTGTGAAGAAAACTACAAATTCAAAATTTCAATAAAAAAACTCTTACCAAGATTTGTAAGTAGCACTTTCTCTGCATTGTTTGGTAGTCCTAACCATGCTGGAGTTTGTCTATCAGATTCCAAACGTTCTGCAAACTGAACAAATTGTTCTCTCCTGAAAAATATTAGGGTAAATAGTCAAATATCTCATTTCTATTTGCAGGCAAAAACAAAAAGGTTGAAACTTTCATAGAACATCAGGAAAATGTGTAAGATGGATTAACTGTACAGTGCATATACACCCTCCCCCTCCCCAATATGCATCTTCTTATACACATTGTTTCTTAAATGTTCACAGAATATATGTTCACAGAAGATCTATAAACTAGATGTTAGGAAAAGAACAGCCAAAGGTTGAAGAATGACAGAAGGACTCAGTAATTCTGTGAAAAGTATGTCATCTGAAATAAAATGCAAACTCACCCTATTTCTCACCATATTATACTTATATCCCTCTTTAATAGTTAAGACAAATATAATTTTCATGTAAATTTCCAAGGGACATAATTTCATGAAAAGAAATCATTCAAAACAAAAACAAACTTGATCAAAATTTGAATATTACTACTCACTGTACACCATCTGGCATCAATATTTTCTTTCCTTTGCCATCTACATTCATCACCAATGTAAAGTCTCCTTCAAAACTCTTTGGTGAGAACAGTTTATGTATAAATGTTGTCAATAATCTCTGAAAATCAAAATTAGAAACTTAAATATAGATATAAGAAGATGTGGTATGAGTGCCAATGAGACAACTCTTCATCCAAGTCACAATTTGTAAAAGTAAACCATTATAGGTCAAAGTACAGCCCTAAACACGGAGCCTTGGCTCACACCGAACAGCAAGCTATAAAGGGCCCCAAAAATGACTAGTGTAAAACCATTCAAACAGGTGTTTGAAAAACCAAGTCTAATCTATATAAAAAACGAGAAAAGAGAAACACATATGAACCACATCAACAAACGACAACCACTGAACATCAGGTTCCTGACTTGGGACAGGTGCAAACAAATGAAGCGGGTTTGAACGTTAAATATGTTTTATCAATAAAAATATGTTTAAAAACAAGACACTTCAGCATTCTAATCTACTTTTCCTACTTTATGGTGTTATTTTTATAACAGTTTCAGATCTAAATACTGGTATTTTCTAAAAACATACAAAAAATGCTATCAACAAAACAAAAAGGTGCCTATAATAGTACTGAAAAATGCATTTTTTGCATAAAGCCTTAAAAGTTGATAGTGAGTGAAATCCACTGTTGCTCAAAATGAAATACTGCACCAACATCATGCATTATTGGTATTTTCATATTAAAAGCTTTGCACTACTATAAAAAGGTTATTACTTGGACTATAATTAATCTGTTGCCTTTAATTGACACTGTCAACATCAAGCCATACTTTCTATTTTTAATATAACCTCTATAACATTCTTACCTGATCGAATTCGTTATCAATCTTTCCGCCATAAATACACTGTGACAACAAAGTCCTGATAGCATCCCATGGTACTTTGTTTGGTGGTACATTGGTTCTTCCCTGTGAAAAAAAAGAATAGAAAATAACACTTTATAATCTCATGGGTCAAAAGCATTTTTCTCGATTTACCTTCATCAGGAATGCTCAAAGCCATTTATTTGAAATCCAAGGATGTATAAGAACTGAAAGAGTTGAATAGCTAAAAGGATAGAAAATAATCTGATGGTAAATAAACTGGAAAATTATTGCTCACCTTATCAATAGTTTGCTCTTTTGATTCACAAGAAAAAACTTAGAAAATTACATTTGTAATGGTCTTTAAAAATCAAACTCATTTTTCTGCTTTGATTGTTATTTCCATGTACAAACCATTTTTTGTTTGTTTCACTAAGTGGGGCTACAATATTTGATCTGTATTAAATCATGATACATACCATAGCAACAGAATCTATCCATGTATCTAACATATCACATGCCACCTTGAGATCTGACTCTGTGAACTCATACTTCTTGGCCCATCCTAATGGTGTGTACCTCATTCTCTCCTGTACAATAGCATGTAACCAGGCTAACAGGAAGTATAAACGGGATCTCTCATTTGGTGCCTAAAATGAAAGTCAAATTTTTTTTACACACAGATATTTATATATATAAACCCCTAAAAATGAATGGTTCCTGAAGTTGTTTTTTTTTCAAATAAAAGTGAGATTTTTCAAATTATCTTTATGGTTAGATGTTCAAGTTTATCAAAAACTATATATCCTCTGTATAACTTGCACTTTTGAGTCCTAAACCTTTATTCTGATGTATTTTATTAGTTCAAATCAACTATATACTATAAGCAAAGTCACTTAACAGGGAGATATGTAAAAAAAAATACATTTTAACTTCAACATTTTGTGGTTGGAGGAAGATTTATTTTTATTTGCGTAATTTAATCAACAATTAAACAGTTAAATAAAGTCCTGCAGGCAAAGCACAGCAAAATTTGACTTGACATAGAAAATGCCGTTTGTTTGTTTTGTATTATAATACTCACAGTGTCCAAAGATCATTTATATACTTTTTAACATTTCGTAATTTTTTTTAAGAACAGAGTAACATTACCCTTGATTAAATATGCAAATGCAATGCATTGTTTTCTGACATGAACATTTCTGACATATATTAGTTTGCGTGATATTACCTTGCACATTCTAGATGCTGGAACTGTACTGAAAGTCCTCAACAAGTTAGCAGAGACACCTGGTGGTGGTTCAAATACAAATGCCCTTCCAGCCCTCAGCAAGTTTGTTGGAATCTACAAAATTTTATATGTTGTTTAGAATATAAATAAGGCAAAGTTTTGACAATAGTAATGTATAAATGTTAACTGATGTTTTAAGATGTCAGCACAACTTAGTAGTTCTACTATAAAAATTTCAGCTTTCATTGAGTACAGCTATATTTAAATGTGTCTACCTTAAAATAACCTTTGGTTCAAAACTTCAAAAACTCATTAACTCTGAGATGAACTAAGAATAAATCTTGATAACAGAGAAAAAGTGCTGGTGAAATTTGATATATCTATATTGCATATGTATATTTGTGTGCAACTATTTAAGCTATCACATGTGATTACAGGTTTTTTTTATCAATAATGTCTTGCAGAGTTCATTAATGATGCTTGTCCCTGTTAAAGATCTCCTGACAATTTACCTAAACAGGTTATTTCTATAGATAACTTCTTATTCAATCAAAATAATCCAATGTCTTATTACAAACTAGATATGATATAATTTGAATTGTTTTTCCTTAAATCGTAAAACATATCTGTAACCTTGTCTAAAATGCTTGTCAGTGTCACATGATTTGAAAATTTAGAAAAATTGATATTTGAGCACAATTTTCAATAACTTCTCACTTGGGTTCACTTTATGAAGTGAAAGTGCTTGGCTGAATATAAAGGTCATTCTGAAATGGACATGTGCTATCATGTCTGATAAAAGATGTTGAAAAAAATAAAATTATTTGTGACATTTTGGACTTCTCAGAGACAAAAAGAGAACAAGATTTATTTTGATTGAATGCAAATTACAAAATTTGTTTTTACTTATCGATATGACAATTTCCAACTGCTCATGGTCAACATTACACTTTAATCACACAAAAGCCAAGAAAGGATTCTATTATGTTCCTTTAAGATTATGTCCAAGGACAATCATTCTAGTGTCATTGAAACATAATGGATGGATGTTAAATACTTATAGGGTTGTCTTTCTACCAGGACAAATACAAATGAATGTCATATAGATCTGAACTAGACATAGCCAGACATGTTTCAACCACAAGCTCATAAGGTGATTTGCTAGCAGAAGAGAACCAAATTTACATTGTTTTCACTCTGAGCTGTCCAGTCTAGGCTGTTACTTTTAAATGTGAAATATGATCTGGATAAGTAACAATTTAATTTAAAATTACTGATCTTTAATTTATAACAGAGGCACAAACATCTCTGATATACTAGTATCTCAATGCACATGGAATGTTTAGTAGTTTTACTCATGATGCTAGTGTTTGACAGTCAAACATTCATATACATTTATAGTTCTCTCTTAAAAACCATGCATTCAATACACGCATAACAATCCTTTATATACATCAGAGCACGATAAACAAAATGGTCAATCAATTTACACTGTGATTATAAAACACAGAGCATGATGAATAAAATGGTCAAATAATTTACACTCTGAATATAAAACATGCATCATTTCCTCAGCTGATTCATTACATTTTCATTTTATATAAAATATGACTTTTTTCAAAGTCTGGAACGAATCAGCTTCCTTTATTGATAAGCTGTACAAGAATCAGTGCATCAGTAGATAAATGTCAGTGTTTTATCACTTTCTGTATTTATATACTCAATAATACATATCCTCTAAATATTTTGTCCTGAATATGCATGAAATATTTGCTACTTAAAGTTAAGCAAACAACAATCAATTATAATAGTAAAATATCAATAAATGTATTTGGTATTGTTGAAATTAGTCACAGCCATAACTGCCATTTATATCCAAATTCTGCAGATTTGATATTATAACTAGACCCAATGTTGACACTGTATGTTCCAATAGTTTAGTTATCACATTCCTTGATAAATAAACTGTTAACAAAGATATATGTCTCGCCTGTCGGCACAAAATCCAGAGAAAGACAATCTGATGGAAGCAATATTGCTTCATAATTCAAAGTTCTGGACCATGATGTAGTGGGCAGGGCCTCGAAATGGTCGACAAACTGAGATGTACAGAGAGTAATTTTTACTTTATAGAAAATATCGTTGTCTATTGTAAGCAGTTCCTATCAATCTAATTTAAGCAGAAAACTTAACAATTGCTGACACCTTTGCAGCAATCCCTATGTCTCGTTTTCTGAGATTTTTGTCGCAGGCGAGACAAAAATTATAAGACTGACAGACAGCAAAGATCTGCAATACTTATAGTTGTTCAAAATTTTCTAATTACTACATGTAGTTCTGTACTACAGATTTTTTAATCTCCAGAAAAAGAAATCTAGCATTTATATTATAAATGCTACTCTAGAAAAATCCAGAAATATGTATAAATATGTGTTGTATTAATATGAAAGCCAATCAGTAAACATAATTCTATGTATGAGAAAGCAGTTTATATCTAAGCATAAAGATGCCATAATTTCTGCTTAAATTTGTTTAATATATATAAGTATAATTCTAAAGTTTACACAACAGAACAAATGTGTATGTGTGGTTCAGCTTCAATAGATGATCAAATACATAAGAACACATTACTAGTTATTGATAAAGGATGAAAAATCTTGTTGAGATTTAATAACATTTTGTCTCGTTCTCAATTCATATTTGCAGTACCAAATGTTTAATGCAGCACATTTTTACAGTTTGAAGATAGAACTATGACATATTGTATCATTTTGAACTTTATGATAACTTGAGATCACTAATTCTGTTGCGACATTTCTAAGAAAATGTTTACTATCTAATCACGTAATCAGTAATTATGCTGCATGTCAAAGTGTATTTAATACTAGAGTTCATAAATTGGAAAAGTGCTGCAGACACAACCAGTTTATTAAGTGTTATTTTCATCATTTTTTTGTGTACTTTTCCACACAGTGCTAATGAACCATTTCTAAACATTGTTAAACTGCTTAAAAATTGCAGCTGAAAAAGCAACACTGTGTTAATTGATATAACAAATCCATAAGTTATAACTCCTTGCTATTGTTACTGATCTTTAGTTAAACCACACATTTATTTAAAAATAAAACAAACAAAAACAAACAATGACATAAAATGAAGCTACTCTAACTAAGCTATTATAAAACACATCACAAACTGCACATATTACCTTGAACCCTTGTTCATGTATCTAACAACAGGTACAAAGTCACAATTATTTATATTTCACACATGCATAAAACAAACATTTATAAAGAAAATATGTAATGGTTGCTTTCTGGTAGAATTGGCCTGGCAAAAAATATTGAAAGCTTGCATCATAAAAATATGAAAGCTGAAAAGAAACATTTTCCCCCTCTGTTTGCTTTTAAACACGATTGCCAGCATTTAAGCTATAGAAAGATTCACTAAAGTCTGAACTCAGTAAAAGTATAGGAAATTTAAAGCTGCTACAAATATAGCTTTACCCATTATTTTCCTTCATGCAACATATATTTAACAAAGCTATAACACAACTTGGACCATGAGAACACTAAGTGATGATGTACTTTGCTCAGGTGCAAACAATTCTTCATGCTTCAAATAAGCAAAAAATAATTAAACTTGTGTCTTCTGTATTAAATCATATACAATGAACATTTCTGTATGGCCTCAATGAATTTTGAATGCAGGTAAATACCTTCACATATATCTATATGATCTTGATGAATTTTGAATGGGATAAAGACCTTCACATATATGTATATCATGCAATAAAACAAGATATGTGTGTGTTACCTTAGGATTAATCTCCATGGTTAAGAACAATCTAAAGCTAGGATGTGGTGTCAGATTATGTAGTTTCTTCTCTAACTGTACAAGCCATTGTGGTGCTAAGTGAACATTCTTCAACATCACCCATCTTCCTGACTTGCTGGAGGCATTAATAACCTTCTCTGCTTGAGTAAAGCCTTCTGATGAACCTAAAACAAGGAGAAAGCAACCAAAATGTATGATACAAATTAAAACTGACTGAACCTCTGAATTAAATCTGGTTGCTTGCAGAAAAAAATCTTAAAATGTTCTTTCTTGCCTTGATATATCTCATTTCTGCCATCTTTAAATTTTCATAGTATACTAGAACACACCCACAATATTGCAGGTCCATGACTGAATTAAAGTACCTATGCCTTATTTTTAGACTAGATTTTTAGTATTTGTATGTCATCTGATAAAGTTATGCTGATGGTAAGGTGCACAGTTTTCTATGCTTTCAAAATCTGTCTGTTTGAACCCATCCTTTTTACTTACCACAGTAAACTTACTATAAACTAAATTAAATTTTTTAACTAATTAACCAAAATTAATAGTGGTATTGAGGTGGAAGAAAACAGACTTGTTAAATAGTGTACTATAGTGTGACATAGGTATAAAACAACTACTGGAAGAATTACATGTTCTCCTGATAGAGGAGGGATTTACAGAAGGTAACAGGTAAATACAACTGGAAACTACATATGACATATACTATTGTTATCAATATCGGATTCGACCCGGAACTTGTTAATTATTGGTAATATCAATTATGTCGAAAACAAAAGGGCCTGGAATGGTGTAATTTTTAAAAACACCATTGTCCTACATGTATATTAGTTATATATAAAGTTGAATTCTTTGATTCATCATTCTTACGTCATGCCGGCTAACAAATTGGACATCGTTATTTCAGTAGTATAGATTAGGATTTTTTTCATTATTCTTATTTAGTATTACTGCATAGAATAAACTCTTTATAATCACCACCTACCAATAGCAATTGGTGTTATCTGTTTTCCAAGTTCTGTTGCTAAATCATCAACCCATCCACTAGCATCATATCCAGGAACTGAGCACATCAACACGGGGGTATTTGCTTTTATCTGAAAAAAATATCATACTGTCAATTAAATGTTTGTTTAAAAAACATTAATATGAACTTGGTGTTGCCTCAATAACTACTCAGCAATTTATGCATTATCAAAGGAAGCTCAAACACTCAGCATACATATACTAAAATCCAGCTCAAAATTAACTTAACAAAAAGTACAAAGTTTAAACTACCAACAGGTGCTCCCCAATTTATTCATAGAAAAGCCTGTAATTTAGTGGTTGTTGTTGGTTACTGTCTGTCTTGTTTGTTAATTTTATTCTGTTTTTAGCACAACTCATGCAATTTGTTTTCTCTTATGAAATTGGACGAAAAATAATTTGAATTCATTCTTTTATACTATTAGTAAATTTTTTTATAAGTTATCATTTGGCAGAACACTGGTTACCTCATTTTCCACAATATCAGATAAGTTGAGTTCTTTTTCTCCACTGTGTAAGAATGCAGGTCCTAATGACTTCTCTACAAACACTCTTGCCATGGCAGTCAATCTGTCTGGTCTCAAAGCTTGGATCAATAATAATCCATTGACTGCCTTGCCTGTAGGATCTACATATAAAAGATTACACATGTCAATAATCTGCATGCAACTTAGAAACGTAAATATAATTGTTCTCTGAGTTATCTCTTATAAAACAGAAAGAGTGGAATTGTAAACAAGCTCATAATATTAACCACACTTTAATTACATTCAATATATTTGAGTTCAATTATACACTCTTCACTTTGTCTAATGTCAGTCATTATGAGTATTAAAAATCTTCATCTAATGTATTACCTATGTGCAAAGTTTCATTTAAATTCCTCCAATGGTTTAAGACAAGTTGAGCTTGCATGCCTCAATTGAATTGAGAGCGGGGTAAAACACCAAAAATGTAAAAAGTTTGTTTATGAAATTAATTCAAAATTTTAAATGAGAAATTAAGTTTCTTTTCATGCTGTATACAGTTGAACACAAATAATGCAATTTCAATATCTCCTAAATCATTTTACTAGAACAATAGCAATACATTATATCGTTATCTTTTTTCTTTTGAATTGTTTCCTATGTTGTCATGTAGGGACCTTTAATAGCTGACTATAGGGTATATAGACTATAATGGTTTTGCTCATTGTTGAAGAAAGCACAGTGATCGTTTAATCCACATCATTTGGACTGTATTTCATAGTTGTCCCATTGGCAATCATACCACATCTCCTTATTATATATTATGAGAGGAGGGAGATATAATCTAGGATGACAAAAAATATCTCATTACATACTCATTGGTTTATCTTCTTCCCATAACTGTATGACATCTTGTTCTGGTGCTGCACTTTCTAACCAGGTTTGAAAAGCCTAAAATAACATAAAAAGATCTCATAGTTTTTTAATGCATTAAATAAATGTAAAATATATGTACAACTTATGTATTGGCAAAAAATATTATCTTATATGAATGTAAAACTGAAGTTGTGTTGACCAATTTTCGATTTTGGATTTTCTTTTTTTAAATTCAACTTACATCACTGGCTTTGATTTCTTTGACAATGTTTCTGAATGTCCTCAGTTTGCTCAGCCTTGCAACAGAAGCTAACTACAAAATAAATAAAACAAGTGAAATGTTAGATATTGCTCACTAATGATACCCCCGCTATTAGTATTTGGTAAACAGGAAATTGACGGATGTAAAAACGCATCACACAATATAGCATGTTCACATGAAGTTTGGTTCCAAATCTCAGAACGCCTTGATTTGTAGTTTTGAGATAAATGCAATAAAAACTTCATACATGGCTATCATGTGTAAGAGTATATAAGCATTTGGTAAACAGGAAGTTGATGAGAGATGAATCTGAAGATGTATCTCACTGTATAGCATGGTCACATGAAGTATAATACTTAATTTCATGAAGCTCGGATTTGTAGTTCCCCCGAGAAATGTGACCAAAATTTTATTGGATGGACAGACAAACGGACACCATATTGGATGGACAGACAAACCGACACCATATTGGATGGACAGAGAGATGTTGATCAGTACACCCCTCCTTCCTTTGGAGCAGGGTTTTAAAAAATAACATTTCATTGAACTGCATATTTCATACTAAATACACTGTATTTAACTTGAATTTTGTGAAAAATCATATTGTCTACAATTTTATTAAATTTTTATCACATTGTGAATTCATCTAATCTGTACTGACATGCAAAAATAGACATCAGACATAAAAAATCTTCTAGATTTTATTGTATACAGTGACAGTCTTTAAATAAACGAAGAACATGTAATGTTTGTTAACACCAAGTTTACAAATTATGTATAGAATTCTTTAGTTACTACAAATGTTAACTGATCTTATATGGTTATACAGTTCTTGAATAAAATGTAATCATCACTATCTGATGCTGGTTTCTTTTTATATAGATATTTTAAACACAGCTTTAGGTCTGAAAATATTTTCTGGCTATAGTAGAATGAAAAAAAAATATTTAAAAAATCTTTAGTGGTCGATTTAGCTCATTTCTATTTTTTTCATGATCAATATAATCTTCAAACAAGTTATAAATCCAGACAAACTATACAAGCATTCATTTCAACAAAAGTATTGAGGTTAACAATAAATTTCTTTTCTAGCTTATTACATTCTAGGGTTGCTGTCTGTGAATCTGTCACATATGCCAATTGCAATACTAAATCTTCAGTCAGTTAATTATTTTATTTTGCATTTATTCATTTTATTTTTCATAAAATTGCACAACAGAAGACCACCATTCTAAAGGATGACTAAAGGTTTCAAAAGAACTTTTCTAAACTTGTTTCTGGTGGACAATGGAATTCCAAGTAAGCTAAATACATTGAAAATAGATATATTATTTAAATGCATGCATCATAAAAACCAGGTATTTGAAAAAGTATCAAAACCAATGTTATTTGCTATCTGAGCCATTCCGAAATGATAAATATCTTACCTGATGCTGTGACAGTCCTGGAATAGAAATGGTTGATCTCTCAGTCATCAGGGCTTCCTGACTTCTCATAAACTGATTAAACTCCTCATCATAACTTGGTTCACTATAAAATAATTATTTTCTCTATACAGTACAATTGTAATAATTCATCTAATTTCACTTGTTTCATTATCAAATTATAAAAGCAATGCTTAGCAGAAAGAACATTTTTAAAAGAATATTGAATCTTCCTTGACTGGAAAATTCCATTTTATTTTGAATCATCTTGGAACAAAGCTAATTATACAGACTAATTAAGAGGTGTTCGTGTATCTTTTCCCAAGTCAGGTAACACTCATCAGTGCTGATCTTTAGTCAAATCTTCATGGTTTTTTTTTTTTATTGCCCTTAGGAAAATTTGATGTTTCCAAGATTTGAAGGCATGATACTAAAAGACTTGAATGCTGTGTTTATGTAAATTTACATGAAATGAAAGCAACATTCACATTTTTAGCTTTCTTTGCTTCATGCCAAATGTGAAGGTCACTTGCTTCCATTTCATATAAATTTTCAGAAAACAGGAGTCAATTCTATAGTTAAAATTTGTAATGGTTCCGCGGAACCCAGTGTCTCGCCTACTTTTGCTGTTAGTCGCAGGCTCAACAAAAATGGGGAAAAAATTATTAAAAACTTTCCTCTAGATACTATCTTTTGATTGTCAGAAGCTTCTGTCCAAGTTTGGTAAAAATCCAGGATGGTTTATGAATCTAACAAGCATTCTGTGAGTATTGCCTGGCAATACATAGTCCCCTACCGGTTAAAAATTCACTGTACTGGAACAAAATGCTAAATTGATCTATAACTTGTCATGATGTAAACTATATAACAAATATCAAGTCAATATCTTCAAGCATGACGGAAAAAAAATGTCCAAGGAACATAACTCTGCACAAAACCATCAGATCAGAACAAAAATCGAACTTGATCTGTAACTTGTCATGATAAAACTATATACCAATTATCAAATCAATATCTTCAAGCATGACGAAACAAGTGAAACTGCGAGCTACTGCTCACGGATGATACCCCCAGCCCAAATACTTGACGGTAAACAGGAAGTTGTTGAGTAATGAATCTGAAAACGCACCACACGGTATAGCTGACTCATATAAACCCTGAAACCAAATTTCAGAAATCCTTGTAATGTAGTTCCTGAGAAAAATGTGACAAAAATTTTCAACTTGGATGGCATGTGTAAAATGATATAAGTATTAGTTAAACAGGCAGTTGTTAAGTGATGAATCTGAAAACGCATCACAGTGTATAGCTGACTCCTATAACCCCTGAAACCAAATTTCAGAAATCCTTGTAATGTAGTTCCTGAGAAAGATGCAACGAAAAATATTCATGGGACGGACGGACGGAATGACAGATGGACTGACGGACCAACAGACAGAGGTAAAACAGTATACCCCCCTTTTTTAAAGCGGGGGTATAAAAAAAAGTGAGGAAAACTGATTATTTGAGTGAATTTTCTAAGTCCAAGGACCATACCTCTGCACAAAATCATCAGACTGGAACAAAATTTGAACTTGATCTGTAACTTGTCATGATAAAACTATATACCAATCATCAAATCAATATCTTCAAGCATGACAAAAAAAAGTGCGGAAAACTGATTATTTGAGTGAATTTTCTAAGTTCAAGGACCATAACTCTGCACAAAATCGTCAGACCGGAACAAAATTGGAACTTGATCTGTAACTTGTCATGATTAAACAATACACCAAGTATCAATTCAATATCTTCAAGCACGAAGAAAATAAGTGTGGAAAACTGATTTGCCAGACAGACGGATCGACAGACAGACAGACAGACAGACAGACAAACGGATAGAAGGCAAACCTAAAGTCCCCCTCGATTTCGTCGGTAGGGGACTAATAACTGTTTTAAAAACTTTAACTGCAGACTGTATGTAATGTTAACTGGAAGAAAAACTAAGTCCATTTATAAGTAATATACGGAAAAACAGGAAATAAATTTTTACAAAATTTCCTTCTGAATACTAGCTTTTGATCATAAACAAGCTTCTGTCCAAGTTTGGTACAAATCCAGGATAGTTTAAGAAAGTTATTAAAATTTTTAAACTTTAACCACAGAGTGAATGTAATGTTAACTGGCAGAAAAACTAAGTCCATTTATAAGTAAAATACAGATAAACAGGATTTTTTTTTTTACAAAATTTACTTCTGGATACTATCTTATGATCATAAACAAGCTTCTGTCCAAGTTTGGTAGAAATCCAGGATAGTTTAAGAAAGTTATTAAAATTTCAAAAACTTTAACCACAGTGTGAATATTTGTGGACGCCGCCGCCGATGGAATGTAGGATCGCTATGTCTTTTTTTTGCGACAAAAAGTCACAGGCTCGACAAAAACCAATAGATATCTTGAGATCACTAATTCTTTTGTGACATTTTTAAGCACATATTCACTTTGTTATCTCAGTAATTATGCAGAGTGTCAAATATTTCTTCAACTTCTCATTCATAAATTGGTACTATTTCAAAACGAACCATTTTTACAACTTACTAAACTGCTTGAAAAAAATTGAGCTGGAAAATCTACACCATGTTAATTGATATAACAAACCGTTAGTTATTACTGCTTGCTATTGTTATTTAGCTTTGGTTAAACCACACACTTATTTAAAAATAAAACAAACCAAAACAAACATTGACATAAAATGAAGCTACTCTAACTAAGCTATTATAAAACACATCAAAAACTGAACATATTACCTTAAAACCTTATTCCTGTATCTAAACAACAGGTGCAAAGTCACAATCATTTTTCACACATGCATAAAACAATTGAAAAGTTTATATGCTATGACCTTTTCTAGGAGAATTGGCAGGCAAAACATATTGAAACTACAACATAGAAATATGAAAGCTCAAAAGTAACATTTTTTACTCTGTTTTCTTAGAGACACTACTATCTGACATGACTACCAGTATTTGAGCTGTAGAAAGATTTATTTAAGTCTGAACTCAGTTTAAATATGGAAAATTTAAAGCTGCTATACAGTTTTTTGTTTACCCATTAATTTCATTCATGCAATAAATATTCAACAAGGCTATTCCAAAATGGGACTATGAGAACAAGCATTTGAGCACACTATAAATGTGATATCGGTTTTGCTAAAGTGCAAATATTTCTTCATGCTTCAAATAAGCAACAAATAAATAGCCAACAAAGCAAAAATGAAGACAAGTATTTGCAGCACACTATAAACTTGTGTCTTCTGTATCTAACCATTATCAATGTTAATCCCATATTATTTATAGTTCTGTAGGTATTTCTACCAAGACTGGCCACATAAATTACTATCGTGTTAATTCTGCATGGGCCTGACATTCCAGCCCTATGAACTATTAATACTACTTAATTGACTGGTAGACTGGTCAGTCTCTGTTATTCTTTTGAAATGAGCAGATACTCATACTTTTGCCTTTGGAATAGGAACATGTATTAAGACAACAATCAGACTAACTGCCTACAAACCTCTGTATTTATTGTACATGTATGTTAACATGTAATCAAACCATATGTCTAAATAAAATTTTTGTATAATTATCTTATATTCCATAACTTGGGTAGACAACAGGAAGGTAACGAAGCAGTGGAAACCAACTTTCATAACCATTTTCAGAAAACAGCATTCAATTCTACAGTAAAACGCAATAGACCTACCTCTGTTTTCCTTGAAGATAAATTCTACACAACTGCATGGCAATAGTGACCCTGTCATGATGGAACATTCCTCTTCCTACTCTGCTGTAAGTTTCCTGTAAATATTCATTACAATATACTACTTCAACAAGATAACTCTACTGTCATAAATATTAATTCCTTATACTACCATACTACTTCAAACAAGATACAGGTAATAGATGTTACCCTCTTTTAATATGCTGCATGTTTAATTCTATCTTTCAAAATATGATTACATAATTTAATTTTTTTTCAAATATCAATAATCAAACTGCAATTGTCTAATTTTTTTCTATTAATTGATTTTCAAGGAAATTAATTGTCTTGATGTATTTTTCAAAGAAAACTTACCACAAATAGTTCATTAGTGATAATGGACAATCTAGCAGCATAATCCTTTTGTCCTTTCAATTTGTCACTGCTGGTAAATACAGTGTGGAAAATCTCCAGGAAGAACTGTAGTGAGTACTGGTAGAGGAAGTGTACCTATAGATACAATAAAACATCTATAATACTATCTTCTTTTTATACTGATAGTAAATAGGAAATACAAAAGAGAAGGAGAACATGTTAATGTCTTATGAATATGAACCCTGCTTTATACTAAACCGACACACTATGTCTGGTCTTTGATGTGTGATTTCATAAGCTAACATGTCAACCTACACTAGCACATTATTAGGACTCAAAGCCAACCAGTCTTTTTCTTACTTCTAAATACTGCATGCCTAGCAGAGAAGCAGCAAATACCATTTTTTTTTGTTTTTGTTTGACCCGACTATGGATTGCACTTGAGAAGAGCACCTAACCAAGATACCACTGAAGAGATTACTGGCCATGTGATTGGTTGATTGATTGCTGTTTAACCCCACTTTCAACACTATTGTGCTATTTCGTGGCAGTCAGTTTTTATTGGTGGAGGAAAACTGACAATCCTAGTTAATTAAGATTGGAGTCGAGTGCACCTGCCCCGTGTGGGATTTGAACTCACAACCTCAGTGTTGACTGGCTAGTGATACAGTAGTTGGACTACTTAGACCACTCGGCCACCGAGGCCCCCTTGGCCATGTGACATCAGGCAACTAATAACAAACTATAATTCAATCTAACATGATACAATGGTTTTCTTCAGAACTTATCATAAACTATATCCACAAAATATTTATATAACAATATTGTTTCATGAATTATACCCACAAAATATTTATATCATAAATTTGTTGTAAATATGAATTTGAGCCTAAGTGATGAATATTTTCAGTGCTTCTTCTATGACATCAACTCTTTGAGACCATAGATATATTTGTACCTGTTTGAGAGCCTCAAGCGTAAAGTATATACTACTACATGACATAGCCAGAGGAACATATTGCTGAGAAACAGTCTCAACTTCTGCCATGATAACGTCCGTCTCTTCGACCTTTTTAGCCACCTCTGCAGCCTCTTTCTTTAAAGTCTCCAAATGGGAAATGATACTGTTATCATCTAGGATTTTACCCTTGGACTCATTCAGAGCTTGTAATAAGGACTTCTCAAGTTGTCTCAGTTTCAGCTGGAATTCACCTAAAAATGGATAAAACATTCATTCATTGCTCAAATGATACATCGTTGTACAAAAGCACTAGAAAGGCAGATACTGTCTACTCAAATATTTGTGTGTCTTCTTGAATTCCATGAGTGTTTATAAATGGAACCACACCTGACAGGTTTTTTTTTAAAAATATTCAAAGATCTTTCCTATGTACTGTCCTTTTGATAAATTTTAGTCATCAATCTTTTCAGATCTTGACTTTGTACATTATTTATAAATATTTAAAACTCAAAACTGACCTTGCAATTTCAACAAATCAGATCTCTTAGCATCAACATCAGGCCTTTCTGATTTCAGAACCTGCAAAATAATGTTTTCTATTGTAGTAAATATATCCATTATCAAACTTAAAGCTTTAATTCCTGCTTCATTATATTTATCTATAGATCATTTTTGCCAATTTTCTAGATCAAACTTTTTATTACATACAATGATATTAGCATACAAGTTAACATGAATGGAATAACTGTTTCTGATTTTAGTAAAATGTTATGCACATGTAAAATAAACATATAGTGTTTTAATCATGCAATTGACACTATAAGTTTAGTTTTTTTTTAATAGAAATTGACATGGCTTATACACAGCTGTGAAGGGGACCCCTAAATGTGATGTAAACAGTAATTTTAATATTAACCATCGCTCACCATAGAAGCAAGATAACAGGAGACTCTATTTGTATAAGTACAAATAAAGTAATCATTTATTTGTATACCAAATATTTGTACAATCGTTGGTTGATTGCAGACATTTCTGTGGTATCAAATTAGCCTACCTGGTTCAAACACTGGTCTTGTAAACTACTCCTTGTCACTGTAAAGTTTACAAATGTAACTCTGGAACATATGTCTGGAGGGAACTCAACCTGTTTGGAGAATATATAAATAATAATTCAAGTTTCTGAAGAGATATTTTAACATTTTTTAATGAACCAAGCTTCAATTAACAAACAGATACATTTATTTGAACCTCAACTGCAAACATAATATACTCAATATAAAAAGAGCCATATAATCCAGTTTTTCTACATTCGTATTAATAATTTTAATGTGTATGTTTCTTGCCATAAGTGTTATACTGAACCAAGAATCATCCTTAGAAACTTTGAAAATCAATTATATAGATTCAAACTTACCAATGGATCTCTTGTGGACAGGAAGATAGTAAATGTAGGAGACAGATCAATATCCTGATCACCTAGAGTAATCAAAACTCTCCCACCTGTTCTCCTCAACTCTCTGTTCAACACTGGGTTCAGGATAGGATCATAACTTTCTACATCCTGCAATTACAATTATAAGAATGGTAAAAATAAAAGCAATCCTTTCTTTCTTATCTCTTTGGATATACGAAAGCAAGCAATGACATATATGAAAAAGAATAAATATAGGTGGAAAGAAAAACAATAAAAACACTTTTCTCTTTATTGGTTTTTTTTTTCTTTCTTTAGTATACTTTTAATAATGAATAATGCCAATTATTTACTTAAAACAGTTGTTTTTTTTTGCACATAACCACTAGATTTAATCTCAATACGACAGCTAAAATGATGTCTCCATCAACAGTAAAAACTAACATAATCTCCTTTTCCTTTTTGTAAGATCAAAGCAAGCTGTCAAAATTGTATCTTAGAAATTAGATTTCTGTAACATTATATTCATCATACCTGAACAAGTAAAGGATTTCCAAATCTAAGTGCACTTTCCAAATTCTTCCTGAAAGCATCATCTAAGAAGCTAGTCTTTGTGATTTTCTTTTCTCTGTATTCATTCATGATAAATTCTGTAGCCTGACCAGAGGGATCAATGATCAATGGGTATCTGTTATATCTCTTCAGCATGATGGCATTCTCTGTACACAGATCATCAGCAGGAAGTGTATTAGCTTGCCATCTCAGTCTGTCATCAGCATTAGATAGATACTGAAATTATATGTTATCAGTTCAAGGTTCTTACTCTTTTTTCAACAAAACATTCCAGGGGTTCAAGGATTTCTCCAGAACATTCATAAAATTTCAAAGACAGTATTAGAAGATATAGATGAAGAAACCATAAGTGAATCAGAGGTTAAAAAAATCCTACCTCTTAAAAACATTTCCAATTCTGAATATGACATGCAATCGCTTAAGGGAAAACTTGAATTTTATTAAATCGTACCGAAAGTTTGCATTAAAAAAATAATTTCCAAGATTTTTGGCATTTGTATGAAATTTTAAAGACCTTTACGGGCCTGTAATGACTGAAATAAAATTCCAGGCTCTTTCCAGTTACATGTACCAATGGGAATCCTATATCATGTAATTTTTAAAAATTCATTATGTATTTTATTGTTTGTATGTTTCTCTAGTAGATCTCAAGCAAACTTTATGAATTCAATAGAGGATTTAGATAGTTTCATGATGTCACATTGACTTCACAATATTACATTCTTTCATTAAATAAGACAAACTTTATCCTCTAATTTATTTATCAATAAAATTATAATTTTGCAAGGTTTGAAGAATTTAGAAATTTCTAAGACCAAATGAAGGAATTATTATACCCTCTCCTTTATTCCCTTTTCAAAATAACAAATTGACAGTTTGCCTTCATACCTCAGTTCTGGCCAAGTCATTTCTAAACTGAACATGTGCCTGTTGTATATGTGCTGACCACGTTGTAAATAAGTTCCTTCTCATCTGTTGGTCAAAGTATCCTGAAAATTAATACAATACATAAAGTATCTCCTACCAACTGTTCAATAAAAATATAGGCTTCATCTTGAACAACTAAAAAGCTAATTCTGGATATGGCAGTTGAAAAATTTGGACCTGATAAATAAGATTAACTTCTTCAAGTAATTTTGAAGTACAGATTGTTACCATAATGCCAGAATAACAGTTGGAAACTGAAAAACTCACATTATTGTTCAAACTTTCTATGCTAGTTTTCATATATTTTTTCACCATATAAACTTACCTGCATATGCCATGAAAGCTGATGATAGCAATACATCACCAATAATAGTTGACATTTGACTCTTAAATGTCTCACTGCCAGATTCCCATCTCTGTTTCTCTCCATCCAAACTCTTCAACAAAGCTACACTTCTTCCGACCTATAATATATATGTGATATTTTTGGTTATCATATAAGGGATCATAGATTTATTCTTACGAGGAAGCTCCGAGCATGCTCAGAGGATGCTCGGAGCTTTTTAAGTAGGCTCTTCTCAGTTATTAATGTGACAATAATTATCATGATCCATTAAGATGTCAATCAAATCTTTAGCACTTTTATAATAAGGAAAGTAGAGCATTATAGAGGAAGCTCCATTAACACCTGTGTAAACATCTGGTCTATTCAAACAAATCTTGCATTAATTTTACAAAACTATAAAATAGATGAGAAATTCTTCAATATTACTGTACAATGCTTGGTATCAAGTCTTCACAGAAAGAAAATGATTTTAAAACATTTTCTTAATAATCATCATTCTTTAAAAAACACTCAAATTTTATATTTGAACTATAAATATATTTTAAATTTATACTATATAAAATGAAATATAAAAGTCATCAAAGACACAAACTATGGTTATTGATTTATTACCATACTACCAAAACATGGTACATTCAGTTTCATGCGAAAAAGGGTTGATCTTTTTTTATATTCCATTTAATTTGACAGTTGTTCGAAATTAACCCTCCATTTCATTGCAGAAAAGTTTTTTTGAGTCATAAACATGTTTCTTGGGTGTTTCAAAGCAATAAAAATATACTATATTCTACAGGGAAAAAAGGGGGAGAGAATTTGATTGGTTAACTTCTAGTGATGTTTACTTTCTTATATCATTGTATATGCACTGAAAAGTTATGCTATATTTTCACTGTAGTACAGTACATTTATTTATGTCAAGTATTTCTTTATTTAAAACATAGATAAATTCTGCACATTTTTTTTTTAAATATAACAATCATGACAATTAAACAAAGACATATAGGGGGAAAATAATTTTACTCCTGCCAAGTATTTCTTTATTTAAAACAAAGCTAAATCTGCACAATTAAAAAAAAATTCCAAGTAAAGAGAGACTTACTAGAGGGAAAACAATGGTGGTATTACCCCCTCAAACCAGGCTTCCACTAATGAATTACAACTTTTCTTCAAGTAGCCATAATTTTCTATAAAAGAACTTAGTTTGCTATTTTATAAAAAAAAAAAATATTACCATTGTTTAGTTAGGGGCATTACTTAAACAAGTAATTTTCAAAATTACCTATACAAGTTATGTTGAAAACGAGGCTGTTTCAAATATTACTTCTATATCATGAATAAGTAACTTCTGTTAATATTATTTTTATAGGTGTCCATTCATACAGGTTTTACTAGCTTTAACAAATTTTCACAGACATCTGGTTATTTTCCCCATGAAACTATTTAAATCCTCAACAACACTAATTGCTTTTCTGATGCCACACTTCTTGTTGGTCAAAGATTAGCCTCTTGGGGCTATTAAAATATCATTTCCCCTTAAAATCTTAGAGATAGACAGTTATCACTAGATATGGAACCTTTAACTTGAAATTATTTATAATTTGAATCTTAATCAAAAGCAATCACATATATTCCTTAAATAATTGTAAGTACTAAGTTTTTTGAAGTTGTATAAAATAATTTATTAAAGTAATATTTTTGTCATTATTTTTTAAAGTAACCTCTCTATACTTATCTAAAATTGGAGAAATACTTAATTTTATTTAATGAAATGATCTAAAAATTCTTAAAAACTACATTTAGTCCATGCTTTATTTGACATTTAAAATAACTTTTGAGTTATTAAATAATTTTTAAAAACAAAAAATACTTATAAAAGTGACTAAAAAAAATTACTTGTTTAGTAACGCCCTTGACTGTTGTTTGTGTCTTGATAACTTTTATGTAGCATAATATATAATATAAACTATTTTTAAATCATATCATCTAATTATAAAATTTGAGAATTTTTTTATTATAAAAAAAGGAATGATTATTAAATATAATAAGACAATATTTAAATGACTTTTACTTTTTGTGGAGACTTAATATTTCTTTCAAAGCATTACACAGCACAGTTGAAGAATTTCTAATCTACTTTATAGTTTTGTAAAATTTCATGCAAAATGTATTTGAATAGACCAGATGTTTACACAGGTGTTTATGGAGCTTCCTCTATAATGCTCTACTTTCCTTATCATAGAAGTGGTGTAGATTTGATTGACATCTTAATGGATCATGATAATTATTGTCACATTAATAACTGAGAAGAGCCTACTTAAAAAGCTCCGAGCATCCTCCGAGCATGCTCGGAGCTTCCTCGTAAGAATAAATCTATGATCCCTAAGATGTCAATTTTTGTAGATTGAGTGGGTATAGGTGAACCACAATTTAAATGTCTAACATAGTACATGTTTTTAAAGGCTTGTGTACAGACCATGGCTAAAATCAAAAGACCAAAATTAATATCCAAAAAAATAAAAATTTTCCTCAATCCAAGGATATTGGTAACAACAAACAATTCAAGAAAATGATAGCATTGATCAAGAAAAAAAGAACACCACAGAACTATAATTTTGCTGTTAAGTAAATAATCACTAAACATATTCAATACTTTAGACCTGATAAATCAAAACCTTTCAAATTAAAGCAGCCAGATCTTATATTAAGGTCTGGACCTAACAGATCAATGCTAATTGTTGATTTGACAGCATCAAGGTCCAGTTCCATGGTTTGAGCCTGACATATCAGTACTAACCTTTGATTCAACAGCAGCAAGATCCTGTTTGATAGCCTGAGCCTGACTAATCAGTATAGCATATTCCTCTTTGTATTTGCCAATACTCTTCTCTAACTCATTAATAAGCTTGTTAACCTCAGCAGCTTTCATCTTATTTTCATTTGAATGATCTTCTAATTCTTGTAATTCATTTCTAAGAGGTTCTACTCTCTTCAACATGTCAGCATATTGGATCTAAAAAGTAAAAGAAATAGTTTGCATAAATATTAAATATATACAAAAATGTATGAGTTTTGATATTTATTAAATTTAAAGCAAGGTCTTATAATTACAATTGTTCCTCCCTTTCTGTTATAAGTATTTTTTTTTGCCTAATTCTAAACTGAATTTCATGCTGTAAATACTTTTAAAAATCAATTAAGTAATGCATAATAATAGTTACCTGAGCAATAGCCCATTTACACATAGGACCACAGGCCAAACTGGCTCTGTTTACTTTCTCATAACAATAATCTGGGTTTGACATGTAATTCTTCTTCATCTTGTTCCTTATTTCATCACTAAAATAAATATAGATATTGTAGTTTACTGACCCAAAAAGCCTCACAATATACTGTAAATTCAGAAATTATTGTGAGGTTTTTATTATTGTGAATAATGCGACTAGGTGAGTATTGCTATAATAAGAATTCTGATATATGATACATATATCTGTATTCATATTTACCTAAAACCGCAATAATTAATCTCACAATTTTATCTTTTCTTCTAAAATCCCATTAATCAATGCACATTCTGAATTTATGGTAATTCACTATTTCATGTTCACTGTACATACGTTTCAAGTCATTTTGTCATGAAATTTGAAAAAAAAAATGGTTTAGGGGTCATTTAATTTAACTCTACAACTTTTCGGATAATTCAATTTATTGTTGTTTGCTTAATTTTAAGTGGCAAATACTTCATACATATTTTTGAGAACAAATAAATAAAAATGTAATTAGTATGTTCTGCAAAGTGGGTTGACTATGGTGAAGGCAGGAAATTTGGACTGCCACTGTGATTATTCTTTTTTGAATTACCGGTATAATTTTGTGGTTTGCTGTGAGCCACAAAATCCATATAATTGTTATTATAAGGATAACTATATATCTACAGTATTGAATGTGATATTAGTTTTAAAAAAAATATTGAGAAATATGGGGTTCCAATGGACAATTTTTTGTAATTCCTTGCCAAGGAAAAACCCTGAACATTCACAAAATACAAAGAAAACAGACGAAAACAGGAAAACGAACATCCCTAAGGAAGGGAGGAATCTAAATTGCATATGTAGTAATTAATCAAAACACTATCACCATATGTCATAGTCAGCATAGTTGTTTTCAATTTGTTAATATGTCAGGGAATTTATAGCCTGCTATGCAGTATGAGTTTTGTTTATTATTGATGGACGTACATTGACCAATAGTTGCTAACATCTATGTCATTTGGTCTCTGGAAGATAGTTGTCTCATTGGCAATCATACCATATCTCCTTATTTTATAACAATAGAAAGAAATGACCCTTTGGAGAAATGGGCCACAGTACGCCAACCAATGCAACTTATGATGAATAAGAATATATATATCTTAAGTATAAGAATCTCAATTATTGAATAGCTGTTGGGATCATCTAGTGGGGGAATTGTATATTCACTAAATGTGACTCGTAATTGGAAATAATAATGTATTTGATAAAGGCTGGTTAACTGGTATTCTAATATGACACTCTTCTTTTACTTCGCAAACAAAACCATGTTCTAATTTGAATAAAATATGGGATGCACGTGGGTGAGGTCACTATTAAAATTGCAACATCAGTGGTATCTTAAAAACTCTGAAGATCAAACTGGACATTTCTGTTGGCCTTGTCCACTAGGAATCAAATAAAATCAATTTAAAAGTAAGTTTTCATATATTTGTACACTTCTTAATCTGGTAGTGATTGCTTTTCTAGAACATTTTTGCTTCATCAAATCAAAATGGCTGCCTTTCTAGTGTCTTCTAGGTCCACTTTGAAGTACCAAAGTTCTGAATTTTCCAATCAGTATCAAAATAATTCTTACATGTCATGCTCTATGCCCATTCTAACATGGGTAGGCATTACATTTGTCAACGCTTGGTATAAAGACATTGACAATTTAATGCCTACCAATGCTAAAATGATCATAGAGCATGACATGAAAGAATTATTTCTTAATAATAATATATAGTATTTTGATCTTAAAAGATTAGAACTAAATCTTTCTGTTTAAAAGTCTGTCCTTCAAAGGAAACCAATCTTTTGACAACTAACCTGATATCATTAGTGTTCATGTTAACAATATTTGTTATAAAGTTGTCTTTAACAATGATGGCACGGAGAGCCTTCCAATCAGTAGTATGTTCTCCTAACAGGAGACAGATAGATTCTAATGTCAATTTGACTAAAAGTGGCGGATTGTTCATGGATTTCACTTCCACTAAGTCCTTCTTCTTGATTCCCTTCACAGCTACAAATTTGAAAGTAATTATCATTATAAAGATTGATACACAGTTATGAGTTGTCTACTGCCCTGGAACATTGCATTAGTGGGTATTTATACTGTTAGGATATTAGTCATTTGTGTATTCTTCATTTGGAAACATTGTTATTATGTGAGTACCTATTCCATGAGGGTTTGCAGACAAAATGTTTTAAATTTCACCTTGAAAACAGTCTGTATCAAATGAAGACTGACCAAAGAATTTGCCTTAATAATTCATTAAAGAGTATAACTGAGATGATAATGCCATATTCTATGTGGTTCATTTAAATCATTAATGTATGATAGCTTGTGGGTTTAAAATAGTGGCAGCCTTTCCTGGATAACAGCCATACAAATTTTTATCATAATAATTAAAAACATCTCTATTAATTTTTTTAACTTTTTTTAGTTAAATTACTTTTTATCAAAACTGAAAAACTTTTGTTGAAGCAAAATATTAAAAGGATCATTTCATGAAGAAGTCATTTAGGTACTTTATAATAGATTACACCTTAGGGAGAAGTAAGATATCAGAGTTTATATATGGCTGCAAATTAAACCAAACTATTAAAATGAAAAATGTATGATAGCATTATCATAGCCACTTTCAAATTTCAAATAAAGGTTTGGAGAATATGCTAATATTAACTGAGACTGATGACCTAATTTGACTGCGACATTGTTAATGTTATGTTACATGGGTCATGTGTACAATTTAAGCTTATCAGTAATTTGAGGAACATTTTGGTCAGTTAAACCTAAAGCACAAGATTATGCGAATAACTTTTGGGGCCACCGTTTTATATATCTAATATTTATCTCAGTATGTATACTCCAAACAGTCCATATTTTGTGTAACTTTCATCTAACTGAAAGTACCAACATGTAATGGCTGTATAACCTATTTGAAGTCAATTCTTAAAAATAAAACTTTAGATTTAGTCTCCAAATAGTTCCTTTACCCTTACCCATTTTGTAATGTTGCAAGATAAAATTAGAACAGTATCCTCTTTTTTGTTGGTTTTAATTCTTGATGTGCTCAATAAACATATCTCCTCAAATTATAGTTGTATAAATTAAATCATCTTTCTTTCAACATAACAATAATCCTTACAAACTTCAGTAATTTTGTATAATATGTAATTTAAAAAAAAACTCTATGGTAGATAATTGAGCACAAAGTTTTTAAACTGTACAGTCTACATTTGGCAAATTATAGTAAAATCATATTGTTCTTAAAGTTGCATTCTCAGTTACGTCACTTTCCCTTAAAATTATTCCACTGATCTTCTAAGTTGTATATCATATCTATGAATTAGAAAAATTGGTATCCAACAGCAATATATCAGTTATGTTACTGTCAAACTTCTCATGGAAATAGAACTCAATCTAAACAGTATAAGGGTTAATAACAGTATAAATTCCCACAACAACATTCACATGCAATAACACTCCTCACTGTGTGTAGACACACACAACTTACGATATGTCTTCTGTCTTGTAATTGATGATAAGTGATATAAAATTTTCCTTCATGATAATACTTCTAAGTGATTTCCAGTCGAGATCTTGTTCTCCTAACATGAGGCAGATTGACTCTATAGCAAGCTTGACAAGAGCAGGAGGGTTGGGTAGTGCTCTGACTTCTACAAGGTGCTGGCGCTTTATGCCTTTCACAGCTGAGGACAAATAATGTGCAACATAAAGGATAGATAGCATGCAAAGCTAGTGTAAAATAACAATCACCAAAAAAATAAATAAAACATACACCAGTTTATTGAAAGAATGCATTTAATATCAAACTAATATTAAAATCAAGAATAGTCATGCAAAACCATGGGAATTTGTACCCCAAAATCTTCTTTTTTTATTTATATATACTTATATCCTACTAATTTTTTCCTTTCTTTTTTTTCCATCTACATATTTTATGTTATCAAATATGTAGATACTATTCTGTACAGTTTAATCAATTTTTTCACATTCTGCAGTATTTACATAATTTGTCTTTCAAATATTTGAAACCTAAATAATAAATTCATAATAAATCAGGATGTATATTGAAAAAAGCCATTTCAGTGTATTACCAAGCAGATAGAAAATATTGTAAGCTTTCCTGACAGAATTATGCTGATTTGAAAATGTTGTCTCCAAAATGTTTTTCATTCATAACTATAAGGGCACTCAGAATAAACACACATTTATTGTTACACTGCTTTATTCGAATTGTGATTTCAAAAAGTAACCTAGGCAAAAAAGATAGACTCATAATTAAATTAATCTTAATTTGATTTGTCTAACTTGAAAACTTTTATTTGAATTTCTCTAGTACTTTGCTCATTTCATAGGAGCTACAAAATTTTCAAACATACATATATGTGTAATACCTAACTGCAGGCCTTTTAAACAAATTTCACATTTGCAACAACTTAGGAAGTAAAAAATGCTCCTTTTACTTTTCAAAAAGGATAATCTAACATAAGTTATTAAATTGTATGGAGGAGACAGAACTAAGTTGAAAAACTTGTGTCTAATCCATTTATTTTGTACAATAAAATATGTTTAAACTAATTGTATGGGAAGTATCAAATATGAGTCCAAAAGTTCTGGCACATATATTTTGTACATGCATCCATTTTAACATATAGCCACAATGAACCATTAAAGTGAATCTGTTCTGTAACTACATAATTTAGTATAATTTTGAACATAAATAAAAAGAGATGTAGGGTAAGCACAGATGAGACAGCAACCCAATAACACCAGAATATCTATATTTTCTTTTCTCTATATGCATCTACATCTAAAATAATTGGATCTTCACTAATATCAGAGTATGAAATAATTAAAATTATAATAATTACACTTTCATGCATACCAGAATGTTAGGGACATCATTCATATTTAGTTGTAGAATATTTGATAGTTATGAGGCAGTTTTGTTATAAAATATAAATTTTGAGAGAATGATAAATGCTTTGCAAAAACCTTACAAATTATCATAGTGTTTCAAAAGAAAATATATGAGATATGATTTTATAACATAACTTCCACCCTTGCCAGCCTTCTTTTAGTTCAGGTTTTTTTTTTGTATTAAAACTTGTTTAAAGGTACTTTCTTTACTCACAATTGTGACTTCCTCAAATATTTTTATTTTGATATCTCTGAATTTCTCTTTATACATTTGTAATTTGCTTCAAACAATACTGATGAGAAGAGATTTTGTTGAGTATTTCTCATTACCTTGTTGAGCCTCAATAACAGCTGGTTCTACTTTGGATAGATCTTCCATTACATCAGTTTGTTTCTCATTGATGACTTTAGTTTGTTCAATCAGGGCCACTTGGATTTCCTGAGATGTAACTTTCTTACGTTCAGCTTCTTGTTGATCTTTCACCTGTAAAGTTTTTATAAAAGGTAAATTTTAAAACTTATATTATAATCTATAGTAAAAGAAATTACAAAAGAATGTGTCTCAATGCCCCCACTCAAGCTTTGCAATTTTTCAATTTAAAAAGGGGCATAACTATAAAACGGTAAATGACTCACAGCCCTAACTATGTCTGTGTGTTGTGGTTCTAAGCATTGTGTATGAGTTTCATGAAATTTGGATGAGACAAACTTAATTTAGAGAGTGGAAACACAAAAATTTGCAATTTTCCAAGTTATGAAGGGGCACGACTCTAGAACAGTCCAAATTTAAACTCTGTGTGTTGTAGTTCTTAGCATTGTGCATGTGTTTCATGAAATTTGGATGAGGAAGTAAAAGTACAGAAATGAAAAAAATCAGCAATTTTCCATCAAAAGGGGCATAGCTCACGGTAAGTGACTCAATGCCCAAATTCGATCTCTGTCTGTAAGATTTGGTTCTTAGCATTATGTATGAGTTTCATAAAATTTGGATGAAAAAAACGTAAGTTAGAGAGCAGAAATGAAAATGGGACGGACAGACGGACAGTCAAGGGTAACACTTAATGACCCTGTTGCCTACAAAAAGTGAAAGTAAAAATACTTGTCACCTGAGAATTCAGTAAGTATTTACAGCTATTCCACGGTATAATTTGTTTTAATAATTCTATGCAATACCTCAGTAATATGTGCTGATATGATTTTTAAATCTTCATCTAATAGATCATTGTATTAGTGGCTTACATCTGTTTGAGCTTAGCTTACCATCTGTTTGAGTTTAGCATTAGCTGCATTGTTCTTCTCCTCCAGTTCTATACGTTTAATAGACAATGATTTCTGTAAATCCTCTACTTGATCCACAGTCTCACGTATCTTCTGTAGACCTATATTCAAGTGAAGTTGTTGTTCTTCCAAATCTGATCTCTTTTCATTGTAAAGTTTTACCTGAGAAACAAAACCAGTTATCAACAGTCTACTTGTTTTTAAATAACAACTTGCTAGGTGATAATGAATTATTAATGAATGTCTATTGTTTGTTAGAAATGCTTCAAATTATGAAATCTGAAACTGATTAAAATTTCTTGATTTGTATTGTTATGATAACTTCAGTGAAAATTTACACTGTATAACTCAAGTATTATTAAGCCGAACATTAGATCACTTTGCCCAAGTTTAGCAAATTTAGATGATTGACTTACAAAGTGATGGATAAAGTCGAGATAATGTCTAGGTGTGATAGCCATTGTACGTCCTCCTCTCTTGGATACTCTAGTGTTAGCCTGGTGTAGAGATAGATGTACAAACACAAATGCATTGATGACTACATCTCTGTGTGAGGGGGGCATTGGCATGCCTTCATACAGTGGTTTCAGATAGTCTGGAGCACGGTACTAAAATGAAAACAATTATAATTATCTTCACATATTTTGGAAAGAAAGGTTTTGAGGTGAATATGCACGAGACAAACATCCCATTTAATACTATAAAATAACTAATACTATTGAAGGAGAAACAATTTCATTGCTGTTTTTCATCTTGACAGTTGCTGCAAGGTCTAAAGTGATTAACTCAAAGCGTAAATCTTGCTTCAAGATCAAGCATTGACTTCAGTGGTATTTATTGATAATCATTGGTATAAACAGATCCTATGTCTTAAAAGGAACACAATGACATACACACAAGAGTATGGCATAGCTTATGAGATATTTTACAAATTTTAAAACTTCCTAATTCATATTTTCATTTCTTAATTATAACAAAACAAAATTTCACTTCAGATACATTTAAATGCATTTTTTTCTTTTTAAAAATAGCAGTCTACCTTGGGTTTTTCTAGATCAACTTTGTTGGTGAATTCTTTTCCTACTTGATACAGAGCTCCATTTGACCAGTCACCAAACCAGTTCAACACACATCTGAAATGACATTATTTATCACATACATATGTTTGTCATTGCATGTTCAATAATGAACAGAAATAATTGACATTTATAAGCCATTGATTTTGAGGGTGGATAACTATTTAATGGCAATCAAATACATGTGCTAAGAACTGTAATGTTAATGTTGTGTTATTATTTTACTTTAACAGTTGAAAGAACTGCTTTTACTTTAACAGTTGAAAGAACTGCTGACTGACAACCGTCAAAGTAACTCACACAATTTTCTGACTCTCAAGAAGTCATGTGATCAATTTGTTGAACATTTGAAAAATATATCAGATTCTGTTTATCATCATAACATATCAACATCCCACATCTTGCTATAAGCAAACATTCTGACACCATTTCACAACATCTATTGAATAAGATACCCTAAAACATGCAAACAAAAGTTTTTGTTGTGTATTTGAAAGGAGATTATTCACAACGATGTAAACAAGTCACAAAACATGTCAATGCAAACAAATTTAAATTGGAAAAGCACAGGGATTGATTCATAAGAAAAGTTGCTCAAATTAGGTTCTACAGTATTGTTCCATTGCACTTATTATTTAAAAGGCTTTACTATAAAGTACCTGTTAAACAAAGCTGGTGAAGTAGATGCTCTGTCCTTCAATCCTTCTCTTGATGGATTCATTGTAAACACTACATGCAGATTCTTCATTACCTGAAACATAAAAATTTAATGTCAGAAAGAGTCATTCCCCTGAAAAAACAATTCAAAGCTGCATCACACTTAACTGCCAACCCCTACCCCAGGTGATAAAAAATTATATGATGATATAGTTTGTATCCATTTTACCAGTGTGAATGTTAGAAATTGACAGACATTGTTGAAAATTTCCCAAAAGAGTTCAACAACTTGCAATTTAGTGAAATATTATAGAAAATCAAAATCCTGTCCTAATGCACATCTTCAATATATCTGTATAAGTGTTCTACAAAAAGAGGAAGCTTCAACCTTGAAAGCGGTAAGACAAGTTTGACAGACAAAACATATACCCTATATATAAAACAAATTTAAACTTATTTAGCCAAATTGAGTTTTAAGAAAGAAATGGAAACATTTTATCCTTCAAATATTACCAAGTTTCAAAGCCTGTACCAAATTATTATTTAACATATGTCTAATTGGATTTCCATTTCATACTGACAACATTGTCTCTTTTTCTTTCATGTCATTGTCCAGTGCTGTTTCTTGGTTAACCTTTTTAGTGAATTCTTATCAATATTTTTGGAGGCCAAAACAAACAAATTTCTACCTGCTGAGTGAACCATTTGTATAATTCTTCACTAGAATCTAACATTAATCCTTCTCTCTGAGCTCCTTCTTTACACTGAGTCATTAATGTTGTGTTTTCATCTCCTTCAAACAATCCTGGAACTTCTCCATTGGCTAACAAAGTGTTCATTCTTTCTAAGAAACTAGAGTCCATCACATTGGATTCATCCATTATGAATGCTATCTTTTCAGCCTATATAAGAAATTTATGATAAAATATTAAAATACAGTCTTGGGAAATCAATAAATATTTTTTTCTCAAAAAAGAAAATGCACTTTTGTCTAAAACTTTGTTGAAAACAATTTCACATGTAAAATGCAAAATTTGAAAATTCGCATATGTTATTATTTTTAGACAGGTAAAATTTATCGACCGAGAAAAGGCCTGAACTCCAAGGACAAGTATTCTGCACAGGATATTAACCTCTTTTATATTACTTTATAGAAGTCAAATGTAATTTAGCAGTTTTTATTGTTCAGGTTACTATCTTCAGAATTATATTCTAATAATCGAAGTATAAAGATGTTAAAGTCCTTTCCAGTTTCCCAGTGGATTGTATCTATTTTATCCTCGTATTATCGGTTTTCTTGCTATTAAGAACGCATTGTGACGTCACAATTTCCATTGAAAAAGCAAGCATAGTAAGAATTCATATGACGTACAAAAACATATGATCTGACCATACATGTAAGTTACTCACCTTACATCCAGATCTCCTCAGAACAACTCGGAGATCTTCATCAAAGTCTGCTGCAGTATATTTATTATGGACCTTAATCTGGTATGTAGACAGACCATTCATCCATGCAACAAATCTGGACAGAGTTGTCTTTCCTGCTCCACTGACACCAATCAACAGGACGTGACCAGATGGCTGTCGGAATATTCTGTCAATTCTCAGAACATGGTCTAATACTTCATCAAACAGTACAAGTGGAACATCAAGCTCCTCTTCATAGAACACCTAATTCATAGATATATACATAAACATATACAGTAGACTCTGGCTAATCGATATAAAAGACAACAGTTTATTTAGAAATATTTCCATTTTTTTTATGTCTGCAAGATAGTTATTGCATAACCTCTGGGTACATAATAACATTGAAAATATCTGAATCTGCCTAGCTTTAACATTTAAATGTATATTCCTATAGGATTTGCCAATATATTCTTCTATCTGATATTCATTTAAGTGATGAAATTTACATTATAATAATAGGAAAGGGTTTGATATTTTGAAATAGTATTATAGTTGTTAAATTTGTTTAGTCAATATCCAATTAGTTGAGTTAACTGTATAAATTTATACATATTTTAAATCTATATCAATTACAGAAGTATGTAAATAATACATGACTTTATAGTAAAATAAATAGTAACTATAAGGATTCTCCAACTTTATAGATTTCCTAAGCGAATTTTATCAATATTTATCATATGAAACAGTTAAGAAGTAACTATGACTAAAGAGAAAGAAAGGAATGACTTTTCATGTGGTGTGTCAAACAATATACAAAAAATTACTCCTTTACAGTAAATTTACCTTCAGCCTAGCTTTTGTATATTCTCTTAGGTCTTCTCTGTCTACTGGTACATAGTCCTTGCAGAGCCAGTTACTGAACAGTATAGGTCTAGTGAGAGCCTCCTCTTTGTTTATACTTGGGAAATGTTTAAGTGCTACTTTATCAACATTATCGTCTGTCCATCTCCTCTCTTCATCATCTATCAGCCTGTTCAAACAAGAGTGCACATGCTGAAATGTCTCGCCTGTTTTACTTATGATTGAATATATGTTGAAAGTCCATAATATAGAGTATCACATAAAATTAATATTATCAATGATCCATGAAAAATAAATCATGGTCAGATGACCATGCCAGACAGACATGTACACCTAAAAATCATTCCATACACCAAATATAGTGGTCCTATTGCTTATAGTATCTGAGAAACAGACCAAACAACAAAATCTTAACATTGTCCAATGAACCATGAAAATGAGGTCAAGTTAATATGAACCCAGCCAAACAGACATGTATACCTTACAATCATTCCATGTACCAAATATAGTTGACCTATTATTCATAGTAACTGATAAACTGATATAACCACAAAAACCTGTAATTGACCACTGAACCATGAAAATGAGGTCAAGGACAATGGACATATGGCAGACGGTAACTTCTGACTCAGGCGAGACAAAAACCAGGTATTTATACTTTTTTTGTAGAATGATTAATAGTGTAAAAGTTTTTGTAATTGAATTCAAAATCAACAGTCATGTGTAATGTATACAGTTTGAAACCACATAAGGGTTGTTCCATTTAAACATACATGGAACCCAGGCAAGACACTTTCTAAATGAAATAGCCACCTTCAAAGGCAAATTAAAATTTCACTGTACTTGATGCCCACCCATAGTTGAGATTTCAAACTACCTTCCCTTGGTCCCCTGTATGTATTTATTTAACAGCCCCAACTAAAAACTATCTACAAACCATGAAAATCAGAATCCAAAATAAATTTATTTTCAGATTATTTCACATGCTAAATTTTACATAAATCAACACATTGTTTATGAAAAGTTATAACTTCCATAACATACTGAAAACTTTTTTTTTGTCAATATGAAATAAAAATGCACCTGCCCACATTTAAAAAGTATTGTCATATCGTAATACTAAAATTAAAACTGACAGCTTATGGCACAAGAAAGGGTTATATGTAATCAGATTAGTGAAGAACAAGATACCTGTCTTGGAACAATCTAAGAGCCTCATGTGCCCAAATCCTGACAAGTCCCTCTACAGATAAGTTATCTAGTGGTTTTAGAGCTTCACAGATTCCTCTCACCCAGCGTGTCATTTCCCTAGGACTGTACACATAATGGGGCTGCATGTCTTGTGTAAATCTTTCCTGCAAAAATATTATTCATTTGTATAATCCTATTTACATTACATAATTTTAACTGAAGTACTTTTAAGCCCTTTCCTTTGTTCATAACTACTACTATTATTTTTTTACAAATTAAAAAAATAATTTAATAAAACAATCGTTCCTAAATTATAAAATGTAGACAAAAATATGACCATGCAATAAAAAATAAACTGCTTCGCTGAGCGCAGCTAGATACGCCCGCAGAGGTCCAACCCTGAACAGTTGGGGCAAAAATGGACACAATATTCAAGCTTGATTCAGGTCTGAATTTGGATTGTAATTAAATATTTGACATATTATAGGTGTCTGAATAAATGTATTCAAAGAACTTGAAATTGGTTATATGAATTGAATTTATGTTCAATTAAAGATTTCTTGCTGTTGTGCAATACTTAGTAAATCTGTTGTCAGACTATAAACAAATAAAGTATAATTAATTCTCAATGTCATATTAGAAATTTATGAAAATAAAAAGGGAGCTTACATCAATAGATATAAACAATTCACCAAAGTTTCATGAGAATTGGTGACAGCATTTTTGAGTTATTGTCAGAAAACTGGAAAATCACCCCTTTTTAATGAATAAAACCCCATAACTCAGAAATGTAAAATGTAAAATTTATAAAATTCTAAAGGGAGCTTACATCAATACATACAAACAATTCACCAAAGTTTCATAAGAATTGCTGAAAGCATTTGTGAGTTTTTGTCTGATAACTGGAAAGTCCCCCCTTTTTTTATGAATAAAACCCCGTAACTCGGAAACGTAAAATCTAAAATTTATAAAAATCAAAAGGGAGCTCATGTCAATAGATATAAACAATTCACCACAATTTCTTGCAAGTTGGTGAAAGCATTCTTGACTTATTGTCCGAAAACTGGAAAATCCCCCTTTTTTTAATGAATAAAACCCCATAACTCGGAAACGTAAAATCTAAATTTTATAAAAAACGAAAGGGAGCTCACGTCAATAGATATAAACAATTCACCAAAGTTTTATGCAAATTGGTTTAAGCAATTTTGAGTTAATGTCCGACATGTTGACGACGGACAGACGGACGGACAGACGGACGGACAGACGGACAACGGTATACCATAATACGTCCCGTAAACGGGCGTATAAAAATAGAATAGGTTCTTTAAATTTCAATTTTGTTACCTGTGACATAAGATAAAATTCCACCATAGCACTAGTTAGAGGATCAGCATATGGTTTGAGACTTGGAACCAGTCGTAACATTGCTCTGTTAAATGTTCCATAGATCTGTGTTAGTGACAGCTGTCCTGGGTAGTCCACATACACCACAGGTACATGTCTCAAGAACCTAGGAGAAGAAAACATATTTTTCAGTCTTCATTTCCTTTACATTATTATGAATAAACATATTACTACAGAAGTAGAATCAATTTCAGCTTTCTCTTTCTTCCCTCTTTCTTCCAATTATTTCTTTATTTCAAAATTTTCTACCATTATGACTTGGGATAACTTTGGGAGCATAAAATATAAATGAATTACCTGTGTGAGAGTGGTTTTCTGCCAGGATCAGTGGGTGGATTACAGGCACCAACAAATTGTATTCTTTCAAACTTAACCCAAGCTTGATCTGAAGGTCTGTAGAACCCATCATATTCCAACATCTGTCTGAGGAATGATATTACCCTCTGTGTACCTGAGAAAATATTTAATAAAACTAAATTCAGCTGTCCTTCAATCACATTCAAACAGGTTAAAATGCATTAAAAAAATAGAGTAAATTCAGAAACAAAACATCATATTCTATTAATACAAAAACTGGGAACAGATATATAAACTTGCATTTTAAATTTTGAAAGCATTTTTCTGACATGTACAGGAACCGCAGTAATAAGTCTTGTTGGTTTTTACAGCTTTGTAGCTATCAATGTACACATTGAGTTATATATGTATGTTAATACTTTCTGCTTGCTTTGGAGATATATCATTGCTTCATATGTATACTTGATTATATTTTATGTAACACATATATATCTTTAGCCTAGAACAATTATTCAGCTACCTACCATATTTATCCATGTTAGGCAGATTGATTTCATCACAGAAAAGTACTAGCCATTTGTTGAGCTGTATCGGTGCTAGAATAACTCCATTTGGTGTACGTCTGTATTCACAGTAATGGTCAAAGGTCTTCAACAGTAACTCTGGTGATGTAGCACTGGAGAAATTCAAACCTACAACCTGAAATCAAGAAGATTACTACAATTATATTATAGGGCAAAATACAAAATCTGGTTAATTTGGTGAAAAATTACTTAATACAATGTGAGTCTATTCCAGATGGTGTGGTAGTTTATCAAATAGTGGGATATAAATCCTACTTATAAAAACAGAATAACTTTTTCACAATAATTTAAATTCTGATACTGCCAATTATGTAAATTTATGATTAATATATAACACAACATGATCAAATAAATGTTCTTGCCTCCATGTCTGGCAATGATCTAAGAGCACTAAACAATGTCATGGTTTTTCCTGATCCAGGAGGTCCACACAATACCAATGGCTTATGTTCTGCTAGCCAGGTATACAATAGGACTTCATGTCTGACTGTATCTATAGTAGGTATAACAACATCAGCAGCTGCTACCTTGTGTGTCTCTACTTCTATCTGTGGTACCTTAGACTGCCATGGTATCCATTCTCCAGATATATTCACCTTTAAAAGAGTGTCAATTTTATCATAGTTTATAATATTATTACTTTTATTCAACTAGTTTATAAGTTAAAATTGTAATTCACAGCCAATCAACTTTATAGTATAGGTAACAAATGGATGATAGTTAAATTCTTCATATGTCTACTAGTACCCTCATATATGTACAGCAAAGTGTCAATCAATTTTAAAGGCTGAAAACAGATGGTTGTAGACAACTAAAAAAAAGTTATCCATTATTTTTGTGTTTTAATTTGATATTGTTTTATTTACAAGTTGAAATATATACAAAATATATGTGTACATTGTCAACAAATATAAAAAGTTATACTTGCTGTAAAACAGGCAAGAAAAGCTTGCCAAGGCACACATTTCTACATAAACTATATCATATGTGTACATTGTCAACAAATATAAAAAGTTATACTTGCTGTAAAACAGGCAAGAAAAGCTTGCCAAGGCACACACATTTCTACATAAACTATATCATATGTGTACATTGTCAACAAATATAAAAAGTTATACTTGCTGTAAAACAGGTAAGATAATCTTGCCAAGGCACACATTTCTACATAAACTATATCATATGTGTACATTGTCAACAAATATAAAAAGTTATACTTGCTGTAAAACAGGCAAGAAAAGCTTGCCAAGGCACACATTTCTACATAAACTATATCATATTTGTACATTGTCAACAAATATAAAAAGTTATACTTGCTGTAAAACAGGCAAGAAAAGCTTGCCAAGGCACACATTTCTACATAAACTATATCATATGTGTACATTGTCAACAAATATAAAAAGTTATACTTGCGTTAAACAGGCAAGAAAAACTTGCCAAGGCACACATTTCTACATAAACTATATCATATGTGTACATTGTCAACAAATATAAAAAGTTATACTTGCTGTAAAACAGGCAAGAAAAGCTTGGCAAGGCACACATTTCTACATAAACTATATCATATGTTTCTTTATACCTCAAAATCAATAATGGCATTATTAGTAGCAGGAGGTAGAGGTATAGTTGTTACACCTCTGATAAAATTTCCTAGTTCCTGTCGGATCTTCAGTCTACCATCTCCTGACATAGACCATAATACACTGTATATCAAATATTTAGTTATGTACTTCTCCAACTGGTCTTGCTGTAAAATACAAATGGGTTGTTTAACTGTTGTCTTTTATTCATAAAGGCAGCATAGGAAGCTTTTTATTTCTTTGGTTCTTTCCAGGAATCTTATACTGCTTCTTTATAAGAAATGAAACGTTTGACTTTTGGTGTATTTTTGAAAAGACTGTGTAGGTAGAAATTTAGTTCTTTGTTTCTTTCCAGGAATCTTACATCGCTTCTTTTATAAGACTCACGTATATTTAAAAAGCAATAAGTGCCCTCACTTTTTCTTCCTGGGAATTAATATTTCACAACACTAAAGAATCATTTAGAAATAGCATTTATCTTACAACTGATTTCAGAGTAAAAATAAGTTTACTGGGCCATTCTTTATAAAATCTGAAAGAATGTGTGAAGGAATTTAATTCTAATCATTTTAAAGTTATTTATTCTTATTGTTGTTTTCCAGTTTTAAAGTAGTCTTACCTGCATAGCAAAGTCAGCATGTGAGTTGTTGTATGCTATAACATTCCTTACACTTTGATTTAACATGGAAAACAGAGCACTTAGAGCTCTTAGTCTAGTAAAGTCCATCACATGATCTAAATCAGCAGCATATTCTAAACACTTAATAACAATCCCATCAGATGCAAAGTATGGCTGTAGTATAGCTGCACAGTCATTCTGGGTCTGAAAAAATAAAGAAAGCAATATTTAAAATTGATTCCTGATCTAATGCCTTTTACAATATTCCATTTTAATCTTGCAACAATTTCAACACTCATAGGACAGGAATATCTTGTGCTACTGGCACAGCTGTTAATTTCTGACATGTAATGAGTTCTGACAATCCTTTTAGAAACTAAATTTATACACAAATGTATATGATGTTACACGAGTACAATTCCAGTTAGGTGAATGAGATTTGTATTTATATAACTTCTGTGTTTTTCTCTATTTCATAATCATGTTCTCATGTGTGCTAATTTTAAGGTTATTAAATTATTTCTAAGATATCACCACATTATAGGAAAAGATATAAACATCACAGATATAAGTATACAGTTGTATTCCACAAAGTAAATTATTCAAACAGTTAAGTTTACCTGCATCGATGGTGACAGCACTTCTTCCTCCTTCTTGCCACCAGGTTTAATAGCCTCCTCCTCGCTTTCCTCTACAGGTACATGTCTTAGGAGTTGTAGGTAGTTATCAAAGACCATCTCTGTCGACAGCACATCTTCACTGAACCATACCATACCACATCTACTGACTGTGGCTAAGGTAGCATACTTAAGATCTTGTACTTCAAACATAATTCTCACCTAAAATTTCAACAAGTATCATTAATTTCATTTGCAGAGCTTTCAGAGAATAAAAGCTTAACTCTACTATATACTATTAACTCCGAAGAAATCACTGGTAGCTCTAAGCAATTTTCAAGAAGATAAAATTAAGTTTTCTGAAATTATCATATCCTGCTTTAAAGTACTAATATGAATAAAACAGAGTTTTTCTAAGTCAAAATTTCTTTTCACTGCATATACATGTACCGGTATATGATATTAAAGTCACAATTTGACGTTTGCTGAATCCTTTATTTGTTTGTAATCTTAGAATAGCAAAATATCAATCAAACAGCAATACAAGTATTAGAATTAGGTGCAGAGAGATATGCTTACATTAGGTGGAATAGCCAGACGTTCACCATTAGGCAATGTCAACATTTTACTATCATCCAGTACAGAGTTCAGATTTTCTACCCATTCTGGATCTACATCACCATCAAATATAATCCACTGTCTCTTCTGTAATTCTCCTCGGACATTGTCTATGATTCTGAAATATGTCAAAATATTCATTCTCTTCTGTAAATCTCTTTTCATATTGTCTGTGATTATGATAATATCAAATGTTTAGAAGAAAATTGGAAAATTTGCTCATAACATATCAGAATGTTATTGCTTTTAAATGCAGTTGTAACTAGACATCATTGAGATGGGAGCCACCTCTGTGGGCCCTGCTGACCTTGAACTTTGACCTAGGAAGTTTTACAAACATTATGACACACCCTCTGGTGTTGGTTAGTATACATGTCAAGTATAAAGTATGAAATTATAACAGCTCTAGATATAGAGCGGACACAATTTGTTACAGGGCCCTAATAAGTTCTGATCATACAAGAGTTTTTCAATGGATTTTTTAAAGTTTGTTGACCTGTCTTTTTGTTTCATTACCATTTCAAGTAAGGGGAGATGAACACTCAAAAACATGTTTGTGTCACAAGCTTTGACATGTCTGTTACAAACCAGGAGCTTTAAATCCAGTGGTAATCATTGCTTTCCTATCAAATTTGGTCATAGTTAAATGTAATTGATATTATAGGTTGTAAAGGTTTCATCTAACTGTTTCAATTTCTGTTTTCTAGTTGACTTTTATATCTTCTTGGATGAAATAACTTACTTTCTGAGGATATGTGTGAACAATCCATCTGTCCATTCTCTGGTGTTTTGATCCAAATTACCATACAACAATGCCTTGGATATGGACTAAAAATAAAGTGGAATGAATTCATAACTAGTAGAATGGAAAATTTGAAATAATTTTTTTCATTAATTGATCCCTAATCTCATCAAAACAAAAGAAAATGTATATTCCTTATGAAAAAATACTCCACAGGAATATAAACAAACATTTTTAGTATTGAAGCACAATTTCAAAAAATATCTTACTTTTGGATCAATGACATGAGCTACACCATCTGTTCCTTCGAGTCTCTCTAGAGCCTTCAGAAGAACTCTCCAGGCTTTAGATTTACCACTACCACTAGGTCCTACCATCATTAGACCATGGTGAAGATTTGTAATCTGGTAAAGTTGTAGCACCTAAATCATAAAAAACAGGAATTTCAGATATTGCTGAAAAAATAAACATTTCAATACAAGACAAGTTTAGTAAATGAAAATCATGACACATATGAGTGCTAATCAGTGTATCATCTTCCAGTTTGCAAAAGTTCAGTTTCAATAAGGGAAACTTTTCATATAAAGAAAAAATAAATGGAGAATGTATCCATGGGACACAGATGATGCCCCAACTTGCATAAAACGTTATAATGGGACATAAATAGACAACTGTACAAATGACGTCACCAAAATTCAAACTCAATCTGTGCTTTATGGTAAAAAACATTGTGCATAAGTTTCATAACATTTGGTTGAGGCAAACTAAAGTAACAGAACAGAAACTAATTTTGGAATACAGATAGACAAGGGTAACACTTAATGCCCCCTCTGCTGGGGCACAGGCAAGTGCATTAAAAGCACCTAAAAAAGTCTAGCAAGAAATAAGAAATTTAAGAATACCAATCTGGCAAAGCAAGTGTTTAAATAATAAAGTTGTGAGTCATTCTACAATTTTTTTTAATATAAACCATCCAAGCAGCTTTTAAATGACCTGCATTCTGTTACCTTGTCAACCCATTGGGCTCCCGAGTCTTCACCTTCAGCATATGTGAGATACATCTCTTTACAGACTTTCTTAATCTCAGCTCTGAGGGCTTCCATACCACCAGGCTGGTATTCTACTCCTGGGAACACATCATGTAACAGACTGTTCAACAGTGGGATATCTTCAGCGACAAGCTTGGGTACCAGAGTCTCCATCACACTCTGTATCAAAATCTACAAACACAACAGTGGTGATTTTAAATATACCAGCTTAATGGCTATTTATTTACAAAGTTAAACAAAAAAATTAAATCAGTAAATAACCATGAAGGTTTTATACTGTATATTTTAACAAAAGCAAAGTTTGCTTCTTAACAAAAAAAAAACAAGATAAAGAAGAATACACAAGTCATTTGTTTTTTTTATAGTTTTATTACCATGTAAAATAATATTTCTATACCTCTTGTTCAGGTAGATTTTCAGCAATTTTTCCTTCATCAACAGTTTCTCCTCTTTCTAACAAGCCATCTTTAATTCTTTGAATCCTGTCTCGTTTCACATTACCAGCACTGATAAGTACACTCTTCAAAGCTCTCAATCCAAAGTCATAATGAGACTGAGGGGATAGCTGCTCATCACACAATCTGTGTAAGATACAATAAGTCATGAACATACTGCTGGGAAAATAGTAGCATTAGTATCCATATGAAAGATATGCTTCTGCTGTTTAAGATGTTATATTCTCAAGTTTTCATTTTATTTCATAACTCCTCTCGCTTTATCTCACAAATTTTTATATTTTTTTACCCAGCAACCTCTTTTTTTCTGAATATTCTAAGAAAACCTAGCTGTGATATAGTCTTTTTGCACCAATAAATCAATCAATTACATATTTTAAAATCTTGTAATGTCACACATAATTTTATATTGTTCACCTTACAATTCATATGAAAAATCTAAATACATCATTTGCCATCAAAAATTGTAATTCTTCAAATGCTTGTGTCTCAAAAACAAATGCACAAAACTTTTTTATTTTTATTTTCCAGAACTTTGATGTCTTATAATTTATCTTTCATAGTTTATGAAAATATTGTTATTCTGAATGTCAGGAGCAAACATCCTTACAACATAAATCAAAAAGAGACATGCTGAAAAACAGGCAAAAAATTCATTTTTTATAAATTCATTTTCTTTTTTTGATTCATTAGATTAGAAGTTATGGACCTTTCCTTTGTGATCCATTATGTATCAAATATATAAAACAGTGATCTGAGTTCGATTGGCACAAATACTTACTGGAAGAATGGTACAATCTTGCTAGCTAGTTTTTCAGCTGTTCTAAATCCTTGTGAATACAGCATGACCTCAGCAATCAAAAGTCTATTAGGTTTGGTCATAGCCAGACTTCTGAATAATTTCTTCAAGTTATCAGGGAGATTAGATCTACCAGCATATCCTGGGTTCATGGTGATGAAAATAGCCATGTCAGGATTCAACTTCACAGTTTTACCAATAATTTCTACAACTACTCCTGCAATAGTGAGAAAGTACAAGTCTGCCATTATCCAATATAAATATATATCCTGCAATAGTGAGAAAGTACAAGTCTGCCATTATCCAATATAAATATATATCTATTTTAAAGACATTTCTTTTTCTTAAAGAAGTACTATTCACTGATAAAAATATATTTACTGAAATTAACAATATATAATTAAAATATATATATACTTGATCAATTTTAAAGTTTATAAAACATTTCAGATTCTTCTGATTGTGCAAACATCAAATATGTCTGAATACCTTTTTAAAACACCCAGATTCTATACTGGCAACTAGATGTTATACATCCAACAAAAAACTCCATATGTTTTTACTTCATGCATTCAAAAAATATCTTACCTTTCTTTTTGTCTGTAACTCCTACAAGTTCCTTGAGGCCTTCTTGGATGGTTTGAATTTCCTGTGATACAGCTGACAACATTCTCTCTTCCAATCTGTTAAACTCATCAAAGCATCCCCATGCTCCAACTTGACACAATCCAACAAAAATACGACCCATAGCCTACAATGTGTAATTAGAGTTGATGAATTCTTTGTCTGCACTTTATATAAACATTTTATCTTATGCTTGACTTTGATATAGGAGGTTGGATTTTTTATCAACTTTTCAAATAAAAATAAAATGCCCCCATTTTATTTTTATTCGAGTACAGCTAACAGCTATATTCTCCTGAATAGTAAATAGTTTTAAGCATTGTAATATCAATAGAATAACCATTAATATTCTCTGTTATAATTATATATTTGCATTCAGACCATAAAATACTGAAAGATAACATTGGTGGATAAATGAAAAGAACTTCTTTCTCATCTTTAAATTATTCCCCAAAAACTTTAAAATAAGAAGAAATTAATATAAGGTTAAAATGAAGTTCTTTACTAACCTGGAAATCAAATGTTTCATCACAGTTAAAGACCAATACAAATCTACCAAGCTGGTTACCCAAAGCTTTGACAGACTCAGTTTTCCCAGTTCCAGCAGGACCTGTGAAATATGATATATAAAAATTAATCACATCACTGAAAAAAAAAATTAATATAAGCTTGATTTGACTATATTTTCTAAATAACTATACATAGATATACAAATGAAATCAAATCTGGCTGTTTTTTTAAAACAAACTATGCATAATCATGATAATAACTTGACAGTCTGTCATTTTAAATATCCTCAAAAACTAATCATTTTGTGTCAGCTTTTACAAATAATAAGGATTTAAGGGATGTTCATTCATTATTAATATGTACAAAGCAATCATAGGTATGAAATGAATTCGAGTATGATTCTAAAGAAACAATTTCAATTTTAATAGTTACAACAACATGACTATAAATTGTCTATCAACTTAAATGAATGCATCTCATTGTCCTGTCATACTAATTTAATGACTTCTCTTGCTAAAGTAACTGTAAATTCACAAATGTTTGCCTTGCTCTTATTGCAAAAATTGCAACAGGATAGATTTGGCAAAAATATAAATTCACATATCAAATTTAAAAAGCATTATTTGTTTGCAGCATTTCATGAAATCATAATAATAAAATTTGATTTGTTGTCCATTTATTAACAATTGCATTAATAAATGCACTCAGAAATTTCTGAATTTACAGTATCTGTTCTTACAACCATATTGTCAAACCAGGGAGAATGATCCCCCTCTCTTTTTTTTCAACCAAACATTCAGTCAACTATATGGTTAGGGATTTTCTCATTGTTGAAAGCCGTATGGTTGCCTTTAACTGCTCACATCCACTTCATTTTAACTTGGGTGGATAGTTGTATCATTGGCAATCATACCACATCTCCTTATTTTTATATTCTACTACATACTGAAAAGCAAAAACTACTTGTTCATGATGTTTATAAATGTGCTAAAATAGACATAAATCTTGATATTTACCAAATGGTGATCCTCCAAGTCTAGCCTCTAATGCCTGTGTCATAGTCAGATAACATCTGTCAGTTAATGGTGTTTGTACAAGTTTCTCCTGTACTCCAAGATATTCAAATCCATAATTAAACTTGGTATTTGCCATATGTATAGAGAGTTGTTGTAAAACATCAGTGTTCTTAGGATCAAAATAAAATCTCATTTGACATAACCAATCAAAGTTCTTAGGAGTATTGACATTGTGTGAAACTAACATCCTTGTCACATCTCTTTGATGGACCAACTCTGTAATCTGAAAACACCAACAAATTTTATTTGTAAATATGATATTTTTTATCAGTTATCATATGCTTTACAATAATTAGTAATCCTTTGATGGAATGAAATTTAAACATTAAACTAGCTAGGCAAGGCTATTTGAATTACCTTATAAAATATACAAATGACTTATTTGTCCTAAATTAATATAGGAGTCCATTAACATTTTGAGCAGTCATGTTGATGGCGTGATATATTCAAATCATAAGTTTATATATTTTTTCTCTGCTCTGCCAATGACTGACTATACATCTCACTTACATCTTTTAACTGCTTTAAACAATTCTTATTTTCAATTTTATAATTGTTTATATTGACATATCAGTTCATACCAGATGTTCAAGTTTCTTTCTCCTAACAGGTGGTTGTTCATGTAATACAGAATCAGCCAGGACATTCAATGTGGAGTCTACTGTTGTCAGCACACCCTGAAGTGGTCCTAGATCATCGGGCTTGTTTGATGTAGAGATGCCCTGTAGTGTTGTTTCTACATTCTCTGACCAGCAAATCTGAGATGCTAATACTACTAACTGGGCCTGGAAGGTAAGCAGTTATAGTTACAGAACTTAACTTTTGATTTGATTCATGTCCTTTGTTGTACTTACTTTTCTTCAATTAAAAAATAAAATTCTCAACATTTACAATGAAAATAAAAGCAACTGATACTCTTTTCACAATAAAATATTAAACATTATTATTCTTTCTGTATGAATATAAAAGAAGAGAGTTGTGGTCTAGTTGCCAATAAGATAACTATCCACCCAAGAACAAAGGACAATGCTGTAAAGAGCATTAATACTCTGTCTGGTATAATACCATTTACTATTTATATTCAGGAGTCATAAGTATATAGTTTAATGCATTCCTTTAAATTTCCTTACATGTAAATGTGACAGTCAATATATAGTTTCCTTGCAACTGTCTTACAATCAAGTCCGCTTAATGAGCTTATTATATTTACAAGTGTTAAAGAGAAAATAAATATATAAAATGATAAACTAATATGTTGTGCATGTGTGAAAATGATACTTATTTTTTTTCAAATTTACCAGTGTTTTCTTTTTGTTTGACAATACAGAACAGATATGAACAGTGTTGTTGTCTTTGTTCAAACATGATCCCAAGTTTAAACAACATTTTTTTTTAAATCAGTGTGAGAGACAAGGTCATTATTTTATGTGTCACTCACAATATCTATACATTATTCCTACCTGATATCCATCAATCCATTGCATGTACTGCTCAGGGTCAATCTTGCCAGACTTAAAGGCATGTACCTCTTGTACAGCCCTGGCTAATAATTTAGCTAATGTTACTCTCATTTCTTTCTCTACTAAGGTCAGCCATTCATTGATCTTTGGATGTTGTGCTATTGAAACAGTTGTAACAAAATTGACCTGAAAAATAATGGAAGTATGATAAGAGTCATTATTTAGCTCCTGAAATAAAATAAACTAGAGGCTCTAAAGAGACTGCATCTTCAACAATGGCCACTTTTTTTTATAAACATCAGCATTAAAAGGAAAGAACTCTCTTAAGAGTTAACTAACAATTTCAGTAATGTTGACATATTTGTAGATCTTATGTGCTGATATTTTTTCCTTTTTAAAGTTTCTATTTACCTTTATAGGTTGCAAGATAAAAGGCAAAAAATGCAAAAAAATATAAAAAATTATCATTAAAGGGCAATAACTACAAAACAAGTCGACTGAAGCTTTCAGTCATTATGGATTATTTGTAGATCTTGTCTTGCTGATTATTTGTGCTATTTAAAGTTTCCATCTATTACAGTTTTCAAGATAATATGCAATAATGGTAAAAATCATTATTAAAGGGCAATAACTTAAATAAGGAGTCGACTTAGGATCATTTTTACTAAGCATTGTTTCTATCTATCTATTATAGTTTTTAAGATATTAGGCAAAAACGCAAAAAAATGGTAAAAATCGTCTTTAAAGGGCAATAACTCTAATAAGGATTTGTTTGACGATTTTGGTCATGTTGACTTATTTGTAGATCTTGTCTTGCTAATCCTTTATGCTTTTTAAAGTTTCTGTCTATCTATTATACTTTTACATGATAATAGGGAAAACAATTTTTAAATGGTAAAATTCGTCATTTAAGGGCAATAACTCCTATAAGTCGTCTGACAGATTTGATGTAAAGAGAAAATTGGTAGAGCTCATCCTTTAGAACATTTTTGCCCCTGTCAGAATTTCTCTATTTATAGCAGTTTTCAAAATATTAGGCATTTGCATTTCACCCCTATTTTTTTTTAGCCATGTGGGCCATCTTGGTTGGCAGGCGGGGTCATCAGACACATTTTTAAAACTAGATACCCCAATGATGAACCAAATTTAGCTAAGCGGTTTCAGAGGAGAAGATTTTTGTAAAAATTAAGACGATGAGGGATGCAGTGATGAGAAAAGCTCACTTGGCCTTTTGGCCAGGTGAGCTAAAAATAGTATCATTCCTCAGTCCTTTCAAAATTATGATAGTTCTACTGATAAATGAATAGGATGAATATTATTAATCGGACACTTCAGCTGTGATGTCATTATGGCATCATAAACATGCTGAAATTGTTGTTTTTTTTACCTACAAAGGCCATTTTACATGTATTTTTTGTTAAGTTTTACCAAACATATCTTTTAACCAAATTACAATATGTAAAAAGACAAGGATTTAAAACTTATTCTGGACACACCCTTACTGATATAAGAGAAATAAGTCAACCATTTTACAAGATTAATCCATTTAGCCATTTATTTTTACTACTATTTATAAGAGGACACCAACCTCTTCTCCCTCCTTGGACACAAGACCAGTGACCTGTGATTCATCATCATTAAGAGCTATGGTAGATACTCCAGCAAACATCTTCTTGAAATGTTTCTGTAGTCTGCCTACATTCTTACTGTTACCAATAATCTCTAACAAATCTTCATCACCAACAAAGTAAAATCTGAAAATAACCAGATAATTATAATTAATTATTTTGTACAATATTCAGATTTACCAAAGATTGTGTTGCTAAAGAAGGAAACAAAACGACACATACAATAATGAATTCCACATACCACAAAAGTCTAAATGAAGTTGCTAAGACTGCCCTAAAAAGGGTTTCATGAAATAATATTTCAGTAAATATCTATTATAACTTTAAGTGTTTTGACAATACATTAATTTGAAACAATTTATTATGTTTATAATAAAACAAACCTTGGGAATGATGATCTTTCTCTCTCTAGATACTCTCCTAAAGCTTTCTGTATCTTGCCCAGTAGATCAGCTAATCTCTCCAGTTGTTTCTGTACATTGTTGATGTTAACAACATCCATAACTAATGGGGACTTGGTCACCTTCTTCATTAATGCTAAAAACTCTGTACTCACACTGTAATTGAAGAAAAATCACAATGAAAGTCTATTCCAGTGAATGAAAAAATATCGATGTTTTCCTGGACAAAAACTAAAGAAAAATATATTTATACAATATAAGTACTTTACTGGAAATTTAATTGATCAAGCTGAAGAAATGGAAAAACATCAAAATGTTCCAGATCTTTTCTTTTGTTTAATACCACAAACACATGTTATTTCTGTATTTTTTGACATTGTACTTAATATATTGCTTACAATAAGAACAGAAAGTATGCAAATATAATACAGTGTATCATATAAATATACTTTTATTTGTACAATTTTAATAAGTAGTAAAATAGCTGATTTCATGATATATTCATTTTCATCTGATGACTATAAATCATTTATCTTATTTTCCAGGTTAAAAAATGTCTTTTTTTATGACTTCAATCTTTCACTTTAGCTCAGTTATCCAAGCCAAGTGTCCAGTTTCAAAATAATTTGCTTTATCAAAGATATGTTGCTCAATCATAGCACAAGGAATCATTTCAGAAATAATTTACCCCTGAAATCTTGAAGTTTCCACTGGTAGTAAATGTTTGATATCAGCACTGCCTGTAAATATGCCTTCTAGGTACACCCATCTTCTCTGTACATCTATCCACACATCAAACAAGGCATTGATACGGTTCAATTTGTCTTCCCAAGCCACGGCATCATCCTCAAATTGCTGAAATAATTTAAATCTAAATTCAATATTGGATTCAGGTATTAACAATGGAATTTTCATGCATTTATAAATAAATATTATTCTAATTTTATGACAGAATTTATCTTAAAATTAACACATAAAAATTTATCTTACCTCCTATACATTTCTAGGAATATGATTGGTTAAAAGCGTCCGTGTGGAGACCGTGTATATTCCATATTAGGTTAGGAGGGAGACAGGGCTTAAAGTAGTGGTGTTACCTCCCTTTATAAAAACAAAACGGTACTGAGAAAAAATCTTAAAGGTTTCAACAAAAGAAGAAATTGATGATTAAGATTGAAATAAATTCATAAAACACATTTAAAGCTTTTTTAGAGTTTTTGTATGATCAATGGAAGTAGTTTCGTAATGCTAACGGTATTGAATTCAGACTTGCTCATTTTGATAGGTTACTAGTCTAAATATCACACGTTAAGATAGTTGGTAAGATAAATTTGTTACATAGTGTGCTAGTGACGTAATACGGTATATATGGGGTCAGTAAATTCCATATGGGGATTCGAGCTTCGCTCTCACCCCATATGGAATTTACTGACCCCATATATACCGTATTAGGTCACTAGCACACTATGTAACTAATAATATTCCTACCTTGCAATATAAAGAGAGTTATCTACTTTGTAAAATGGAGATAGTTTCATGCTTTTAAATATAGAGATAGCTTCATACCTTGTAATATAAAGATAATTTCCAACCTCCTTGCAACATGGAGAAGATCTCTTAATTCCTTGTAACAAGGAGATTTCCTACCTCCTTGTAACACGGAGAAGGTTTCCTACTTTGTAATATGGAGATATTTTCCTTCTTTGTAATATGGAGATATTTTCCTACCTTGTAATATGGAGATAGTTTCATACCTTGTAATATGGAGATATTTTCCTACCTTGTAATATGGAGATAGTTTCATACCTTGTAATATGGAGATATTTTCCTACTTTGTAATATGGAGATATTTTCCTACCTTGTAATATGGAGATAGTTTCATACCTTGTAATATGGAGATATTTTCCTACCTTGTAATATGGAGATAGTTTCATACCTTGTAATATGGAGATATTTTTGGAATTTTCATGCATTTATAAATAAATATTATTCTAATTTTATGACAGAATTTATCTTAAAATTAACACATAAAAATTTATCTTACCTCCTATACATTTCTAGGAATATGATTGGTTAAAAGCGTCTGTGTGGAGACCGTGTATATTCCATATTAGGTTAGGAGGGAGGCGGGGCTTAAAGTAGTGGTGTTACCTCCCTTTATAAAAACAAAACGGTACTGAGAAAAAATCTTAAAGGTTTCAACAAAAGAAGAAATTGATGATTAAGATTGAAATAAATTCATAAAACACATTTAAAGCTTTTTTTAGAGTTTTTGTATGATCAATGGAAGTAGTTTCGTAATGCTAACGGTATTGAATTCAGACTTGCTCATTTTGATAGGTTACTAGTCTAAATATCACACGTTAAGATAGTCGGTAAGATAAATTTGTTACATAGTGTGCTAGTGACGTAATACGGTATATATGGGGTCAGTAAATTCCATATGGGGATTCGAGCTTCGCTCTCACCCCATATGGAATTTACTGACCCCATATATACCGTATTAGGTCACTAGCACACTATGTAACTAATAATATTCCTACCTTGCAATATAAAGAGAGTTATCTACTTTGTAAAATGGAGATAGTTTCATACTTTTAAATATAGAGATAGCTTCATACCTTGTAATATAAAGATAATTTCCAACCTCCTTGCAACATGGAGAAGATCTCTTAATTCCTTGTAACAAGGAGATCTCCTACCTCCTTGTAACACGGAGAAGGTTTCCTACTTTGTAATATGGAGATATTTTCCTTCTTTGTAATATGGAGATAGTTTCATACCTTGTAATATGGAGATATTTTCCTACTTTGTAATATGGAGATATTTTCCTACCTTGTAATATGGAGATAGTTTCATACCTTGTAATATGGAGATATTTTCCTACCTTGTAATATGGAGATAGTTTCATACCTTGTAATATGGAGATATTTTCCTACTTTGTAATATGGAGATAGTTTCATACCTTGTAATATGGAGATATTTTCCTACTTTGTAATATGGAGATATTTTCCTACCTTGTAATATGGAGATATTTTCCTACCTTGTAATATGGAGATAGTTTCATACTTTGTAATATGGAGATATTTTCCTACCTTGTAATATGGAGATAGTTTCATACCTTGTAATATGGAGATATTTTCCTACCTTGTAATATGGAGATAGTTTCATACCTTGTAATATGGAGATATTTTCCTACCTTGTAATATGGAGATAGTTTCATAGCTGTCACACTGTTTATGTGTTCTTTGACCTTGGTGAACAGATCATCCCATCCACGGATCAGTTTACATTTGTTCTGGTAGTTAATCAGTTCTAACTCATAACTTCTCCACACTTCAGCAACCTATCAAAGACAGTACAGAAATATACATTTTATTCTGTATACAAATATATCATAATGACACCAATAGACGACTGTGAAAAAGATTTATTTATAGACTGATGTTAATTATCTACCAGTTAATCTGTCAACCTTATTGAGGATAAAAAAATTCTTTAACTTAATGAGAAACTTATAATGTACACCTTTCATACAAATTTCATTAATATGTATCAGGAAATACAAAAATATTCAATATTCAAGACAAACAAATTTAAAATAACCCAGAAAGATTACTACTTGAGACATTAGTTTTCTAAAACATACCTGTTTTAAGAATTCCTCCAAAGCCATTTCTCCCTGGGCTATCAGAATGACATCTTTGACAACCATCTCATTTTTAAGGAGGTCAGCATCCCATACATGCCCCAGGGTAAGATCAGATAATACCCATCTAACACCTAGTTTTCTTGTCAACTGCTTCCAATGTCTCTCCTTCAGAGCCTCAGATTTCAACTCCACAACCATCATGTTAACCTTCATTTCAAATTCAAGATAAATTCTAAATGCTGTCATGCTCATAAAAATATCTTTTTAATGTACAAAACAGTTTGTTATTCAAAATTAAGACATACATATTTTAAATATAAGTCATACATGCACACTAATACTGTGTTATTTCTGTGTGTACTGTTATCTGTTTATATTTACTTAAAGGGATATGTCACTTCTGACCATTCTTTAAATATTTGAAATAAAAATTACTTCAATAGCTCTCTCTACTAAATTGTTAATTAGCAAAGATTCAATAAACTGGAATGTTGACTTCTATTGAAGCTGACAAAATCATTTTTTTGTTTTAAACAAATGAACTATTTTTGGTCTCATATCTAACAAAAAACAACTTCAACTTTATTTAACTATAATTACTTTTATGACATACCTTAGCATATCCCTGTACTTTCCTCTTGACATAATCATAAGAGTCATAAGTTCTTAATCTGGCTGGTAATTCCTTCAACTGGTTAACAAGGCCATCAAGAGACTGACGAATCTATAAATCAAATCAAGGAATTCTTATGTTATGTTAATATTCAATCAAAACTATTATATTGTACTGTTTTTTGTAGTTTTTTTAGTTCCTTGGCCAAACATCAAAACATTCTTACTTTCACTTTACAAAGTTTTCTAAAATTAAGTTCATAAAAATTCTTAATATAGTGAAATCTGTTTCCCCTAAATCCTTTTGACACCAAAGAATTTTATCATCCTTACATAAGTGTTCAATTTAGATATGTAAAATTCCAAAAATATCCTCTTTCTGTCCAAGTAAAAGATCAATGTAAGTATTTTAAGCTTACATAGGTAAATATCTACTGTCACCAATTGTTCACATTTCACCAAAAAGAAGCAGAAAATTTTATAACTATGATTTATTTGATACCTTTCTAGGTTGAACAGACAACCAAGGTTTGTCTTTGAGTTCATCAATCTGTTCCCATATTTTGGACAGTTCCATCCAGACTCCCTTTAGATCCTGTAGTTCCTCTAGAGCTACCTGCATCTTTTCTTCACTTGGACTCAATTGGCCTGATATTGTTAAAAATATATTTTATTATCAGTCATGGCTAAAACGAGGGTCAAGGTCATCTAATTTTAGTGTAGACCTATATAAATAAACATAATGCATCAACTGACAAAAGATAATTCTCTTATGTCTTATGGTTGCTTACATCTGGAAGTTTTAACACAATACTTTTTTTAAACTAGAGGCTCTAAAGAGCCTGTGTCGCTCACCTTGGTCTATGTGCATATTAAACAAAGGACACAGATGGATTCATGACAAAATTGTGTTTTGGTGATGGTGATGTATTTGTAGATTTTACTTTACTGAACATTCTTGCTGCTTACAATTATCTCTATCTATAATGAACTTGGCCCAGTAGTTACAGTGGAAAATATTTTGTAAAAATTTACAAAAATTAACAAAATTTATGAAAATTGTAAAAAATTGACTATAAAGGGCAATAACTCCTTAAGGGGTCAATTGACAATTTTGGTCATGTTGACTTATTTGTAGATCTTACTTTGCTGTACATTATTGCTGTTTACAGTTTATCTCTATCTATAATAATATTCAAGATAATAACCAAAAGCTGCAAAATTTTCTTAAAATTACCAATTCAGGGGCAGCAACCCAACAAAGTGTTGCCTGATTGGTCTGAAAATTTGAGGGCAGATAGATCTTGACCTAATGAACAATTCTATCCTCGTCAGATTTGCTCTAAATGCTTTGGTTTCAGAGATATGAGCCAAAAACTGCATTTTACCCTATGTACTATTTTTTAGCCATGTCGGCCATCTTGGTTCACGGGCGTGGTTAAATTTGTCTTAGTAGTTTCAGAGGAGAAGATTTTTGTGAAAGATTACAAAAATTTACGAAAAATGGAAAAAAATTGACTATAAAGGGCAATAACTCCTTAAGGGGTCAACTGACCATTTTGGTCAAGTTGACTTATTTGTAGATCTTACTTTGCTGAACATTATTGCTGTTTACAGTTTATCTCTATCTATAATAATATTGAAGAAAATAACCAAAAACCGCAAAATTTCCATAAAATTACCAATTCAGGGGCAGCAACCCAACAACGGGTTGTCCGATTCATCTGAAAATTTCAGGGCAGATAGATCTTGACCTGATAAACAATTTTACCCCCGTCAGATTTGCTCTAAATGCTTTGGTTTCAGAGATATAAGCCAAAATCTACATTTTACCCCTATGTTCTATTTTTAGCCATGGCGGCCATCTTGGTTGGTTGGCCGGGTCACCGGACACATTTTTTAAACTAGATACCCCAATAATGATTTTGGCCAAGTTTGGTCAAATTTGGCCCAGTAGTTTCAGAGGAGAAGATTTTTGTAAAAGTTAACGACGACGGACGCCAAGTGATGAGAAAAGCTCACTTGGGCCAGGTGAGCTAAAAATCAAATCGAAGTCAAGGGGTCCTGATATTAGTGTGAACCGTTAGTGTCCAAACATGTTGCATCAACTGACAAAAGATTATTCCTCCATGGTTTGTTGTCTTGGATCTGGCCATAATGCAAATCTTATCTAGGAATAACAAACAAATAGACAACCAAAAGCTATATCTCTTCAGAAATTTAGTTGGATGAGTGAATTAATATTCAAATCTTGACAATTGAACTATAATTCTGCCTTAAACCCAACATATTTAACATATGAAAAACACATTGTACGGTCTTGCTTTTAAATATGGTAAAAGTGTCTGCCTTGGCATAAGAAAATATCTAAAAATATTACCTGGTTCTGACAATTCTAGAGCTTCCTTAGCTTTGGATACATTATCTCTCTCCTCTTTCAGTCTTCCAAACTTTCCTTCAAAGATTGTCAGTGCTTTCATAGCAGAATCTGGCATCAGTTCTCCCTACGAAATAATAAAAATATTGTAGCAAGTAGAAAAGATCTGTATTTTACAATTTAAAAAAAAAAATTTAGCAGCATAAAATAAAATTTGCAATAACCAATTGTTTTAAGTTTATATGGTTTTCATAAGATATTTATTTACTTTTGAATCAATTTAAACATTGCTGATCTATATTAAATAACATTGTAATTTCATAACACACAAGAAATATGTACTGTATATGTTTACCTCAATTGGTTTTTCTTTCTCCCATTCTGACAACATATCATGAGTCTTACTCTCTACTATCTTATCCTCAGACACTATTTTCATCTGTAGACTAGCCACTTGTGTCTGGATAGAGGAATCTTTACGTTTCATGATATCAGAGAAAGCTCCCCATTCTCCCTCTATGTTGTCACTGTATAACCAGTTAGCTGGGAACTGGAATCTCTGTCTTTCTAGAATCCTTTGACTTTCATTAAAATTCTGTATACAAAGACAAAACAAATGTATTTTAAAATAAGATGATGGCATGTTTTCAAGAATAAATCTTTTACCACTGAGTTTACTACAATCAGTAAGCTAACTTTCTCCATACATTTTAGTTGGTGGAATATTGCTGTTCTTTGTATGGTTGTTCCTATCTTTATTGAATATAATTCAAAATGTAGTTTTTTTTAGTTGCTTTTCCCTTCACTTACAAAATCTATTCAGACCCTACCTCTTCAATTACAAAAGGGCTTCCCCACTCCCCTTGTCAAACCATTTACCAGCGGCTCTCTTATTTATTCTCAGGCCGCCTGTTTTGCAATAGTAGTAAATAAAAATAATACATTATCCTAGTGATTTTTCATGCATACAATTTTTTCTGTGAATATTTGAAAAGCAATTTTTACTTAAATTACATGACTTTTTCTGAGGTTATTTAATATGTTTGCCTACCTCAACACTCTTCTCCCAGTTGATCATTTTACGTTTGAGAGCCTGTACTTGTGTAATTAGACCGACAGCTTCTGATGTATTGGCTGTATCTATAGACTGTTGTTCCAACTCAGATCTTGCCTATAAAAAGATTAACAGACATGTAGTTCTTTCGTGAGATTATATACAAATTTATAAGATATCTTAATAATGACATTTCTCTTTGAAATACTAGTATTTAACTAATACATTAATATTTTAACAGATATTATACTTAGCGCCAACAGATCAAACATTTGTTGTCAAATAATAGGAACATCTAAATGCATTGCATGAAATTAAGAAGAGAAATGAGATGGATATGTATAATAAAGTGAGTGTTGTTGTTCATTGATTGTTGGTGTTTAACGCCACTTCCAGCACTATTGGCTATATCTTGGCAGCCAACTTTTATTGGTGGAGGAAGCCAGAGTGACCAAAGAGAACCATGACCTCGACAGGAAAACAAGCAATCTGCTTGCAATCAAAGCAACTGCCATGTGCTTGGTTCAAACTCAATGATATAGCAGATGAACTACTTAGACCACTGGGCAACCGAGGCCCCTTGTGTTGTTGATTTATATGAAGTTTGCATAAGAAAGAGCATTGTAATATTATTTCAAATTGTTCAACAACATTATATGAATTTTGATAAAATCATGATGAAATTATGGAAACTGAGCATAGCTCACAGATTCATGCCTTTTAAATGTACAAACAAAGCAAATTTAATTTTTTTATGGAAAACTAGAAAGATCATTCAGATCAAAAGATAAAATAGATGGGGCAAGTATGCAGAATAATCTTTTCTTTTATTCATGTTAACTCAGATTGCAAAGCGTTATGATAGCCACAAAAGTACAGCTTTCTTTTGGCTCTGGGTTTCTAGACAGAGCTACCAGTCCATAGTAACTACCAGTTCAGGAAACAACCTAAACCACTGCAAATTTTCTTGAAACCAGTGTAAAATTTATTTTAAATATTTTGAGTTTTTCAAAATAACATTGAAATGAAAAGCTGTATTTATAAAACAGTTTTTAACAATGCATGTGCAGGAATGAAAGGCGGAACAATTTGAAGCTCCAACTTTTTCAGGATTTATAGACGGTACTGAAGACTTTAAGAGAGTTTCGCTGATATCTGCTACAGGAGGATTTGCCAGTATAATATATAGACAAACAATTGAAAGAATGGACACATACTGATCACCAAACACATCCTCTATCACCTAATGAGGCATTTCATTTAATAAACAACTGATTTCTTTATTTATTAACATACCTTTGAAATAGTTGCATGGAATTCTGTCATTTCATTTCCAAGGAAACTACCAAATTTAGTCAGAACTTCTTTGTGCCATGAATCATACTTCAAACTCACTTTAGATTGTACCTTAAAATAAATATTTTCAATTAACATATGATGTTTTGTAATACATTAAATTAGGTTCCTAAAACTCAATTTCCTTTAAATTTTTTTTTTTTTTGAACAAGTATCCAAACCTTAATATTCCTAAGTACGTTAACATTCAATTTTGCATTTTATTTCTTAAAGAAAAGCATCTTTAAATCTGAAATCATACTAAATAATGAAAGCAAAAATTACCTTTCCATACTGAACAATGATTGGTCCAAGTTGTTTCTGTGTATCAGATGTATCAAAGGTCTTCCTTGAAGCCCTGGAATCAATTATGTACAATAAAGAGGTGTCCATTTGTTACTACGTAAATCTTATCGCCAGTGTATTTATATTATGTTCAAAGTTAAGGATCCAGGATTTATGAGGAGACGTGTTTTACTATTAAAAATATGTCCTTTTGAATTCCAGTTGAGGTAATATTCTATAATGTTTATATCTTTATGAAGTAATTCATATATTTTTCATAGAATTTGTCACAATTTAAATATCAACTGAAGAAAAATAGTGTTTTTTTTTTTTTATAAATATGTTTCATGTTAGGGGTGTATGGCAAATATGCCCACTTCTATACCCTTGATCTTACTTTATTTCTTCCAGTGTTGACATCCAAGTCTTTAGTTTGGTCCCCAGTCTGTTGTAAAGTACATCTGGGTTCAAATCCCACAAGGCCTGATATCTTAACCAAACCTACAATGGAAAGTAATCTCTTACTAGGGTCTCTAAACTGTAATGGTGTCCAAATTCTAAATCTTTAAATTTTCATTTTCTTATATCATAAGATTTGTAAAGAGATAATCTTCATATACAGTAATAATGACTATCACTGGATACATGCTGATAAAATGCTGAGAAATAATACACATGAAAATGTTGTTGCAAATATATTTGTTCACACAGTTCTAAGTCAAACATTTATTAACAAGAATGTGTCCATAGCACACGGATGCCCCACTCACACTATCATTTTCTCTGTTTGGTGGACCGTGAAATTGGGGTCAAAACTCTAATTGGGCATTAAAATTAGAAAGATCATATCATAGTTCCCTAAGTTTCAAGTTGATTGGACTTCAACTTCATCAAAAACAACCTTAACCAAAAACTTTAATCTGAAGCGGGACAGACGGACGGACGGACGAATGAATGGACGCACAGACCAGAAAACATAATGCCCCTACTACTATCGTAGGTGAGTCATAAAAAAACCTTATTAACAGAATACCAGTGAAATAATTGTTATAACAATGAAAGTATACTTACATTGACATATTTAGAGAATTCCTTCATGACCCCCTCCATGGCAGAATAGGCATCTTCTAATATTCTCTGTCCTGTTGGTAATTTTGTCAATACTTTCTTGTAGGTTGTTTCTGATTCTGATTCAGCTTCCAAACCAACCTGTATTAATATGAAATAAATAGGATCAATACATACTTTTAAAATCTTTTATACTCTTATTTTTTTATTTTCTCCAATCCTCTGACTTTCAACTTCATTAATCAATACTTATTAACTATAAACATGATTCCATTTCATAATTTTGTTTATCAATTATTGAACTATAAGGCTAAATTTTCAATCTTGTATAAGTGACATACATTGTAATTACAACTATAGCAATACATTATATACATTAAAACAATACACTAACCGTGTATCTGGAGTGTCTAATTCTTGGTAAACTGGTGATGACAGCTTCCCAAGCAAACAGTTCCTGCATGATGTTCACTCTAGCTTCTTCTATTGGAGGATTTACATAAATCACTTGGTTTGTGATCCTCAGTTCATGGATCAGTGGCTGAAAATTTAAAAAAAATCATGAATTCTGTTAAATAGTTTGTTTAATACATTTACCTATTCATTTATTTGCATATACATATATCTAGTTCATTAATATGAAAATTTGTTGTTCTGCCAGGTCGAAATTCAAAGCAATTAAAGATTATATTTTTGGCTGAGACACTGATTATTACTTTAATACATAGCCAGTTTTGCTTTAGAAGAGGAAATGGGAACAAAAGGATATTCTAAATAAGCAAAAGATAAAAATGAAATATAATGCATTGATATTTGATAAACATGTATATATATAAAAACAAGAGTGCACACGCTGAAATGTCTCACCTGCTTTACTGACCATTGATTTTATGTTGATAGTCCTAAATATAAAGTTTTACTACAAGTATCACATAAACTTAACATGATCAAAGAAAATGAGATCAATGTCAGATAAACCAAGCCAGAAAAACATGTACACCTTAAAATCATTCGATACACCAAATATAGTTGACCTATTGCTTATAATATACAAGAAACAGACCAAACCATGAAAACTTTATATTGAGCAAAGAACCATGAACAGGAGGTCAAGGTCAGATGAACCCTTCCAGACATACATGTACACCTTACAATCATTACATGCTTTAAATATAGTTGACGTATTGCATATAGTATCTAAGAAACAAACTTAACCAGGAAATCTTAGCATTGACCATAAACCATGAAAATTAGGTCAAGGTCAGATGATTACTGCCAGACAGACACATACACCTTACAATCATTCCATACACCAAATATAGTTGACCTATTGCTCCTAGTTTAAGAAAAAGAGACCAAAACACAAAAACTTAACATTCAGCAATGAACCGTAAAAATGAGGTCAAAGTCAAATAAAAAGTGCCAGACTGACATGTACATCGTAAAATATTTTCATACACTAATTATAGTTGAACTATTGCATAGTGTTAGAAAAACAGACCAAAACACAAAAACTTAACTTAAACCATTGAACCATGAAAATGAGGTCAAGGTCAGATGACACCTGCCAGTTGGACATGTACACCTTACAATCATTCCATACACCAAATATAGTAGACCTATTGCTTATGGTACATGAGATATGGACTTGACCACGAAAACTTTACCTTGTTCACTGATCCATTAAATGAGGTTGAGGTCAAGTGAAAAATGTCTAACAGACATGAGGACCTTGCAAGGTACGAACATACCACATATAGTTATCCTATTACTCATAATAAGAGAGAAATTAAGAATACTAAAAATCTTAACTTTTTTTCAAGGAGTCACTGAACCATGAAAATGAGGTAAGGACAATGGACATATGACAGATGGAAACTTCATAACATAAGGCATCTATATACAAAGTATGAAGGATCCAGGTCTTCTACCTTCTAAAATATTAAGCTTTTAAGAAGTTTGTTAACGCAGCTGCCAGATCACTATCCCTATGTCTTGCTTTCTGCGACAGAAGTCGAAGGCTCGACAAAAAACTACTTCTTCTGTTTGAAAAGTATACTTGCTGCAGAATCTTTGATGTGATAGCTTATCATTGATATTTTTAATAATCAATTACAGACTTCAATGATACCTTGATTTGTGGATCTCCACCTGGTTTATGAGCTTGTTGTGGTGCATCAGTGTCCATTAACTGGTCAACTGTGTCGTCTTTATCTTCAGCTTTCTTTTTCAAAACTTCTGTCCATGCCTTCAACCCTGCTTCTAATCTGAATGCCAAAGCTTCCTCAACCTAAAAAAAAATAGAAAGTTTAACATCAAGCAGTCTCCATATAATATACGATGTATTTGCTGATGTTTCCTTTTAGTATATAATTGTTGAAAAATAAGTTTTTTTTATGATACACAATATGTTTTCTCATAAAATGTCAAAATACAAAACAATGTAACTCAAATATGTTTTCAAGCCTGAGTTTTTTTAGTAATACTCACTCTCTCATCAAGTTTGGCAACCCATTGTTGTAGGTTTGAGTATGCATGAAGACTAAGGTTGTCAACAGCTTTCTGTATACGATTCAGGATCTCTGTGAATGTGTTGTTACTGTAGGAACATGTTGTTAAAGCTTTCACCTCCAGCTCAATCTCAGACTCCATCTCTGCCAAATCATCAACCTGTAAAAAGAATATGATTAAAACCAAGCTGACAGTCTTAAATCATCACAAACATTAGAAATTGGACATAAAAATTTCATGAAAAGTGGTTAAGTATTACCAAATTCTCACATAATTATGTTAACCATTTGTGTATATATTTCATAAAATTTAAATAATTTTCAAATTATTAGTTTCTTTTTCAACAAACCTTTTCTTGCACATTAAAGTTTGTATCAGCAAGTCTCTGTACATAAGGATCTAGTTTGTAGGATTCCCAAACCAGTGCACAACCCTGAAAGTAAGAATGTAATCCCTATTATTAATGAATCATTGCAATTGTACAATTATCTCTAGAAGGTGTGGATTCATTATCATTTGTTGGATACCAAATTTCGTGGATTTCGCAGGTACATGCGAACTTTGAATTTAATTACAAATGACACTTTGACAAAGCCACGAAATGCAAGTTTTCATCAATCAACAAAAATCGACACACAAGAAAATATATGAATCTACAATATTAAAATGAAATTCTATATCTTTTTAATAGAAGATTTTACAAACAGTGAATTTTTTTTGATACCTTCTAATTCATAAAATCAAAATAAAAAAATGTACCTCTCCAATTAGAGTCTGTACTTCTTTCCTGAGTCCAGCTACTAACAAAACTATTGTCGGTCTGTCTTCAATCTGAAAAAAAATATAGGAGTATAATGTTAAATCAAACCAAATCTTGCAATAAGGATTTTCCACTTTTTTCCTTAATACATTTATCCACTAATTATTTTCAGGATTTTTTTTCTTCCATAAACTAAAGTAAATTTATGTTTTTGATCAATTCATATTTTTGCATTTTTTCTGTTATTCTCAAAAGACATTTGCATATAAAATGTGTATATTATTTTGTACCAACCTTTTCTAAAGTCCTTTCATAGGTTTTAACACTTTCAATCAAGGAGATTGCAAATGGATACAGTTGATTGGCTTGATGTGCTTTGTTTACAATAGCAAGTGGTACCCTGAATCCTAACCATCTCAAGTTCCTCACCTTCAAACAAATATACACTTGATAAGAAATTAAACTTTCAATTTTTTATTGCTCAATAAATGACAAAATTGCATAAATATTAGAAAATTATAAAGCACATAAAACTGTAAATTCAGAAATTATTGCGTTTATTTATTAATGGATTTTGAAGAATGGACAAAAAATGTGAGATTAATTATTGTGATATCAGGAAAATCTACATACAGATTTTAGAATGCGAGTTAATATTATTGTGATAGTCACATAGTCACATTATTCGCATTTATAAAAACCTCGCAATAATTTCTGAATTTACAGTACTCTGATATTGAAATATAAGCTTTTATGTCTATATTTCTGACCTAATGATTTACAAAATGTCATGTCTAATTAAAGTTATATTGCATGTAAATTTAATTGCTATCTATATCTATACAGTACCTCCTTTGATAAGGTGATAACTTCTGGTTGGAAGTTGACAAACAACCTAAGAACATTTCCTTTCTTCATTGATTTATGTTTCACACTCTGAATACTGAAAATTCTTCCTGTTACAACCAACTGCCTTCCTTGTACCTGCATAGAAATATTCAAATTATGGAATGACAGTGAAAACTTAACATCAAAGTTCAAAATGCATAGAAAATGTTTCTTTCATGGTGTGTAGTATCTGTTCTTTTTTACATTCTAACTTTTAAATGACACATACAAATGTCTTACCACACAACTTAAAATATACAATGGCAGTAACCCTTGCAACCTTATATATTTTCATACATTTCAGAACAAAACATTTCATTATGGTCAGTGCTTTGTGTTCTTTGCAATATTCCTACACAATATAAATGATTCAATATTTAATACCAAACATTTTTTTACAAAACATTATACCTTTCTTGACCAATCTTCAAATAATTCTTGTGTATTCAGTTTCATTCTAAAGCTATCGCCATCAGCTTTTAACTTTTGTCCTTCCACATGGTTTTCCCAACCTTTACCAAGAACATCTTCTACACGTCTTAGATAGGCATTTAGTTGGTACTCAATCTGTAAAATGTATACCATAAATCATGTAAAATATGGAATGTTACACAGTTCAGAATTTTTTATGAAATTAAAACAGTTTGAACTTGATCATTTTGCACAACAGCATTTATTTTCCTCTGATTGCTCTCGATAGAAGAGTACAAACCAGAATGAAATACTATCAATATGAGAATAGATTACTTAAATGTTATGTACATTTAAAGAATTTTAAGATTGTAAAAGTAAAAAACCTTCCTAAACATTACTGTTAGCAAATAATGTTGTCCATAAATCACAAGTATCATAACTATAGCTTGTTTGAAGAAGAAACAAACTCAGAAAACCAAGAAATTCAGAAGCAGAAAAATGTATGTAACTTTAAGAACTAGCAGCAACTTGTTTAAAACTTTCTCTACTTTTTATTTTCATTACTTTCTTACAAATATAAAATAAAATGCTTCGCTGGGCGCAGCTTGATACGACCGCAGAGGTCGAACCCTGAACAGTTGGGGCAAGTATGGACACAACATTCAAGCTTGATACAGCTCTGAATTTGGATTGTGATTAAATATTTGACACAGCATAGGTTTCTGACACAGAAAGAATGTGGTCTAAGAACTTCAATTTTTTTAATTTACCTATTATGGTCCAATGTCCAAAATCAAAATACATGGTTAGATTCAGCATATCAAATAACCCCATATATTCAATTTTTGTTGAAATCAAACAAAGTTTAATTTTGGACCCCAACTTGGACAAACTTGAAAACTGGTCCCATAATCAAAAATCTAAACACATGTTTAGATTCAGCATATCAAAGTACCCGAAGAATTCAATTTTTGTTAAAATCAAACTAAGTTTAATTTTGGACCCTTTGGACCTTAATGTAGACAAATTTAAAAAACGGGACCCAAAATTAAAAATCTAAAAACACGGTTAGATTTGGCATATCAAAGAACCCCAATAATTCAATTTTTGATGAAATCAAACAAAGTTTAATTTTGGACCCTTTTGACCTCAATATGAACCAATTTGATAGCGGGCCCACAAATAAAAAATCTAAATACATGGTAAGATTCAGCATATCAAAGAACCCCATATATTCAATTTTTGTTGAAATCAAACAAAGTTTAATTTTGGACCCCAATTTGGACCAACTTGAAAACTGGGCCAAAAATCTAAAATCTAAATACATGTTTAGATTCGGCATATCAAAGAACCCCATATATTCAATTTTTGTTGAAATCAAACAAAGTTTAATTTTGGACCCCAACTTGGACAAACTTGAAAACTGGTCCCATAATCAAAAATCTAAACACATGTTTAGATTCAGCATATCAAAGAACCCCAAAAATTCAATTTTTGTTAAAATCAAACTAAGTTTAATTTTGGACCCTTTGGACCTTAATGTAGACAATTTAAAAAACAGGACCCAAAATTAAAAATCTAAATACACGGTTAGATTTGGCATATCAAAGAACCCCAATAATTCAATTTTTGATGAAATCAAACAAAGTTTAATTTTGGACCCTTTTGACCTCAATATGAACCAATTTGATAGCGGGCCCACAAATAAAAAATCTAAATACATGGTAAGATTCAGCATATCAAAGAACCCCATATATTCAATTTTTGTTGAAATCAAACAAAGTTTAATTTTGGACCCCAATTTGGACCAACTTGAAAACTGGGCCAAAAATCTAAAATCTAAATACATGTTTAGATTCAGCATATCAAAGAACCCCTTATATTCAATTTTTGTTGAAATCAAACAAAGTTTAATTTTGGACCCCAACTTCGACCAACTTGAAAACTGGGCCCATAATCAAAAATCTAAACACATGTTTAGATTCAGCATATCAAAGAACCCTAAGAATTCAATTTTTGTTAAAATCAAACTAAGTTTAATTTTGGACCCTTTGGACCTTAATGTAGACCAATTTAAAAAACGGGACCCAAAATTAAAAATCTAAATACACGGTTAGAATCGGCATATCAAAGAACCCCAATAATTCAATTTTTGATGAAATCAAACAAAGTTAAATTTTGGACCCTTTGGACCTCAATGTGGACCAATTTAAAAACGGGGCCCAAAATCCAAAAACTTAATACACGGTTAGATTCAGCATATTAAAGAACTCCAAGAATTCAAGAATAAAACCCCATTGAAATTGATCAAGAAATAAGCAATTTATACGAAGTATCTTCTTTTGCACAATACTGTGCAATTGAATATTTCTTGCTATTGCGCAATACTGTACAATTGACAATTTCTTGCTATTGCGCAATATTGTGCTATTGGATATTTCTTGCTATTGCGCAATACTGTTAAATTGAAGATTTCTTGCTATTGCGCAATACTGTGCAATTGAAGATTTCTTGCTATTGTGCAATACTGTGCAATTGAAAATTTCTTGCTATTGCACAATACTTATTATATAATAATTTACACATCCTGTTTGGTGTGTATCTCCTACCATATCATTATTATTTGCTTTTAAATATAAATCAGAAATAACCAACTTAAAATGGAAAATTTTAAAAGAAAAAAAAAAGGAAAAAAAGAAAAAAAAAAAAAAAAAAAAATCCCCCCCCAAATTTTTTGAACCCCCTTATGATTCATCACCCCCAAACTCAATCCCAGCCTTCCCTTTGTGGTATGGTACCTTGCAGTACAATTTCAGAGAGATCCATACACTTGAACACAAGTTATTGTCTGGAAACTAGAAAAATGCTTATTTTTGGCCCCTTTTTGGCCCCCAATTCCTAAACGTTTCGGGCAATCACCCCCAAATTCAATTTCAGCTTTCCCTTTGTGATATGGAACCTTGTAGTACAATTTCAGAAATATCCAAACACTTACACACAAGTTATTGTCATGAAACTAGAAAAATGCTTGTTTTTTGCCCCTTTTTTGGCCCCTAATTCCTAAAATTTTGAGGCAATTACCCCCAAAATCAATTACAGCCTTCCCTTTGTGATATGGAACCTTGTGGTACAATGTCAGAGAGATCCATACACTTACACACAAGTTATTGTCTGAAAGTTACAAAAATGCTTATTTTTGGCCCCTTTTTGGCCCCTAATTCCTTAACTGTTGGTACCATAACCCCCAAAATCAATCCCAACCTTCCTTTCGTGGTATTGAACCTTATGGTGAAATTTCATGGAGATCCATTCACTTAAACTAAAGTTAGAGTGCGAAAACCAATGTGTCTTCGGACGACGCCAGACGACGCCGGACGACGACGACGACAACGACGACGACAACGACGACGACGACGACGACGACGCCAACGTCATACCAATATACGACCAAAAAATTTTTAATTTTTGCGGTCGTATAAAAATGTAAAATTTTTTCCTGGGCACCTGACTTATATTGATGAGATCACAATTTCTTATTAATTTATCATTGTTACAGCATTAAATTTACGTATTAACTTGAATTTTTTCATACACATTACCTGTCTGGACCATACAATTCTTCCTGACACCTGTGGCAGATCTCTTACTTTGCTCATTTTGTATGATTTACTCTGGGCATACTGAACCTGTAATGATAGATTTTTTTATTGATTAGGCCTAATTTATTGCATCTTCGGTACTTACATGATCATTTATAAAATTATTGATATTTTACCAAAAAGGAAAACAAATAAAATTCTTTATTTATTTTGAATACAGCATTATTAATGTATCTAGAATGTACTTTTTACTTTTATGAGAAGATGAAGAAGATGGCCATAATTTTTACTGTTATTTCAGTGTTATTCTAAACTAACAGAATGGAAAACATTTTTAGTTAAACGTTGCACTTTGTAAATACAGCTGTTTCATAAACCATACCTGTTTTGGGGAGATATATAATATTCATAGTTATTTTGTTTTGTTTACCTACTGGTTCTTAGATATGATCTCTATGTTTCATCTCATAGAGACACAACTTGGGTATTTTACCAGTATAAATACACATGGATAGCGGCCTAATTGAATTCTGAGGAAGACCCAAAGTGAAGGGTGGGGTAGTACAGGATTTCAGTATAAGTCTAAACTCTTTCGAAGTTCGAGGCATATAAATGTTGATAATATGCCGCACAGCCCTATGTTTTGATCATTGAAATAAATAGTAGTGCATATGAACTTTCCATTCTAGAATATAATTTTTTACAAAACTTTAAGAGTTAAAAGTGGCACAGTCTTAGCCAGAAAAGGAGTTCCTATGGGAAATTGCATTTTCTATATTTACAGAAGTGCCACCTAAAGAATATTTATGCTGAGTTGTGTTACCTTGAATTTTTCATGAAGAGATTCAATGTCAACTTTGACTCTCTGTATGAGCTGAGTTTGATATTCTCTGATGGCTCCTCTAATGTGTGGCCGTACAAACAGAGCATTGAATCTAGAGAAAATCCTGAACATTTCATTGGCATTCTTTGCTGTACCAAGTTGGTCCCTCAGTCTGGCTGTGATTCTGGTCTCAACACGATCTATCCTCTCATCATACCTGAAATATCAAACAAATTTCAGTTAAATTAAAGTTTATGTGAAATCTTTCTACTTAACCAATATAGTTTGAGGTAATAATGTAAATCTAACATCGTCCCCAATCTTGTGTGTAAATGTTTCTCAAGCACATAATTTGATAATTAAACCTACCAATTCAGACTTTTATATTAATATTTCACATTGAGAAATTACCTTTTGATAGCAGCCTCCCAGAATTCTGAGCCTTCTTTAGATACATCCAGACCATCTACTTCTTTAACATTCTCATAAGCTAAGTTCACTTCCTAAAAAAGAAAGGACAAACTGATACTAAAGTCAGCATTATTATAAAAACATCAGTCATTAACTCAAATTCAGCATATTTGATTTTAGTTCAAAAAAATATTAATACATATCTTTATGAAACATTGTTTTCTGCAGCAGCACTTTTAATTTTTGTCTAATTGTGAAAAGAGAAATTCTGCTTGCCACTTCTGAATATCATCCTTTCTGTTATAAATTTGACTTCTAGGTTACCGTAGTGATTCGTTGACTTGACAACTACGGTAACTGTTATATCTTTCATTATCTTATCAAATAAAAGAGAGCTTATGTAAGTATTTCCATTAAATCTTTCATTGCAAACGTATAATTACCTCAATAGCATTTGCGTCAGCAGCCTCATCAACCATAGGTTCACCTATTTTTTGTTCTGGTTCTTCTGATGCTGGTGTTGTAGCTCTGATTGCTGACTTTGTGGTAGTAGGACGTAGCACTCTCACAATCACCTGTCTCAACTGTTCATGCTGGCGACGGAATCTACAAATCAATTTTTATTCTTATTTTATGCATTTTTCTTAATGATATGCAAAAGTAATGATAGAAAAAAACAGCTTTTCTTTTGATATCAGTCAAAATCCAGAACAGAACTTAACTGTTTTTAATCTTATGCATGTAAAATTTAAGTATACATTAGAGTGTCCTTCACTTAGCCTGAACAAGTTAATCAATATAGAGAAAACTTGAACATGAAATTAAAGGTGTTTCTGACACAAATTTACACAGATTAAAATTGAGATAGATTTTAATTCCAATAAAGCTTACTTTCTCATATGATCGAGCCTGGCTTGTAGACGTTTGTGTGCAGGATTGACTCTCCAGACCATCCTCAAATGTTCTTCTCGTTTCTTCTTCACCAGATCTCGCAGTAGACCTTGTAATCTATCATACTCATCATCCCAGGTACCGAACACATCAAAACAGGCATTCATCACCTTCTCAAACTCATCATAGGCTATATGCATCAGTCTTCTGGTCCCAAGAACCTGTAACAAGTATCAATCATTTATTTCTTAAAATCAAAATTGGATAAAGTCTTTATATGATGTTTTAATTTTAAAATGATAGTCAAAATATTTTCACTGTGAATATTTTTTTAAAATTTACTTTTCCTCTCAAGTATTAAGGATTAAGGCAATGACTTGAAAGAGTTTTCTTTGAACTTTCGTTTTATCCCAATTTTTTGCTATTTCTTATACATGTGTGTAAATTTTACTAAATGTACATAGGGTTAATATAATCCTTTCCCATTAAAAACTACCTTCAGAAGTTGACTGCTCAAATCTCTTGATATAGCCTCAACTAATCTGAGGGCTCTCTGAATTGGATATTTGGTTGGTCTAATCTTTCTCAAATGAAGGAATATGGCTTGTAGTGCTACTCTGATCTTGTCCAACTCTGAAGCAGCCAATAGGTCATTCAGAGGGAAATCCTTCATTAGTTGATTGTAGTCATTTACTGTTGCCATGGCAGTCTTCAGTCCTATAAAACATTCAATTTAAAATTGATAATTTTATGTTCAATATGGTACAGATATATCAAGACTTAATGTATTCTTTTGAATTTTTTAATTATCATGTTCTTATATTAGAAATATTTTCACATTTTTTCGCAAATTGATGAAAATGTCATATTCTGAAATCGTAGAAATCTTGTCAAGTACATAAAAATGAAATCTTATGGGTATTTGTAACAGCTTATATCAGTGATCTTAAACTTTTATTGCAAACAAGTATATTCCTAATAACCTGTGTCTGTGTCAAAACTGACAGTAGCATGGAATCTTTTGCCATGCTTGAGAATATCTAATGTTAGTACTATCTCAGTGCTCTCCCTTTTCTCCTGTATACGCAACAATGCCCTCTCTAAGTTCAACCAGAAAGTTATTTCCTGTAAAGCTGTTCCTGATGATGGATCCCTGTCCAGTTTTGTAACCTGCAGTAGAAATATCAATTAATGAAACAAAAGTACAAGCTATTGAATATTGCAATATTACAGTCAGAATATGTAATATTATTATAACATATATAAACACCATGTTTACATCAAAGTAAAAAAGACATTTTTTTGTCATTTTATTGAAATTACTCCATGGCTTTGTTCTTCAATTTACAGTTGTGGTGTGATCGTCAGTTTGTAAAAAATTCGGCTCAGTGCTAGGGGCCGTCTAAAACTTGCAGTGAGATGAGTTTTTTTTTCTCCATGTTAAAGGCCTCACTGTGACTTTGAGATGAAGAACAGCAATAGAAGCACTGTTCCTTGCTTTATGTGTATTTTGCTCTGCATATACTGATTTTTTGCCATGAATGGATACCCCATATACTTTCTTTCCTATTATAAAACTGAACCATGAATAATATTAATTAAATTCAAGTTAAATATTAAACAATTCAGCATGGACATATTTTTACAATTGAATAATTAATAGGATATGGGAAACGAGTTGTTTACTTAAATCCTTTTCCTAATACTAAATGAGAAATGGGGCACTTTTCAGCCCTAAGCATTCCAACATCATCAAGCATTATAAATCCATCAAATAACATCCTTCTAATGCTCATAACACATTAGTCTGTTAAATTTTAATTCTTGTATTTTACAATTTTGTTCTACATATTTGCTTTAGATCTTTCAAACTTCTTATATTTAAGGAAAAACTGCCTGATTTGAAATCTTGCCATTAATATTCAGGTCTGGACTACATCCTTACCAAAAAAGATATTTTACTGCAAGATATAATATTTCTTGTTGACTGACCTTTTGAATTTCCCTGATCCATCTGTTGACACCACTCTGTAATGCATTCAGGAACTGTGGATCTTCTACTTTATCTCCAAAATCTTCTACTTTGGTCTTTCTTCCTTCCTCCTGACATTTTTTGATGATAGACATGACAATTGGGTGTATAGGAAGGGTTATCTCTGGGATATCTATGTTCTGTTGTAGATGTAACAATCCCATCTCTAATTCGGATATCTTCTTTTCTACAGTTGGTGCCATCTTATCTCCATCCCTGAAAAATTATCAATACATTATTAATACAGTGAAACTTTACTCAAAAGAACATACCCGTCTGAATAAATTTTTTTACGATGACATTTGATGAATACTCTTTATACATTATTCATGTGTAAACCAACAACTGTTTACTCCAAACAAAAATCATCGGTCCCAAGAAGTTCACTTTAGACAGATTCCACTGCAGTAATGATTTCAATTAAAAAAAGAATCTTTTCATGCGCATGTCCTAGACAGAACAGTAAATGATTGATATAAATAAATGTAAATATACCATTTTTTTTCAATTTCACTGTGCTTATATGCAGTTATTCAAATATTTATATGAATAATATACTTATATCAAGGCTTTATCTTTTTCCATATGACCTGAAGACTGCCTTTATAAACATACAGCCTGTACAGTAATATTTCATTTTTAAAGTGTAGCACTGTATAAGTTGTTCCTACCTCTCTGCCTTGCCAGTTTCCTTGATGTAAGATTTAAAGTAAGGAGCAACAGCATTGCTGACATATGCATGGAGAGTTTCATATGGAGACCCTTCACTTAAGTTCATCACACGAAGCTGCTGAGGAAAACCTTTGTCTGCTTCAAGTATTTGTCCTCTCTTGATCAAAATCATACTGCAAAATATGTACTAGTAAAACGCTTGTGTCAAACTAATAAAAATATGTTAATTCAGTGTAAGAACAAATATATTTATATTGACTTCACCGTGTTCATATGATGGACATTTCCATTAAGTTCACATTTAGTACATTTTAAAGAATTAAGATATCAATCTTTTTTATGGGTTAGTACAAAGGTAGCTGAAATAGAAACAATTATGTCAAAACTTACCAAAGTTTTCAAATAAACATGTGCAAAACATTGCATTTCAAATACTTGCCACTTACTGTTAAGCAGCAATCTTTTATAAACTGCATGTGTAGATCATCTCAATCATTAAAACCTAGCTATATAGAGATTAAAGTAACAGTTGTAAGATTTATGTTAGAATATAAATACCTGGTAACCTTTGAACTTGAATAAAATACTTCTGAGGATATATGGTAGGACACAACACCTTCCCCATCTCCTTCTCCACCTTCAACTTCTTCAGAGTCATCTGAAATATTGGCAAGTATTGTATTTATATTCATTAGACTTTTGTTTGGTTCCATGCAAATCTGCAGCTTCTCTCTTAGCTAGCCTGGATAATATACTTACACAATTTTATTTAGGGGCCAGCTGAGGACCACCTCCGGGTGCGGGATTTTCTCGCTGCATTGAAGACCCATTGGTGGCCTTCGGCTGTTGTCTGCTCTTTGGTCGGGTTGTTGTCTCTTTGACATATTCCCCATTTCCATTCTCAATTTTATTTGGTTTAAATTTACCAAAAACCAAATGAACATAAAGGGAAAAGAGCAGGAAGATATGCAGGGTCAAAATAATAAGTTCCAAATGGAATAACTTTTAAATTTTTGATAAGACAAGGGAAATCCCTTTTTATCATATACTTGTCATGACAACAACAAAGATTTAATCTTGATTGACACATTTTTCTTAATCTGCTTTAGCACATGCATGTTGGAGGTGCAATAAACAATTATCTTGATTTCACTTAAAAGACCACTGTATTTGAAGGGTTTGTTTAGTGTTGGGAATCCACTTGAAGATAAAAAATAAAAAAATCACAATAATTATAACCTGTCACTGATTCAATTTTAAAAAATAAGAAAGTAAATTTTGCATGGAGTTTAATAGTTTTACTTCTTCTTTTAGTGTATAGAAGGGGGGTAGATGAGAGGAAAAATAAAATATTATTTTCCCAGACTAAAATTTTATAATAAACAAAATCTATAGGATGAAAATATTTATTGAAACCTTCCAAGCCTCTCTCTTTTTCCTCTAAGAATTCCAATGTACATAGGGTTTGAATACTATTTACCTATTATACATATTATTTGTGGGAGGGAGGGGGAGACAAAATAATGAAAATTAAAATATATCTTTTATTTAAGATTGGCCACAATGGTAGAAGCAGAATAAATCAAGACTTGTGAAATAACTGCCAAAATGTCACCCAGCAATAGTCCAAAAAAGTCACTATGTAAGACACAAGTATTTGAATGACAGTTGGCTTAAGGTTATCATACAGCAATAATTTAGATAATATTATCCTATTTTTTTTCATGAACAACTATCCTTAAAAATAATTATGCATAACATATAATACATTAAGGGATTTTCACTGCGTTAGCCAGGGTGCTAAGTATATGCAAATGTTTGAAGGGGTCAAAAAGGAATCTGTAAAATCAAATGGAAAAATACCCTCATTAGACGTCATGGTTATCTTGACAAGCTTCTGGTTTGCCAAAAAAAGTACATTGCAGGTGAGACAAAACCCACACTAATTGAAACAAAAAGTTCTCTGAAATTACCGCCATCAATTTGATTGATAATCTTTATTATGTTGGGTGGACATGTTTTTGCACAGAGGTAGGCATTTCTATGGGAAGCACCTAGGCCTGTACTCATATTTTTGCTCCTTATTCCTTAATTTATATAAAGCAACCTTGAAACAGCGGTTTCACAATAAAAGTGATTGTTAGCACTGAAGGAGAAAGATTGCACTCATTTTTCAGTTAATTACTAAAAAAATAAACATTGCATTGTACTAGCGAGTGTGTTAAAGCTACATTTATGGTCAAAGGAAGATAACTCCTATTTTAAATATTACTTAACAATGACATCATTAAAATTTTTGGAACAGATACATGGATATATGTTAATTAAGGCATCATGCAGAATTTATGCAACTTTCTTGACAAGTATGGTTAAACAATGCACATCATTTTGTAACTTGAATATCCGAGTATATATAGTTCATGGACATATTTCATGAACTGTTCATAGATAGGATGTACAGACGGATGTCTGTTTATTGTCCGGTGGCAAATTAAATGCATATTCAGGTGAGAACATGATAATGTCATGCATGAATATAGACCCAACTTTGTACAAGACAGACACCTTGAATCAGATCTTTTAACATGATAGTTCACAAGGAAACAATCTGCAGGAAGACATGTCACCTAATCAGAAACATTATTTTGACTCCTAGGAAACCATTCTTGCGCTTTCTCCTAAATGCTGCGTGGTATTTTAGCCTTCTTAGGGTTTATCTCTCCTATCAAAATTTCCCTCATAGAGAAACACATCATTTAACAGCATACAAGGAAGGTAATGAACCAAATGAGTTCATAATGATAAAGTTGAAGTCACCGATTTCAAATCTTTATAGACACCATGTGAATCATGGTATCGGGTTCGTTCGCCCTAGGTCCGTTCGCCCTGAGTCTGTTCGCCCATAGAGTCCTTTAGCCCTAGGTCCGTTCGCCCTAACTTTTATAAAAAAAATAATATTAATGGTTTAATTCAAAGTTTTGTAATCTTATTTAGATATTTAAATGGTAAATATTAAAAATGTATATCTCTAAATTCATGAATAAACATTGAAATTAATAAAAAAAAAGGGTTTTTGTTTTGGAGCATTTATCAGGCTAATTGGCTTCATTGTTACATCTGTTTTTATTCAGAAGTACTTTTAATGACTGTTGATTGTAAATAAACTCATCATAGATACCAAGATTGAAATTTTGTTCGCCAGACACACGTTTCGTCTACAAAAGACTCATCAGTAACACTCGAATCAAAAAAGTTACAGGCAAAATAAAGTACGAAATTGAAGAGCATTAAAGACCCAAAATTCCTAAAAGTTTTGCCAAATACAGCTAAGGTAATATATTTCTGAGGTGGAAAAGCCCTAGTATTCGGAAAATTCAAAGTTTGTAATTTAGAGTGCTGATTAGATATAATTACGATGTCTTTGATCTCACCGATTGTTGTAGTTATTGTTTTTGATGGATTAATAATGAAATAGTTTTTTTTAAATAAACAAGTCAGCTTGAAATGAGTTAAAACAATGATGTAAGAATTCTGGCAAGATTATTCAATGCAAATCAAAAGAAAAACAATTATCTGGTAGCAGCAATACAACATAAATATTTCTGCGGAATTTTCAACAAACTTTAGCATAATTAACTTAAATAATTTATATTATACAAGACAAAAAAATAAAATAGAAATCAGGGCAAACAGACTCAGTGTGAACAGGAATTAGGGCGAAAGGACCCAGGGCGAACAGGTACAAGGGCGAACACGATTCAGGGCAAACGGACCCGGATTCGTGAATCATGACATGGTTTACAGTTAAGAAATATGTACATGTTCGTCACTGTTGAGCACAGATGTCCCATCCAATTTTCTTTCAGCCAAAAACAGATGACTGGAGCCAACTAATTTATATGATTCTTTTCATAAAACTTTAGTTATTTTTTTAAAGTACATAAACTTATATCAAAACACTGCTTTCAATACTGGGAACAGCTTGCACAGTATTTGCACATTAGTGCATAATATTGATTATGATAATCTATGTGGCCAGACATTTTCTTAGTTCAAAGTTCACAAAAGTTAAAACAGTAATTTTGTCATCAGTCTATTTTTTTTACCTTTGGTTGACGATCTTTGTACGAGTAAAGCTGGCGTTTGTGGGTCACTTATAAACTTCTTGATGCATTCCGTGTGCGTTTTCTCTACCAAGCTTGTTTTTAATGATGCAGTCGCTGAATCACGGTCCTCTAAGAGGGCGGGTACAACTCTGCATAAATACTCTAAAAATAAGGTATGATCAGCTACAGACTGGACTGGCACTTCAGAAGGAGGATTACCCTCCTGTTCTGAAGAGTCTGCCATATCCTAATGTTTAACAATAAGACGTATGATTAAGTCTTCAGTGCTGGAGCTTTCTCATCGAACCGATGTCGGCAGATGAGTGAGTCATCCAGTCATCTTCATGAAGTACCTAAAACCTTGTAAAGTACCGTGCTTGTCACGACATATATAAAATGATACACATTTTTATCAATGAATATAAATTGACGATTAAAGGCATTTGTCCATTTGTTTTAAGGTCTGTACATTAAGTGTTTTAAAATATTTTCTTATCTTTATACCAATAAAGCAGCGCCAATAAAAACCATGGCCGAATCGACTTTACAAAATGTGGCCGAAACGACTGTGGCCGAAACGACTGTGGCCGAAACGACTTGCATTGACATCTTACAACCAACTATACTGACATATATAACACCGTCGTGAATAAGCAAAGCATAGACATTAGATAAAACAGCATATATTATAGCAAAGATCAATCAAATCACATAAAATATCACGGATGCTATCGGATCCGTACACTACCTTTTATAACATTTTGTAAATTACGCATGTGCAAGACGGAAGCGCCATTTTTAAAAACAAGCACTTAGTTAGCTCCTGTAAACACAAAAACATGCCTCCAAAAACTAGAAGAAAGTCAGCCAGAAACAAAGAAACTCTCACCGAATCAGGTACGATACAATAGTTTCAATAGTTGTTATCTAGAATAAAGGAAAAAATCTCAACATGTCATACAATTATTTTGTCACAAAAGTCAATTAAAATCACTCGTAAATAAATTTTTATCTGTTTATAAATATCGTTCATGTCTGGCATGTACAGTTGGACTTACAACAGGAAATTTGATCACGAATTCGGAGTTTTGGACTTATGGAAAGTTAGATGTTTGTTTAAAACTACCTAACACAATAGCAAATTTGAGTGTGTATCTTACAGTTACACTTAATTTTTTCGACAGGTCCTTTATCTTTCCACATACGACCCACATTCAAAATGATGAATAATCTGGCAAGTTGCGCATGATTCAAAACTGGTTAAAACAAATTGTTGAGTTGATTAGTTAGAGGTGTTGGTCACTTGAGACTTGAATATCTCTGGAGGCAGTTTATTCCAATCCATCACAGTGTTTATGAAGAAGGACCATTTCCTACGCTGCTGGATAAGTCGGCCTAAAACAAACTCAGCCTATCACAAACTTGGACTATATCAAAGTCGGCCTACCATTATTTTTATAAAGAAATAAATTAAAGTGAACAAACTTGGCCTATGATTTCAAGATTGTGTTGTTTTCTATCTTTTTTCTACTGTTTTTAAAGTTTACATACGTCAGTTATAACAACTTTATAAACGAATTCATGAGAAAATGATGAATATTTTTGAAAAAAAATATAAGAAATATATTAAATTAATCCTATTAATAAGATAAAATGTGTGTTTATATCAAATACAGTTTAATTGAAAAATAAGTTTGAATACATTTAGGGGCCAGCTGAAGCCCACCTCCGGGTGTGGGATTTTCTCACTGTGTTGAAGACATTGGTGGCCGAGTTTATAATAGTCCGATTTTGTGAGGCCAGAAGGAATCCCTAACAGAATTCTCAAAGAATGCACAAGCCAAATTTGAAAATTATCAGACAACAAATATTGTGGAAAAGCAAGTTAAGAACAATATGAAGTGTTTTGAAATTCCAACGTGCAAAACACCACAATATTCAAATTCATTTTTTGTAAAAACAGTGATCGAGTGGAACCACCTTGCTGACACTAGTGCGCGCATCGAGTGTTGAGAGCTTCAAAACTGCTCTCGCACACCGTCAATAAATCGACAGCGCGATCTCTCTACCAGTGTTCCAGCTAGGTCGTTTTCACAAGGCGGTCTGCCCACCCTTTCCCGAGTGCCGCCCTGTGCCCTTTTTAAGACGCCCTGCCCTTTTTCGTAAGTACATGCCTTTATTGCCGTAATATTTTGATGAAAATACAATTATTCTACCTGTCTTCATATTTATGACCATCAGCTAATTAACATTTACAGCAGGTGTAATAAGTTGTGATTACAGATAATCCGCTTATCGACATCAGATGGGTCAATAATCCGTTAATTAAACTTCATAATTGACCATTGTAATAATTTTTCTAATTAAATTCGGTCAGTCAGCATTTCAATTTCAATATTTTTCTCAAAAGATGACAATGTTGCGTTTGATGTATCCGTAGATCGTCTGTTGTTTATATGTCAGAATTTTTTTTAAATTGATCTTTTAAACTAGTTTTAATCCAGAAGTAAAAACAATGCTTGACTGTACCTTTCATTGAATATCTATATCCAAATTAAATTAATTAAAGCTGTAATCCATGATCACAAACTGACTGCTTTGTTTACATTTGTTGAAAGCCATGTGTTTTTTGGCCAGAAAATTCGGAAAACCCCTTTAACAAGAAACAATTACATTTCATTGTTATTTATAGACAGTAAGCTTTTCTTTTTGATTAACTGCTAAGATTATTTCATTAAAAATGAATACTTTCTTGAGGTGAAACTGATAATACTCAGGGCTCACACTACTTCAGAATCATAGGGAGAAGTGACTTCTCTTTTTGAAACTGAGAGGGAGAAGTCGTGAGATTTGAGAGAGAAGTGCTTGTTCGCTCGCGGCACTACAATGTTTAGTTTTACTATAATACAAAGGGCCACAAAATGTTTGGTTACTGGAACAAAGCAGAAACTATCAATTCAGACTTATCAACCAAACTTAATAATAGATTCAAAAGTATTACAAAATTCTTCATGTGAAAAATTATTAGGTGTTAAAATTGACAGCACACTTAACTGGAGAAATCAAATTGACCAAGTTTGTGCTAATATATCATCCAGAATATACCTCCTTTCTAAAATAAAGAAATTTTTAGATATAAATGCAAGGAAAACATATTACAATGGGTATATTCTGCCCCTGATTGACTACTGCTGTATTATTTGGGGTGAATGTAAAAATGAAGGGATAGCAAGAATTTTAAAACTCCAAAAAAGGGCAGCAAGATTAATTCTAGATGCAGTTCCTTTATCCCCCTCAGCCCCCTTATTTAAAGAACTTGGGTGGATGACAGTTGACAATAGAATAAAATACCACAAATATTTACTTCTATATAAATGTATGCGTATGGAAGCACCAATGTACCTAGTTCAAAAGTTTAAACTGAAATCAGATAATAATCCTTACTCCCTGAGAGGCGTCACTCAAGGTAATCTGATAGTTCCTAAGCCAAAAGCTGAGCTATTTAAGAAATCTTTTGTTTATTCTGGATCAGTGTTATGGAATGGACTACCAAACAAAATGCGTAAAGCTCAAAACACTTATACTTTTAAACAAAGTATCAAGAAGTACTTAACACAGTCCTGATAAGATTATGTTTTCTACAATGTATTTGTATATTCTTTTATTTATATTTGTATTTGATTTTTTGACTACATGTACATCTTGAACAGCCTTATATCTTATCATGTTAGTAATATTACATTGAACTAATTGACTGTAAATTAACTATGTGTAAATATCTGTTTTTTGATTGTATTGTAATTTGTATGTGAGGGCCTCAGGGAAGATTAGTTTATTGTAACTAACTGAGTTTACCCTCTTTAAATAAAGAATTTATTATTATTATTATTATTATTATTATATGTATCTTATTTTTTTATATTGCTCAATTTGTACCTGGGAGTACAATAAAAGTAACAGATCAAATTCAAAGTTGTTTAATTTTATCATATCTAGTTGCACAATCATATTAGTCCTCTTGTCAGAAAAAAAACCAGTTTAATATCTAGCAATAATAAAAAAAAGATTTTTTTTTATATCAAAAAGGAAAAGAAAGTTGTTATTTCAATTTAAAATATATGTGAAATTCAGTGGTTAAAATTCTCATTTAAAAGATATATAAATTTAACACAGTTAAGCTTGGACATAGTATACATGGTATAGTAGTCCCAGAGTTGAGCAATTTTAATTAATAAATTGAAACAATTCATATACATGGAAATATTTACATTAATCAAGTAGATCTAACCAAAAGTATGTTAATGTGCATGGAATGCGTAATTTTTCCTTTTGGGATCAATATTCCTCTGTCAGCTGTGCCATTCATTCTTCAGTAGTCTTTATCGTATCCGGATTTCAGTCATAGCTGGTCCGGTTCCGATCAGTAGTTAAGTACAAATATTTCAATGGCGGACGAAGAAGAAAAATTTACAAAAATAAACGATGTTTGACACGCTATTTGGAAAGGAATATGACGTTTTTAATGCAATAAATGGATAACAAATTTACTTCAGGCAAATTTCATCACATTCTAATGATGTAACGAACTTATTTTGCCGAAAATTAGAATGATTTGATGTACGCTCACTGGAAGTGATAAAAAATTGTTTTTTATGAAATAACATGCAACCAACTTTAAAATCAATGCTTTAACCTCTTTTCTGAAGAAAATAAATCGTTTATGTCTTTGAATTTCTTTACTTTTTACTGAAAAATTGCTGTTTCGTTGACTTGGTAAAATTTGAATATTGTCGATGACGAAAGCGACTGAAAGCGAGTATCGTAAACCACAGGGCGACTAGTTTTCGCTTTTGAGGGTCGGGAAAAGCGAAGTGAAAGACGGGAAAGCGACATCTTCGCCCTAGTCGCCTGGTAGCGTGAGCCCTGAATACTTTAATACTCTACATCTAGGGGTGTGTAAAATGGAAATGAAAAGACATGATTAAATGGATTTTAATTCTGAAAAACTCAATGTGGTTTATTTTAATTCATTTATTATTTCTATCATAATCAGAAACACTGGGCTACAATTTGTATTAGGCATTTCAAACATATATTATTACCTTTATAAGAACATTCAAGACTATTAATAAGTATGTACCTGTAGTAAAAATACCTTGGTAGTGCCTTAAAATTTCAACTGGGCCCTTGGAAAAAAGTTTTGGGATCCAGGTTGGCCCCTGGAGAAAATGTAAGGTATTGTTCCTGACTGTATTGCAGATCTAGTGTAGTATTTTAACTGACATGCACAATTCATTTCAGTAATGAAATAAAAATAATTCTACATTGCCACAGCGCTCTGCATTGCAACTTAACCTTAGACCTACCATGCATCAAAAATGTTCTAGGGAAGACTGAGCTAGTAATATACGTCCTTGCATGGTCCCTTTAATACTGTTACCCAAAACTAGTATTCATCTAGCGTAAAAATGACTAAACCCCCTCAAAACTCCTTGCTGAAACCCCTGCAGTTAACATAAGACAATGTTTGACATGCCCTTTTTGAAATATCAATCATCATGCTAAAGTGCCCTTTTCATGATTGGCTCCCTGCCCTTTTGAAATCCTAGCTGGAACACTGCAGACATTGTATAAAAGCCAGTATTGGTATCCACAACGTACTCATACAGATACAGATACAGAGAAGTAGTCTTACTTTTCTTTTCATATATCTTGTTAACGTTACTTATATTTCTTGCTTGTAAAATGTTCAAAATAAATCATTCAATTATTCTAACTCTTAATTAATTTCAAATAAAGAAACTAACATCTGTTATCATAATTGTATCTTCTAGTAGTCCGAGTTTGTAATAGTCCGAGTTTGCTATAGTTCGATTTTGTGAGGCCGATTGAGTTATAGGCAGAGTTTGTTATAGTCCAAGTTTGTAATGGGCCGAGATATCAAGGAGTCATTTCCTACAAGCTTTTCTATTCTAATTCAGTTATCATGTTGTTGACACTTGATCTATTTCTATGTTTGTTGGTTACATAATGTGCAGCTTGTACTTTTTCAATTTCATCTATGTGGTTATGCTGGTACAGGTCCCATACTGTCGTGGCGTATTTCATTTGTGGTCTTACTAATATATTATGTCATATTCTTTGTTTGCTCACCTGGCCCAACAGGGCCATGTGAGCTTATGCTATCACTTGGTGTCCGTCATCGTCTGTCTTCGTTGTTGTCGTAAACTATTTCAAGAATCTATTCTTCTCCTCTGAAACTACTGTGCCAAAAACCTTCAAACTTTAACTGAATGTACCTTAGGGTATCTTAGTTTATAAATTGTATCCGAAGCTTTGATCCATCAACAAACATGGCCGCCATGGCTAAAAATAGAACATAGGGGTCAAATGCATTTTTTGGCTTATATCTCTGAAACTAAACCATTTAGAGCAAATCTGAAAATGGGTAAAATGTTCAATAGGTCAAGATCTATCAGCCCTGAAATTTTCAAACTCCTAACAACCCGTTGTTGGGTTGCTGCCACTAAATTGGTAATTTTAAGGAAATTTTGTTATTTTTGGTTATCTTATAAAATTGAGAATGGAAATGGGGAATGTGTCAAAGAGACAACAACCCGACCATAGAGCAGACAACAGCCGAAGGCCACCAATGGGTCTTCAATGCAGCGAGAAACTCCTGCACCGGGAGGCATCCTTCAGCTGGCGCCTAAACAAATATGTATACTAGTTCAGTGATAATGGACGTCATACTAAACTCCAAATTATACACAAGAAACTAAAATTAAAAATGATACAAGACTAACAAAGGCCAGAGGCTCCTGACTTGGGACAGGCGCAAAAATGCGGCGGGGTTAAACATGTTTTTTGAGACCTCAACCCTCCCCCTATACCTCTAGCCAATGTAGAAAAAGCAAACGCACAACAGTACGCACAGTAAAACTCAGCTTAAGAGAAGTCCGAGTTAGATGTCAGAATAGGAAACAAAAGAAAATAAACAAAATGACAATAATACTTAAATTTTTTAATACATAAATAACAACAGACTACTAGCAAGTACTGACATGCCAGCTCCAGACCTCAATTAAACTGATTGAAAGATTATGTCTTCATCGTATGAATATCAGGCACAATCCCTCCTGTTAGGGGTTTAGTATTATACCATCATAAAATATATGAGAAGAACATAACCAGTGTCATGCCAACAACTGGTTTTAGAATAAATATGTGAATGTAACGGTAAACAGCAAAATGTTCAGCAAAGTAAGATCTACAAAAAAGTTAATATGACCAAAATTGTCAATTGACCCCTTAAGGAGTTATTGCCCTTTAAAGACAGTTTTACACAATTTCTTCATCATGTTTGCTAACATTTAAAAATCTTCTCTGAAACTACTGGGCCTAATACTTCCAAACTTAACTGAATGTTCCTTAGGGTAACTAGTTTATAAACTGTATCCAAAATTTAATCCATCAACAAACATGGCCGCCATGGCTAAAAATAGAACATAGGGGACAAAAGCAGTTTTTGGCTTATATCTCAAAAACTACAGCAGTTAGATCAAAAGTGAAAGGGAGTTAAAGTGATAAATGGGTCATGATCTATCTGTTATGAAATTTTCAGACAAGTTCGACTGCCCATTGTTTGGTTACTGTTGGAAATAGCTTATTTTTATTAAATTTTACTGTTTTTGGTAATTTTCTTTAATATTCTAATAGATAGAGAGAGGGTATAAATGGCATAAATGTTCAGCTAAGTAGCATCTACAAATAAGTCAACATGATCAAAATGGTCAATTGACCCCTTAATGAGTTATTGCCCTTAAAATGTTTTTTTTTTTACATTTTTTGTGAAAGTCTGCAATGTAATTACTTTTTCAAGAATCTTCTTCTCTGAAACTACTTGGCCAAATACTTAAAAACTTTAATTGAATGTTCCTTAGGGTATTTAGTTTATAGATTTTATTCAGGGATTTGATCCATTCAAAAACATGGCGGCAGTTTCTAAAAGAATTTAACTTACCAGTTCCACCGGTTCTGTAAGTACATAAATCACACAAGTCACAGGCTACATGAACAAAATAACAAATACCGTAACTCAAGAACTAGTGCCATCAGTAACCATCTAAACTTGTGTAAAATTCCTACAGGAAGTGAAAACCTTTCATATGTAAGCTAACCAATTAGGAAACACAAAAATATTTTCTTTTTCAGAAACTCCTTCATCATCTGAGGAACCTGAATATAGGAAGACACTTGAAATAATTACAAGACTGTCACAGAAATATCTCGTAGGTATTTTGACAATGATTGTAATTCTTACAATTACATGGAATGTAGGATATCATGTGGATTTTTACCAAAAGTCTAAATTTATTTTTAAGTCATTACCAGAGTCAATTAGTTCTATAATTATGTATGGATATACAAATGCTGGCATTGTTAAGCAGCCTCTTTTACTGTATTAATGACATTTTTATTCAATAAAAATATGAAAAAATAACTGTTTGTACAAGTTCTGCACATTGGCATTTTTTGGGGGGTTCTGGCTTTCTGTTTATTTTTTTTTTTTTTTTAGTTCCTTTCGGAATATATATATTTTAAATGTTTCTTGGACATTGAATTGGGGATAAATCTCTTATTTCCATGATTTTAAAGCAAGTTTTGAATGATTAGAAAATCATATCAGGCATTAAATTGCATTATGCAAAAGATGGACAAGGAAAGACTTTACATTGGATTGAAACCCTTTGTTCTTCAGGGAATGTTACAGTGTTGTTATAGATTAAACTATTTATTTCAGCAATTAGAAATGACATTATTTTAAGTATGAAATAAATGAACAATGCTCATCTGACAAGTATTTGTGGGCTTCAGTTGTATTTTTCCTGCCATTTTCATGTTTTAACACATAACTGAATATATTGCATATTTATTGTATTTTCTAGAATACAGGATCATCTACAAGTACATCAAAACAAGGGAACAAAAATGTAAGTGTGTTTTCAACATGTTATGGAAATATCAGTTTTGTCAAATAATTAAATAAAACTTTAAATGTGTCATACAATCATGAACAATTTCACCCTTTTACTTACAATAGTTATTCAAAATATTTCATTAGGTCTATTTGTCAGAGTTTGATGAACATGAAAGTAGGTATTTTTCCTAAAACAAACATCTTGGATATATTTAGATAAAAATGCATTCATAATAATTTAGAAGTAGAGTGACATAAACATGCAGATGTTGATTTTGATTTTGAATTTGTTTTGTCAATCGTGTTGATATGTTAAAGGGATAACAACTAATTAATTGTTACAAAATGTATCAGAGCACTTTCATTATGCATAACTTATACCTTAGAAAAGTAAACAATTCATTAATCATGTTAATGAAACACCAGTGCAAGTGATAAACTGGCATGACTGTTATAGACTGAATGAACACATAATCTGACACCATACAATCACCTTGGTGATCTTTTGGTTGCACACTTGCCTTGAAAGAATTTGACGGGGGTCATGGGCTTGATCCCTGACTGTCAAACCAAATACTTGGAAATAATACTGTACACACATATTACCCTCAACAGGCATCTTTTAGGGGTCAGAGCAAAGAGCATTCTGCTGGGAGTTGGAATAATGTGTCCTTATAAAGTGACATCAATCCTGTGAACTGTTATATGTGACCTACAATGTAGCATGTTACAATTGCAACTCATCATGTCAGTCTAGTAGTAAAAAGCAGGTAATCTTTAGCATTTGATTTTATTTTAGGAACAAGAAAAAGGTTACGAGGGAGATGAAGAGAACACTACAGGATCTAGTGCTTCTTCGTCTGTTGGTAGTCCTTACGACTTTGAAGATGAACCAATGTCTGAGGAATCTTCCTTGAATAAGAAAGACAAAAAAAAGAAGAAACATGACAAGAAATCTGATAAACAAATTAAACAGAAAAAACCACAAACAGCTCAGAAGAAAATCTCACCAAAACCTCAAACAAAAACTCCTAAAGCACAAAATAAAAGTGTAAGATTTGATGAGACCCCAAAATCTCCATTGAAAGAGAAAATAAAGTTTCCTACAACACCATTACCAAAAACACCAGTAGTAGCCTTAGAAAAACTTGATATTCAGATGGTCGAGGAATCTCAAAGACAGTTACGGAAGCGTAAAGTTGATACACCACAGACTGTTGCTACTGAAATTAAAGTGACAAGAAAAGAATCAGTTGATAAAATTAAACCTGAATCGAAATTAAAAGGACCAAAAATGAGTACTTCTATTCACCTACCTAGTAAAATTATACCTGCAATGGTCCAGGATACTTCTACACCAAATGAAATTGTACGGACAAAAGCATTAAGGAAGAGGGGTAATGATTCATGTTTTGGCTTTGAAGATGTCAAGAGAACATCATTACTTGAATCTCCAGTAAAAAGAGTCCCAATTACTCCTCTGTCAGACTATGCTTCCATGGACACATTTTCACAGGACGTATCAATGGAGAATAGTATACAAAAATCAAAACCACAATCACCTATGTTGTTTTCTATGGAAGAAGAAGGTATTATAATTTAAAAATAGCTTCTGTTGTGTTATTGTTTAATACCAGAATAGATTATCAATTGTTGGAAATTTGAATATGAAAACTTGGAACTTGAAATGTAATGTTCAGTAAAATGAGAGGAAAGTTGATTTTTTTCATGGTTTCATTAGATATTCAGTATCAGACATTTATGAGATAATTGACTGTAAAATTGAAAAAAAAAATGCAATAAAAAAAAAGTATTTTTTAGATTTTTTATTAAAAATTTGTCTCACTTATTTGTAGACTTTTTATTTTTTAAATTTATATTTAAAGAAGTCTTGAACATTTCAATAAATGTTCATTTTGGTGTAGCAGAATTTTAAATGCATGACCTGTATAAACTAGTCTGTAATAAATGATTTATTTTTGTTTACAGACTTTTGTGATCTGCAGGTGAACAAAAGCTACAGTAAGACTTATAAACCAAAGAAAAAAATGCCTACCAAAAAACAACAGGTAAGACCTATTGATGAGGGGAAGACATTTTTATTCAATTCAAAAGGAATTGTTTCCTGTTTGTTTGTTTTTAGCTCACCGGGCTTGAAGGGCCCCATGTGAACTTATGCCATCTCTTGGCGTCTGTCGTCGTCGTAAACTATTTCAAGAATCTTCTCCTCTGAAACTACTGGGCCAAATACCTTCAAACTTGAACTGAATGTTCCTTAGGGTATCTTGTTTATAAATTGTATCTGTAGTTTTGATCCATTGACAAACATGGCCGCCATGGCTGAAAATAGAACATAGGGGTCAAATGCAGTTTTTGGCTTATATATCAAAAACTAAAGCATTTAGAGCAAATCTGACATGGGGTAAAAATTTTAATAGCTCAAGATCTATCAGCCCTGAAATTTTCAAACGAACCGAACAACCCTTTGTTGGGTTGCTGCCACTAAATTGGTAATTTTAAGGAAATTTTGTAATTTTTGGTTATTATCTTGAATATCATTATAGATAGAGATGAACTGTAACAGCAATAATGTTCAGCAAAGTAAGATCTACAAAAAAGTTAATATGACCAAAATTGTCAATTGACCCCTTAAGGAGTTATTGCTCTTTTAAGACAATTTTACACAATTTGTTCATCATGTTTGCTAACATTTAGAAATCTTCTCCTCTGAAACTGCTGGGCCTAATACTTCTAAACTTCAACTAAATATTCCTTAAGGTATCTAGTTAATAAATTGTATCCGAACTTTTGATCCATCAACAAACATGGCCGCCATGGCTAAAAATAGAACACAGGGGTCAAATACAGTTTTTGGCTTATATCTCAACAACTAAAGCATTTAGAGCAAATCTGACAGGGTAAAAATGTTCAATAGATCTATCAGCCCTGAAATTTTCCAACAAACTGAACAACCCATTGTTGGGTTGCTGCCACTAAATTGGTAATTTTAAGGAAATTTTGCAGTTTTTGGTTATTATCTTGAATATTATTGAAGATAAAGATAAACTGTAAACAGCAAAACTGTTCAGCGAAGTAAGATCTACAAAATAGGTTATATGACCAAAATTGTCAATTGACCTCTTAAGGAGATATTGCCCTTTAAAGAAAATTTTTCACAATTTGTTCATCTAGTTTGCTTGCCTTACTTAAAAAAATCTTCTCCTTTGAAACTGCTGAATCAATTTCAGCCAAACTTGGGCTGAATGAGTTTCAATGTATCTAGTATAAATTTTGTATTTTATTTCCTTGTACGTCAAGAAACATAGCCACTATCAAAATGATGGCTATAATGGAACATATGGGTAAAATGCATTTTTTTGCTTTTGAAGAAAATATGACAGATACAAAGAACATTTAAATGGCATTTTTAACATGTTTAAGCAACTCATTAATATATATTGAAAAGCTAAACTAATCATTGATGAAAGATTCAAGCAAAAAATTACAGGTGAGCGATTCAGGCTCTCGAGATCCTCTTGTTTGTTATTTGCATGAAAAGATTAGGAACAGTATAACTGTGCATTTAATACATATGAATCATAGAGATATGAGGTAGACATCAATAAGACAGCAACCTTACAACTCAAAAACCAAAGCACATCTAGAACTCAACACATGGTCTTCTACCATCAGACAAGTGTCTTTTACAGTATGTCAAAAAAAATTGTCCAAAGCATCCTGAGGATATAATGAACAATTTGAAAAAATAATTTGTTGATATCTTTTTTTTATTACAAAGAAAACTGAGTTTGATTAAATAGGGTCAAAATGAAAAGCACAATGACTGTTTGATATGTTTTCAGATATAATGCAAAACAAATACAGGGGTTAAAAAATCCACTAGCCCAACACCCGGGACTAAAACATTAGCGCCTTGGGTAATCAAAACTTGTCTTCAATATGCTGGATGGACTACCTGCGTAAAATTGGGGTATGAGGCATTGATTGATTTAAGCTTCAAGTGAAAAATCGACAGAACCACGTTGTTGGTACACATGTGCACAGGTGTGAAATTAAAATTTGCATCCGAATTCTTCAAAAATGCTAAAAATATAATTGATACCTTTATCTTATGTTCAATTCAAATATTTTCTTGAAGAAATAACGTGAAAAGAACTATTTAAAGTCAATTATGCTTTGTAAGCATACACAGATTTTACACGTCCATCTCTGGTCTGTGTTTTAACATTGTCAAGTCAACATACAGTATTAAGAAATGTGCTTTAAAAAAAAAGGTAAAGTTCTGACAGTGTGATATTGCATTAATAAAGAGTCTGAGGCAGATTTTAGTACACTTTTGATGAACATTTCGTATTATGCACTGTCTATGTAACAGTTTACGTCAGAACATCAAATTTATATCAAAAGTCTGAAGTTTGATATCGGTTTTTTTATGTGAATCATTGTTATGATGCCAAAATCTTTACAATGATTGCCTTTTGTTGCTAAGTCTTACTGGATTGAAATGGGAATCAGAAGAAAATGTGCGGCTGGCTCAAAATTTGTTGGAAGCCTTAAGCATGTTAAGCCCGAGCTAGAATTTCTGTTTTACTCGGCAAGCAGTTCTTCCAACAGGACTAGTAAAGTCTTGCCACCAATAAGTTCTGGGCTAGTGTCTGTGAGCTGTAACAAAGTTTGATAATCCATGAAATAGTGTATTTGAAAGGGGGAGTGGTTGGAAAAGAACAAAAATAATGATAATCAGAACTAAACATGAAAAAAATCAAAAGGTCTATTGACAGAAAGGTCAAAAGACCTTATTTTGAGGAGTTAGAAGAACTAGACAATCCATATTTAGTATTTCCGCCATTTTTCCACTTTGCATATTTTTTTTCTATCACTAATTTTAATTAAAAAAGTATTAGGATTATAAGAACTGATCTGTTGGTGAAAAGTTCGCTGTCTTCATATTGGAAATGGGACTAAAATATTTAATTGTGTAATAAATGTTTTAAGTTTTATTATTAGTGGTTGGCTTGCTTTTGAAATAATTAAGCTTTAGGTTAGCTACAGCCACAAGAATCCTCAATTGATTTTGTATTGCATTGAGTTTCAACAGGGATGTTCCAGCATTTTTTAAAAATCAAGTAGTTGCAAAAGAAATACTGAATTTATAAATTACATTATCATTTATTTAAAAAGCTGAAAGAATATTCAAAGCTTAAGAGGTTCAGTATATTCAATTTTATGCTGTTTTATATAAATTCAAGTTTTATATTCACTGAAGCATAAACAATAATTTCCACTTGTTTTGGTTAATATTAAACAGTATAGAATAACAAATGTTTTGACAGATGAGGTGGTTAGTAAAATGACAGTACATACATATCTCTATTTACATATATCTTTTTATATATCTCTATTTACATATCCCTATTTACATATCTCTATTTATTTTTAACAGGTGGTAAAATCCAGTGAATGGGCAAACAAGATAGAAAAGATGAGTGTGGAGTTTAAAGAAATAGAAAGTTTTGAATTAAGTATTGAGCAAGACTGATTCCTGAATCCAAGATTTATTGTTTTTAGTTCAGTTTTATGGTTTAATGTACATTCTTTTGGGTATAAATTTTGTGGTGGATTTTATGTTTCAATTTACAGAAAGGCAGCATTTTTTTCATATTCTACATCTTCATTTGGAAATGCATATTATAGAAGTTGTACATTTAATTTAGTCCTATCATTGTATAAATTGTAGAAGTTACACATAGTCTCAATTTTGTGAGACCACATAGACTAGACAGGTTAGCTTTTGTATACATGATTTGTTTTAGAGGAAGGGTTACATATTTCATAGAAATGATGCACCTGAAATGAACAATAATGACATTTCAATGTTATAATTTAAGATTAAACGACGTACAGAAGTGAAAATTTTTTAATTTTTTTTTTTCATCAACTCAAGAATTGTTTAAATTCTATATACATTCCATTTATTAGGCTGATAAACAAAATAATGTAATCACCAAAATTTTGTACATTTTGTTTCAATAAGTTTTTGTCTAGTATTTTATTAAAATTTTTGTCTTCTTTGTTGCATCATTATGCAGTATGCAAGTCAAGTTAATTTGTCTCTAAATTTTAAGATATTTTGGATTAAAACAATAAACAAAGTGTTTATTTTCGAACATTATTTAAAAATGGGAACTAAAACAGATTGTTATAATAACCCTGTCCTTCGCATTAAAGAATGATACATACAGCAACATATTGATTGTTTTTTATTTAAAGTAATTGAAAGATCATATAAGAAGCCAGTTGTATTGAATGTTTGTGTAGATTTCAATACATATAATAAGAATATATACAATATCAAACTTGTTGGAACAAAAATGACATGAATTGTTAACATGTATTTTTGAAATTTTGCCCCCATTTTTACACACACACACAGTGTACAATACAAAACTTGTTGCAACATTAATGTGCGAACTGATATTGATTATTAAAAACATTTTTTTTTTATTTTATGTAACTTTATATTAGGTATTTTTCATGTTCATCATGGTAATATTAATTAACATGCAACAAAATGAACAACTAGTACAGAGTTTTTGAATGAATTGTTGGGGCAAAATTATTTTTAAAGTGGTATGATCCTGGACTTTTGTCTTAACAAACTTTTTACACATTTTTATATTGATCTGTTATTTTTTCAGAAAAGTATTATTTGGGGGAAAACTTTCAATGATTTTGTTGAATTGAATTTTTTATTTGTTTACATAAATTCTTTTGGCATTTTCTGAGATATTTCTGTTAATTTAAAAAAAAATTAATATCATCCAAATATGACATACTAGAATATAAGGAAATTTGTTCATGCCATTTCTATCATTTTGATAAAGTCTTCGAAGTCAGGTAATTTGTATACATACAAGTAATAAACAAACCTGTGTTAGCAGTTTCACTGTCTTAACTACATAAAATTGTTTACCTTTTTTTAATTTTGTAAAAGCATTAGAGAATGATTTGTGGTATGCAACAGTTTAAAATTGAAATGCTTTTAATGAATTGTACTTGCAAATTCCTCTGACACAATTAAATCCTGCTTCTTTCAATTGTAAGAAATGTTTATTAGCTATGAATGAACCCAGATTGTCAAACAGTTTTTCTTCTGAGTGTTTTAATATGACTAATAAACATTTAGTTCGTGAAATTTGGCATGGAATTGTTTATTAGGAGGGCCATGTGAATGTTAGTTTTCTTATTCAATTTGACCAAAGTTAAGAATTTCATTTCAGGCATTTGTATTTAAAATCAATCATGATTTGCAAATATAACTATTTTTGGATCTTTGATATGTATGAATAAATGTGGAGTTTAAAACTGGAAAAAGAGTATAAACCTGAACAATATGTTCATATGCAGGAAAAGGGAGAAATGAATACCTCTATCAATATTGTCAATTATGTACAACATGAGCGAAGATTAATAAAAAGAAAATTGATCAGGTTTGAAAAATTTTCCACAAATGATTCTTCGAACATTTAATTTTTTGCAATGCAACAGCTTTATAATTTAGGATGTAATCATATATTTTTTTTATTCAATTGTGGTCATAAGATAGCTCATGTATGTATTTATAGTTTTGTATATAACTTTGTACATATCCATCTTTCTTCTGTCATGTCAAACTATGTAAAATAACAAATGGTTGTTGCAGATTATTGTATACATTTTTGAAGCAGAGATACTGCTGGTAAAAGTAATATTGTATGGAATTATAATAAATTGATAATATATAATATTTTTAGTTTTGTATTGCCTAAGAATAGTTTCTGAAATATACTTACAGTGGATGTTTTCTCATTCAATACAATTGCATGTTGACAAAATTAGATTTTGTCTCCTAAAATAAAGTAAGGAAGTGTGGTATAATTGCCAATTAGACAACTATCAACCAGAGACCAAATGGTGTGGATGTAAGCAACTATAGGTCACTGTGCAACCTTTAACAACGAGCAAAATCCATACTGTATATAAAAGCTATAAAAGGCCCTGACATAACAAATGTAAAACAATTCATACAAGAAAACCAATTTTTGTTGAAACAATAAACCAAAAACAAATATGACAGACAGCCACTAAAGAAATCCACTGAATTAAAGGATCCAGAATTGTGACAAGAACATACAGAAGGTGGTGCTGCTTAACATGTTTGTTAGTGCTCGATACTTATTGGTTGCTTAATGTTGAAAGATGAAAAATTATTTTTAATTTAACTGATTAATGTGATTAGGTTAGTTTAAGGGAAATCTTTAGTGGTAGGTAAATGATATTTTGTGTGAAGTTGAATGTCTGTATCAGTCAAGGTCATTACTTAAACAACTAACTTTCAAAATTACCTATACAAGTTATGTTGAAAACTAGGCTGTTTTAAATATAAGTAATTTTTATAAATATTATTTTTATAGATGTCCATTCTTACAAATTTTACTAGCTGTAATAAATTTTCGCGGACATCTGGTTATTTTTCTCATGAAATATAAAAACTTATCCTCCTGAAACACTTATTTCCTTTCTGATGCGCTAACATTTCATGTCAACGCTTCTGGGTCAAAGATTGGTCTCTTGGGACTATTAAAATATCATTTTCCTTGAAAATCTTGAAGGTCGACAGGTATAAATAGTTGGAAACCCTCGAAACAATTACAGATGTTCCTTATATAATTGTAACTACCAATAATTTCAAAGCTGGGTTAAATATGTGCGTGAGCACTCAACCCTCCTCTTACCTGGGACAGTGGTGTTACAGCACAACATAAGAACAAACTATAAAAATCAGTTAAGAATGGCTTAACTCATCAGAGCAGAAAAACATCTAACAAAAATACAGACCGGACATGGTAGGGTATTTATCCATCCCTTATCCCTAATAACAAAAAAGATACTAAGTACAGATCTGAGAGTTCTCACAGTTACTGGTGGCTAGTTCAAAGCCAATGACAACTAATAATAAAGATCATGTACATGTATCTAAGACTAAAATATCAATCAGTACACATCCAACATCCAATGGATTTAGTGTAAAGACATCAATAACAGTCAAAGAATAACATGACCTTGTGAATAATTGTAAGGTGTACATGTCTGTCTGACATGAATTATCTGACCTTGACCTCATTGTCATTGATCTTTAAAAATGTTAAGTTTATTTAACAATTGTAGTAAAACCTTTATCTTTAAGACTCAACATAAAATCAATTGTTAGTAAAGCAGGCAAGACATTTCAGCATGTGCACTCTTGTCATGGTTCAGCGACTGCTTGAAAAAATTTTTAGTTTTTTTGTCATGTGAATTTCTCACTTTAATATTATGAGTAAAGGGATAACTATATTTGATATTTGGTTTCTTGCAGAGTCTGCATGTCCGTCAGACAGAGTTCACCTGACCATGACCTCATATGGATTAGTGATCAAGGTTAAAGTTAAGCAATTAGGTCCATTTCTCAGATACTATAAGCAGTAGGTCAACTATATGGTGTGTATGGAATGATTGTAAGGGGTACATGTCAGTCTGGCAGGTATCTTCCGACCTTGACCTCATTTTTATGGTGCATTGGTCAATGTTAATTTTTGTGTTTTGGTCTGTTTTTCAAATACTATTAGCAGTAGGTCTTCTATATTTGGTGTATGGATTGCTTGTAAGGTGACCATGTCTTTCAGGCAGGTATAAGCTGACCTTGACCTCATTTTCATGGTTCATTGGTCACTGTTGGCTTTTTGTGTTTTGGTCTGTTTTTCAAATACAATAAGCAGTAGGTCAAATTCATGTGTTGTATGGAATGATTGTAAGGTGTACATGTCTGTCTGGCAGGTATCATCCAACTTTGACACAGGCACTTGTCTCCGAAAAAAATTTCCAATATACCTTAATATTATATATTATATTAAGGTATATATAGGAAATTTTTTTCTGAGACAAGTGCCTGTGAACTTTGACCTCAGCTTCATGATTCATCGGTCAATGTTAAGGTTTTGTGTTTTGGTCTGTTTTCAATTACCATAAGCAATATGTCAACTATATTTGGTGTATGGAATAATTTTAAGGTTTACAGGTCTGTCAGACAGGATTTATCTGACCTTGACCTCATTGTCATCGATTGTTAAAAATGTAAAGTTAATGTGATACTTGTAGTAAAACCTTTATCTTTTAGACTTTCAACATAAAAAAATCAATGGTGAGTAAAACTTTTCAGTGTATGCACTTTTGTTTAGTTGGGTTTCAATTTCGAGTCAGCAAATTTGGGTTAACATGGTTAATGCTAGAGGGACTTCAATAGCAAATTAAATAGTAATAGTAAACCATGAGCGAGGTTCGAACTCACAACCTCAGTGTTGACTGGCTAGTGATTACAGTAGTAGAACTACTTAGACCTCTTGGCCACCGAGGCCCCAACTTAACCTTGATAACTGATCCATAAAATTTTGTCTAGTGAATCCTGTCTAACAGACATGTAGACCTTGCATGGAAGCCATATACCATGTAGTTATCCTATTACTAATAATAAGAGTATTTTATATGACAAAAAAAAGCAGTCACTGAACCATGAAAATGAGGTCAAGGACAATGGATATATGACAGATGGAAAGTTTGTAACATAAGGTATATGCAGGCCAGACAAAATTCAATCTATGGATCACAAGATGGTACAAATGTACATGGGGAGATCTCTTTGAGAACATGTATTGTTGCTCTCTGTCAAGCAAAAAAGATTCTTATTTTGGTTCTCTAATAGCAGGCAGCAAGTTATCCTCGTTTTGAGAGCAGGAGAGGTCTTGGATAATAATATGACAAGTGGTCAATAACCAACGTAATCAACATTGGCATTTTTTGAATAATAAACAACCTTTACCAGTTTAAATAAAATGCTTCGCTGAGCACAGACAGATACGACTGCAGAGGTCTTACCCTGAATAGTTGGGGCAAGTTTTGACACAAAATTCAAGCTTGATACTGTCTGAATTTGGATTGTGATCAAATTTTTGACAAAATATAGGTTTCTGACACAAAATAAATGTGGTCAAAGATCTTAAAAATTTGAAATGGGACATTAAATTTACCTAGAATGGTCTGGTATCCAAAATCTAGCAAACATGGTTAGATTCAGCATATAAAAAACACCAAAAATTTAATTTTGGTTGAAATCAAACAAAGTTTAATTTTAGACCCTTCAAACCTTAATATGGACTAATTTGAAAACCGGGCCCAAAATAAAAAATCTAAATGCACAATAAGATTCAGCATATTATACAGCTGCAATAATTCAGTTTTTGATGAAAACAAACAAAGTTTAATTTTGGACCCTTTTGACATCAATGTAGACCAATTTAAAAATGGCCCCCCAATATCAAAAAAAGTAATACAAGGTTAGAACCCCCAAAAATTAAAGACTTTAAATTAATCCCATTGAAATTGGTTAAAAGATTTGTATTTATTTTCAATTGAAGGTTTCTTGACATTGCGCAATACTGTGCAATTTAAGATGTCTTGCTATTGTGCAATACTGTGCAATTGAAGATTTCTTGCTATTGCGCAATACTGGCTAGTTGAAGATTTCTGGTAATTGCGCAATACTGTATAATTGAAGATTTCTTGCTATTGAACAATACTGTGCAAATGAAGATTTCTTGCTATTGCGCAATGCTGTGCAATTGAAGATTTCTTGCTATTGCGCAATACTGTGTAATTGAAGATTTCTTGCTATTGCGCAATACTGTGCAATCATTTGAAATTTCAAAAAAATACGAACCCTCAAAAAAAAATCCCCCCAAACTTTTTGAACCCCCTCCCCTTGGAGTAATTACCCCCAAAATAATCCCAGCCTTCCCTTTGTGGTATGGAACCTTGCAGTACAATTTTAGAGCGATCCATACACTTAGACACAAGTTACTGTCTGGAAACTAGAAAAATGCTTGTTTTTGGCCCCTTTTCCCCCCTTATTCCTAAACCGATGGGGCAATTACCCCATAATCAATCCCAGCCTTCCCTTTGTGATATGGAACCTTGTGGTACAATTTCTGAGAGATCTATACACTAACACACAAGTTATCGTCCGGAAACTACAAAAATGCTTGTTTTTGGCCCGTAATTCCTGAACTGTTGGTACCATAACCCCCAAAATCAATCCCAACCTTCCTTTTGTGGAATGGAACTTATAGTAAAATTTCTTAGAGATCCATTCACTTAAACTAAAGTTATTGTCCGGAAACCAAATGTGTCTTTGGACGACACTGACGACACCATAGCATTACGACGCGAAATTTTTTTTGCTGTCGTATAAAATCTTTTAAATTTGATTTATGTGTTATCGAATTCCTGTAAATGTGCATTACTTCCAAGTTATTAATAAGACCAATACTGGGTCTGGACTGGAGTTGCTACATGCATTGATTGAGGAAACAAGAAAATGTTCCTTGTATAATGATTTTGAAAAATGTAAAACTACTGGCAAACAGGAAGTTACTGCACTGCAGATGTTAAAATTGCTTACAGGATACAACTCATCATTATCAATCTGCAGAGCGGCATAAAGCAAACACCAATCAATCAATCAATCTGCAGACCAAATATAAAAACATTCCCTTCAATAGAATGCTTGACAAGTTTGACATAAATTTTCCTTATACAATGAGTGTTGTAAAATTGCAAACTATGCACAACAAAAAGTGTCTGCATGGGAAACATAAAAATCCCTTACATGCTACAAACTCAAAATTATACAACTGCAGACCAAGTATAAAATCCTTCCTTTCCACTGAAGTCAAGAAAAATTTGAAGAAAATTTTACTTGTAAACTGCAATGATTTTGAAAAATTTCTAACTATTTCCAAACAGGTAGTTACTGCACTGCAGATGTTAAAATTTCTTACAGGATACAACTCATCATTATTAATTAAAATATAAAATCTTTCTCTTCAATAAAATGCGTGAAGTTTGATGAAAATTTGTCTGGTTCAATGAGAGTTGTAAAATTTAATACTATCCACCAACAGGAAATGGCTACACGGCAGGTGCATAAATTGCTTACCTGCTACAACTCAACATTATGAAGTTGCAGACCAAATATAAATTCATTCCCTTTTGAGAAGCCAAGAAAACTATGATGGAAGTTTTCTACCAAAGGTCTTTTGGAGGGATGGACAGACGGAGATGAGGAGTTACTAGACCTGCTTTTGCTATTGCCGACACAGGTAAAAAGATATGCAGTCAAATCCAGCTCTGTACAGAAAATGGTTATCCATATGTATCCTTAATTATAACCAAACTCAAATTATTGATTTAATGTTTCTACTTTATTCACAAAATGAAATGACTATGATATGAATGAAAAACAAGCATACATCATCAATGGCATAAATAGTTCTAGCATGAACACAATTTTTGATCAATCTGTCTTTTACACATGATCTAATTCTGAAATTATCCAAATTAACAAAGACAATCAACTTTGATATAATTCCTTGCAGCAATTAAAAACGTGAAAAAAAATATGTTGTACATTGCTAAGAATAATGTATGAGTTTTAAGCAATAAGTTCATAAATATTTTCTCTTTAATGGTCATTTGAAAAACACATGTACCAGTCAAATTACAATTCTTTGTTGCCACTTAAATTGGTTTATTAACCTAGAAAATAGATATTTAGCCTTAAGAATTGAAAGGTCAGTTTACCCCATTCAACATTATCAGTTGATAAATTTGGCTTCAGTACAGTATAATACAGATCTAACCTAAATTAGGTTTTTTCTAATGCAATTTAAAAAAGCGACGATTTATTAAGATAAATGTACCATATCATCATAACTTTCCTTTGTAACATCATATGTTTTATAACATATTTCATTAATGATGTACAGTATAGAATTAATAAGCCACAAGCTATCATAGTTTTGTACTATAGATTCCAACAATAAAGAGTTGACAATAATCACCAAGGCTTAACCTGCATGTATAAATTGTCCCCAAAAAACTATGTTTACTAGTGTATGCTTCTTCCATTTTGTAAGAAGTTAGTTAAGGATAAAAAAAAAAAGAACTACATGTACATTAAAAAGAATCCCACAAAACTTATTAAAATAAACCACTACTAGATAATACCCCTTCCAATTGAACAATATTTTTTTTTAAATCAAACAATTTCATTGATTAATACCTTTATATTTCTCACAAAGTTTGAAGTATTCAGAAATACCTACCAGTTCCCATTATTATTAGAAAAGTTCAAAAGAACAAAAATCTAAATGTTGATACATGATCATGACATAGATGTTGTAAGTATAGAATATCTTTTAAAAACTAATGAGCCAGCAATTTAATGCTGTACTGGTCTCCATTGCACACCTGTAAACCCAGCAGCTGTTATTTAAATTAGTTTATCATAAAAAGTACAAGAATTTATAACTTAATCAAAGTTTCTTCTATTTCATTTATAAACAAGCTTTATTTCCAATACATTTCAGTAAGAAAAGTTTCTTTGTACATATCAACAACAAAAAAAAACACTTTATGTAATCTCTCATAAACAAAATGTATAAAAACATAACAAAGTGAGTCTCTCCTCCCAGTCACACAATGATAAATATGATGATTATCACTTCCCTGCTTGTTTCCTTAACATTATATAAATTTTCTCTTTTAACCAATCTTTATTATGTGGAACATAGCTGCCATAGTTCTTCTGGAACCTGAAAAATAAAATATAGATTAGATCGTGCTGTCAAGCAATAATACAGGATAGTAACCCAAAGGTTTCCATATCCAATGACATCTATATATGCAAATTTTGAATCATTTTCAATGAACAGCTTTGGGTTACCAATAAATTTTCACAGAATAAATAATAAGTTTTAATGTAAATTCGTATTTAAATAACTGAGAATGCATACTTTTATGCTTGTTTCCTTAACAAGATGTAGACTTTCTCTTTTAGCCATTCTTTGTTGTGAGGAGAGTAACTTCCAGTATTCTTCTGAAAACTGTAAATATAAATATTGTAAACAAAACATACATACACTTCAAACATTTTTCAAAAGGGTACATGCACTTATTAAAATCTAATTAATTTATGCTTAATAATGACAGTACAAGCTCTATGCCATATAGTTACTCTAAGTTTATGTCAGCAAGAATTTATGCAATACTAAGAAATTTTGTGTGCATTTATAATAGAAATTGTTAAACAATGGACAACAATGTGAGATTATTGCGATTTTGGGAAATGTCCAATACAAATAATGCTATAAAACTTAGAATGCAAGTTTTACTTTTGTAAAACCTATTCTGTTGTAATTTTGGCAATAAACACATCACAAAGATTCCTGAATTTACATTACCTCGAAATGGTGGTCCAAATACTACTCACTGATTAAAAATTATTTATATTTTATCTGAAAATTTGAAAATTTATTATACACATTTATTCTTTTTTATTAAATTCCAGGATCTAGGTCAGAGGATTTTGTTTTTTCGCTATTCTACATGTATCAGGGCAATTGAATCATTCTACTACATTTAGAGTTGCAAAAAATGGTTCTGTAGTGGAAGCTTGTAAATGTCACTCAAGCAGAAAGTATCATTTTTTATTGACTTTATGTACATTGTCATGAAAGGTGGTGGCTGTTTACTCTCGGTGTTCGAAAGTAACTCTCTGTACTGGTGTGCCAGGACCATATTAATCTATTTGCTTCTCAGATACTCAAATTTTCCTTATGCAAGAGGGTTGGCCTTTCAAGTAGTTATTCACATAAAAGCAATTTTTCTATTGGAATTACTGTAAACCAACTTAATTTTTTCGTGCATACTTTATTTCACGTTAAGCCCTTTCTAGATGACTTTGCAGGCATTTATTTTTGTGATTTTATAATTTTAGTGCTATATTTATATAAGGGAAGATCCAAGTTTTACATATTCACAACTATTTACATTCGCATTATTTTCTGCTCACAAAAGTCATGAAAATAAATCACTGATGAATGTAATTTGGTTTACAGTAAACATACATATTTATCTACATAGCAACTCTCAATTGATCATCTTTCATGTATAATTATAATTAGTCCAATGGAAGTTTATTTGTTACTGTATATACCTTTTACTTTTACGCTTACCATGGGGAAAATATTTCCAGCTAAAATTATACTGGCAAGATTTGAGAATTTATATAATATAACCTACAGGAAAAAACACTAGTTATGACACACTAAGATGGTTTAATACAAAAGGTTACTGGAACTTGGTAATTCAGTAAACAGTCAATCAATCAATGATTATAGATTATCGATGGTTTTTCAAAGAGAGGGAGTTTCTTGGCTAAAATCTCATGGAAGGGTGACAGCCTTAAATCAGATGTAGCTGTAAACCTTCCTCAAGTTAAACAGACAATTTATAATCTGCATATCACTAATTTCCTAGGCAACCTCAATGACGTAGGCCTATGGACGTCTTGTATTCTCTTCATACTCGGCTGAGAAAAATTCATATCACTGGATAGTGAAAGAGAAAACTATCATTCAGAAAGATTTAAGGAAATTTGAGAAAATAACAATAACAGTTACACAGTCTATCCACAACTTTCATATAGCATCCTTGTGAACAGAGAATTATGAACAACCATTTTGTGTCTAGAAATTTTAGCATAACGTCCACAACTGATTTTATAAGAAAATAATTTCAGAAAAGCATCACATTCAATCAATACAGCATCAGATCTAATCATTCAATTTATGTGCATTCTACTAAGGTTAACTGCTATTATACTACACTAATTTTTTGAAAGTCCTACATGCAGCTTTATGCATATTCTGTACAATAACAGTACAGATAAATTTTCATGATATCTATTTCTAAAGGAAAATAGTTTCTTCAACAAAATTTGAAAACAGTTTAATAGTGTTGATCTAGTATTCTCATTGAGGTTTTATATTTCCACCTAACATGTAGGATGAACTATGCTTTGACTCATTGTGAACAGCAAGTTGCAACAAGTTTTAAGTTTTTTTGAGTTTTTTAATGTCTTCACTTTATCCCTTTTGGCAGAAGATTGAACTAAATGTAAATGTGCGACTTACAAAGGGTGCAAAACAGTATTGCTTCCTTTGGCACTGAGCTCTTTGGATTTTTTTTTCTAATTTTTGCGTTTACTTGCCACTATTCTATTCTTCAAATTTATGTGAGGGAATATTTTTACGATATTATCTTTATCAGATATTAGGTGAAAATAAAACCCCTTACGAAATTTTCCCACTGAACAGTTATTTACACAAATATACAGCAACACACAATTATGTTCTTACTTGTCAACTTCCAGTTCCAAGCTCCTTGGGTCATTTAGGTTGTATGTGCATGTGTTTTATTCTGACCTATGACCTCAGTAGGCATATGGAACAATAGTACATTATGTAAGATTTTAACACTTACACTAAACAGCTAAGATCTGTTAGTTGGTCAATGAAATCGAACAGCTGACTGATATCGTATGTAATGGATGGACAATCTGGATTCTGTCTCTTTAGATGTTCTTCATAAATTTTACAGATTCCTGGTAAAATAAAAATGTTCAGGCAATGTTTTCAGACTTGACATCAAGCATAACAAATATATATGAAGATCATCACATACTTTTGTAATTTGTGTACAGTTCTAAAAAAAGCTAATTTTTTAAAACTATTTTACAGTGTATCCCACCCATAACTTTTAGTGAACACTGAATTTGAAATAGATTTTAATAGAATGAGATACTTTCCTTTGTTTCTATTGCTTCAAAATCATTCTGCTTTAAACATCTTACTTCTGACAAAAATTAAGATAGAAAATTAATTAAATGCATTTACAGCATTTTGTTTTCCTGAAATAACTGGTTAATTGCATGTAGCTGCTGGCTTCTAAAGACATCCTTGCATACTAAAGTTTTATTTTTAGTTGTAATTTTCATACACCTTGATCTTAGTCACACGCACATCTACAATGAATATTTTTGTAAACATGGCTATAACACAAATTATCCTTGCGACACCACCACAATTTTGCAAAAAGAGATATAACAAAGGTGTTAGGTCTGCCACAAACACAGCTAAGAACACTTCTAACTACATATAGATGTTTGTGTATATCAAATTTTACTTTAATAGAAATAAAATACAGTAGATTCTCAACATCTTCAAACCATATGGGGACAGTGATCAATAAAATTATTGATCGCCAGGTTAAGGTAAAGGTGTATTGTCAATTAGCCTGTTGAAGACATCCAAGCACTGATTTTGACAAGTTTAAAACATTTTGACCCGACAAACAAAATTTAGACTATACTTGTATCTTCAGATCACCTGAAGGTTAGACTCATTGAAACTGTCAGACTCCAACAGAGTTAATTTACATAAGTTACTGTATTTCAGCATTAGAACTTCAGAAATTTTTCAACAAATTTGAAATTTGGAGTCAACAAGAGTCTACTGTTAATAGTATTTACATTGGTTTACAATTATTAAACTTGCCTTCAAAACCCATGAAATTAATAATATTTTTTTTAGATATTTCACATGTACATGTGTATAACAAATTCCAGGACTAAGTAGATCCATGTTCACATGAATATGAATGGTTTAAAAAGTAAAGTTTTGTACTGCATCTGTTAGATAACTCCTTCATACCTTCTAGACATTCATTCAACGATTCATAATCTGAGTATGTTCTTGTGTCTGGACGACTGTTTGGTTGTACCAATAAGATAGTGTGTGACTGGAAATATAAAATTAATTCAGGTAAATCATATAATAAGGACAGTTCTATTTAAATATATATGGTACCCAATTCACCAACTATATAGGCAAATTTAGAATTTCACTTAAGTTATCGACTACTTGACAACCACACATAGTGGAAATTTCAAAAGGTCTCATATATGTTTTTTTATGGAACAGCCCTAAATTCATACTACGGTGTAGATTTAAAAAAAAAGAAGAATGTTTCCTGTTTAAGCACACAAATTTTCCAAGGAAAAATATGTTAAAATGATTCCGTTCATTAACTTATAAAGATGTCTTCTTGTATTTTGCGGAGTAAAAAATAAAGTTTTAAAATGATAACCAGACAAATGACTTGAACCATTAGAGCTAATTTCCTAATGTTTGTAGATTAAGATTTTGGTTGGCTTGCTTGCTTAATTTGTATAAACGTTTGCTTAAGGATTGTAATTAAGATTGACATCTGCAAACAATATAAATAGGCGGAGTTCTATCTGTATACATTATATTTTGATTTGATTGGACCATTATCAAACAATCAAATTTAACTATATACAGGTTTAACTCCGCCTACATATACTGTTTGCAGATGTCAATCTTAATTACAATGCTTGAGCAAACATTTATACAAACAAAGCAAGCAAGACAACCAAAGTCTTAATCTACAAGCATTAGGAAATCAGCTCTAAGCCTTTATACCTGTACATGTATATATCAGAATCAGCAAGGATTTACCACTTCTAAAAGTGATGTGTCACAGTATTCACCCTAAAATATCCTATTGAGAACACAGTAACATACACAATAGTGTTATCACTTTTAAACAGTTTCAGGGACTCAGTTAACAGCAGGATTTATTTTTAACTGAAACATCTCCTGTTTACTATTGGAAACATTTTAAATATAAGTAAATAAAGCAAACAAGATGGCAAATACTGAAATGTTTATATACAATGTCATAAATATTTTGTGCCTTTGATTAAATTATGAGCATTTACAATCAATCATTATTATCTGGTAAATGCATAAACAATGTATGGAAGTCATGTACATTTCATTGACATACAGAAAATATGACTAAGATTTTTTAAATGATTCTTCATTCTTGCATTTTATTTGTGTTGTGAAAGTTGAATGACTATATTTTAATTTGTGTTCAAAACATGTTTTGTTTGCAAAGTTTCTTGTTTTTTATATAAAATGTTGCAAATTGACACCAATACTTAAAAAGTATAATGCTTAAAATGTAAATTACAAGTTTCTATTCTGTATATAATGTTGTTTAAATACCATTACAACTTCACTTGCTATGAACATGATGAAGGCCCATAAGCTGAACAGGATGCATAAATCAAAATCTGGGCTCGACATTACTGCTTGTCTGAGACAAGTTGACATAGGCCCCTCGGACAAGTAGAAACCCCATATTAGTTGTCCAACAAGACAAGTGAAAAATCAATTATATATAAGATATATCAAACTTTAAAGACTTGCAAATGCCTAAGACATGAACAAATCTATAATTGATCATAAAAAATCTAAATTCATTTATTGAACTAGTCTGGCATCCTGACAAATCATCCTCTTCGCGTCAGTCTGCTGTCAAGCAGTGAGCCAGGATCCCAGGCAATGAATGACCATGCTGGCTGACGGAAGCTCTCATACCAAAATAGATAAATCCCGAGAGATCAGGGTCACTAGAATTGTGATCTTTAACATGTTTTAATCAGTTGGGATTCACCAGGTGCTTTGCACACAAACTGATTGTTTACCTGCAAGACTGTATCAAAGTAGAAATTGGATTTAAAAAAATTCAAGTTCACTGTTGCAGCAGCACCAGGAAATAAAGAAAATATTGAGTCAGAGAACTTACTTTAGAATGGCAAATAATCTTTGAAAATTATAAAACGATGTTTAATGGTGTATTCCAGGGCCTAATCTAGGATTTTCGAGGGGGAAGAGTGACTTTTCCTTCTTTAGGGAGGGTAGGGAGTAGTGAAATCCAACACCGTTTCAGTTGCATTGTTTTCGTGCTTATTTATGACATATTGAAATTGTTGTAATATGTATGCAATAAAAAAATATACCTGCAGTGTTTTTATATGATAATGCATATATTGAACACTTGATTGATTAAATAGTATTGACAATTTAGTCATATCATTTGTACTGTCTTTTCGAATACAAGTAATTAAGTTGGATTAAAATATGTTGGAACATGTGGTATATATAAGTATCATACTTTATACTTTAACGCCATTTTGTCCAAGGTTATGGTTGTCTTTTTGACATTGTGTCATACATGTAGATCAAATTTATTCATTCAGTGTATGTTTACATGTTTTTGTTAATATGTCTTTTTGATTGAGTTAAGCCATTTCAATTGATATTTTATAGTGTGTCTTTCTATGTTGTAATGTTACACTACTATTTCAGGTTAGGGTGAAGGTTGGCGCCTGTTAAAACGTTTAAACCTGCTGCATTTGTTTCCACCTGTCCTATGTTAGGAACCTGTTTCAGTGGTTGTCGTTTGTTGATGTGGTTCTTAAGTGTTTCTTGTTTTTTAAATAGATTAAACCGTTGGGTTTTCCTGTTTGAATTGTTTTACACTAGTCATTTATGGGCCCTTTATAGCTTGCTGTTCGGTGTGAACCAAGGCTCCGTGTTAAAGGTCTTACTTAGACGGAGAGTTGTCTCATTGGCACTCATACCACATCATATTTCTATATCATGCATTATTTTCTACTACCTAAATTTATTTCAAAAAGTAAAAAAAAACTTACTCCCTGTTTGTATCTGATGATTTAGTTTATTTATCGACAATACCTGTTTGAGAATGATTGGGCAATTTAATTTATTATCACCACTTCCAAATGTAAAACATTATTGAATGTCCAGTACATCATGCCAGTTGTAATTTGAGATTCTCATGAATGATGTTGGCCTATAAATGGAGATATCTGTCAATCACATATTAACTAACTGACAAAGAGCTAATTTTTATTAATTTAAAAAAAGAGATATCACTCTTGTAACAAGAAATGATTGTAACAGGATGCTGTTACGAAGTCTCCCAAACGAAGCTCCCATAATTCGTAATTCACAGGGTCGCCTGACATTGGGCAACGTCCAGTGAAAATTGGTTTGGTCCAGTAAAGTTATATGCATTAGTGATGCCTGGGGACTAACCTTGTATATCATTCAAATCATCTTGGCATGACAAACCAGAATATATATGGTTTAGGGGTGGGGATCTCGACCATTTACAAGATACTAGAATATTGGGGGTGGGGAGGAACCCCTAGGGACTGATCCTATACGTCATTCAAATGTTAATTACATGACGAACAGGAATATATATGGTTTAGGGGTGGGGATCTCAACCATTTACAAGATATTAAAACATTGGGGGTGGGGGGGAACCCCTGGGGACTGACCGTATACGTCATTCAAATGTTCGAGACATGACAAATAGGAATATATATGGTTTAGGGGTGGGGATTTCAACCATTTACAAGATATTAGAACTTTCTTAAATGGCAGGGGGTGGGGGTGACCCCTGGGGACTAACCCTGTATATCATTCAAACTATCTTAGCATGACAAACCAGAATATATATGGTTTAGGGGTGGGGATCTCGACCATTTACAAGATATGAGAACTTTCTCAAATGGCAGGGGGTCGGGATGACCCCTGGGGACTAACCCTGTATATCATTCAAACCATCTTAGCATGACAAACCAGAATATATATGGTTAAGGGGTGGGGATCTTGACCACTTACAAGATATTAGAACTTTCTTAAATGGCAGGGGGTGGGGGTGACCCCTGGGGACTAACCCTGTATTTCATTTGATGTGCTTTATCATGACAAACCAGAATATATATGGTTTAGGGGTGGGGATCGTGACCATTTACAAGATATTAGAACTTTCTCAAATGGCAGGGGGTCAGGATGACCCCTGGGGACTAACCCTGTATATCATTCAAACCATCTTAGCATGACAAACCAGAATATATATGGTTTAGGGGTGGGGATCTTGACCACTTAGAAGATATTAGAACTTTCTTAAATGGCAGGGGGTGGGGATGACCCCTGGGGACTAACCCTGTATTTCATTTGATGTGCTTTATCATGACAAACCAGAATATATATGGTTTAGGGGTGGGGATCTCGACCATTTACAAGATATTTGAACTTTCTCAAATGGCAGGGGGTCGGGATGACCCCTGGGGACTAACCCTGTATATCATTCAAACCATCTTAGGATAACAAACCAAAATATATATGGTTTAGGGGTGGGGATCTTGACCACTTACAAGGTATTAGAACTTTCTTAAATGGCAGGGGTGGGGGTGGCCCCTGGGGACTAACCCTGTATTTCATTTAATGGGCTTTATCATTTAGAACATTTTCAATTCAAAAGATTGTGTCTATCACAAACGGTTTTCAATTTATAATCATTTGAAAATTTAAAAAAATAAAATCCCATAGGGTTCTATAGTAAAACCCTCTTTTCTTTTTGCCCCTCAAAGTACCCCTTTATAAACCCCAATGCACAAACAAAACCCTGATTGCACAACTAGACATGTTAGTCTAACATATTGTGAAACCCTAAGTTAATCTGACAAGCGGTTTTGGAGAACGGGTGCGGACAAGTTCAAATTTAAAAGCGGCGGAAGAAGAAGAAGAAGAAGAAGAAGAAGAAGAAGAAGAAGAAGAAGAAGAAGAAGAAGAAAGAAGAAGAAGAAGAAGAAGAAGAAGAATAATAATAATAAGAACTGAGCAAAAACAATAAGTCTTCCCAAACTTAATGAGTTGGTCGTGGAAACAAAACACGCTGCTGATCAAAAGCTGACCAAGCGTCATACCTTTGCAATCAAATTATCCCTCAGCCTTTTTTACATTTTACATTTCAATTCATATTCAATGAATAGCAAAACATCAGCCGTTAATTCCCACATTTTAATCTACCAAATAGTACAACTGCAAAGG